GTTCTTTTCTTTATAGAGAGAGTACTCTTTTTTAGAGGCCTATTTAGCTCTATTCTAGGTTTTATCTATTACTTTAATTACCTAACTAAAGTAAGCTTTAGAGAGTTTCTAATCTATAAGGTTATTTTAAAGAGACCTTATATATAAGAAAGTAAACCTAATCTTAGCCCTAAAAAGATTTTTCTTAATAGTAACTACCTAAGTTATTAGTAACTAGATAGTCTAGTTACTTAGCACTTCTATAGATATTATTTAGTCTTATAGGTTAGGCTATAGAGCGCTAAGATACCTTATTTTTAGGTTATTATTATTACTCTCTTCTTTTACTTTAAAGGCTAGCCTTATAAATTCTATATTAAAGTATTATAAGAAAAGCTTCCTTTACTAAAAGGTTTAAAGTTTCTACCTAGCCCTCTTAGTATATAAGTTATCTATAAATTATTTATTTAGAAATATCTATAGGCCTTCTATAGTACCTATCTTATTATAATCTATTTATAATAAGGTAATACTAGCTGTAAGCTTCTTTAATTAGTTAAAGATATACCTAAAGCCTAATTCTAGTCCTCTAATATTATATTCTAGCTTATAGTTTATCTAGGTTTAAAACCTTTAATAGTTCTTTTAGTTACTATTAAAGTAGTTAGGATTTAGTATCTTAAAGTTTTTTATATAGGTTCTAGTAGTTACTATAAAAAAGGTTAGTTCTAGAACTATCTTTAGTCTATATATATCTTTCTTTAATTATTAAACTTTCTATTTAGAAAGAGTAGGTACTAGTAGTATATTATTTTTAAAAAGGTTAATTTTCTAGGTTAGTATCTATAGTGCATTACGTAGTTCTTCTAAGGAGAACCTTTTATTAGATTCTTTAATTAGTTATTTTCTAGTTACTACTAATAATAGGCTAGCTATTAAGATTAGTATATTTATAAACCTTATTATCTATTATTAATTCTTTTAGAGACTCTAAGAAACTAGCTAAAGTTTTAGTAAAACTTTTTATTTATTTAGGTTCTATCCTACTATAGTTTATAGGCGTATTTTAATTACTTTCTATATAAAGCCTATTTTTACTAGCTATAAAGCTTCTACTTTTAGCTTAGTAACTATAGTATTTCTTTTAATAGATATACTACTAGTAGTTTCTAAGGTACTTCTAATACCTAGAGGTATTTTTATAAGTAAATTTAAATATAAGAGGCTAACTCTAAAGGTAGTTACTAGTATAAATTAGATAAATTTACTAAGAATCTATAGTACTAGTTTTTCTCTACTTATAGTTCTTCTAGTAGTATACTAAGAGTTTCTAAAGTGTAGGCAGTAGTATAGGTATTAGTAGTTAGGCCTACTAAGCTCTAAGGCTTTACTTACTAAGGTTTTACTAGGTCTAGTCTATTATAAGGTCTACGTAATTTTTAAGTTTAATTAATTTTTATATCTAGTTAATTTTTAAGTTAGTATATTATATATAGGTAGTTTTTATATCTAGATATTATATCTACCTAATTTTTAGGTTTAGATTTTAGGTACTAGCTTAGTATATACGTACCTATTTTTACGTACTTTTAGGTTAATAATTAATAACCTAATATTTCTAGAATATATATAATAGTAGTAGTATAGTATTATAAATCTAAGTTCTAACTATAATATTATTACTATTAGACTTCTATTTATGTTTTAATTTCTACTATATTTTACTAAATTTTAGAGGTATCTATAACCTAAAGGAGTATAATATTCTACTTTAAGTAAAGTAGACTTACTTATAAAATAGAAATTCTAAGTACCTTATAGTATTCTACTCTAAGTAGAGTAAACTTAGTTATAAAATAGAAGTTCTAAGTAACTTATAGTATTTTACTCTAGATAGAGTAAACTTACTTATAAAATAGAAATCTAGAGTACTTTATAGTATTCTACTTTAGGTAAAGTAAACTTACTTATAAAATAGAAATTTTAAGTACCTTATAGTATTCTACTCTAGGTAAAGTAAACCTACTTATAAAATAGAAATTCTTAGTAACTTATAGTACTTAGTACTACTTTATAGAAAGTAGACTTATTTATAAAATAGAAATCTTAAGTAACTTATAGTATTTTAGTCTAAGTAGAGTAAACTTACTTATAAAATAGAAATTCTTAGTAACTTATAGTACCTAGTACTACTTTATAAAAAGTAAACTTACTTATAAAATAGAAATCTAGAGTACCTTATAGTATTCTACTTTAGGTAAAGTAGACTTACTTATAAAATAGAAATTCTTAGTAACTTACTATACCTAGTATTACTCTATAGAGAGTAGACTTACTTATAAAATAGAAATTCTAAGTAACTTATAGTATTTTACTCTAAGTAGAGTAGACTTATATATAAAATAGAAATTCTTAGTAACTTATAGTATTTTACTCTAGGTAGAGTAGACTTACTTAAGAAATAAATAGCCTAAGTAACTTATAATACTCTACTTTAGGTAGAGTAGATTTATATAATAAATAAAAGTATATTTTTATAAATTCTTTTTCTATACTTATTATAATATTAGTATTTTTAGTTTTTTTAACCTTAACCTAACTCTTTTACTTAGATTATTACTCTATTATAGAGCTTTTAAGCTATTAAATAGTTTTAGTAAAAATAGTATAATAGTTAATAAATTAAAAAAAGTTATAGTAATAATATAGTACTACTATAAATAGGTAAAGCTTATATAATATTAGTAATATAAGTTAGTAAAAATATTATAAACTTTAGTTAGACTATTTAATAGTAGTAAAGGTATATTAATAGACTTTACTTTAAAAATATAATAGTTTTAGTAAACTTTAGTTAGATTATATAATAGTAATAAGTATAAGTTAGTAAACTTTACTTTAAAAATATAATAGTTTTAGTAAACTTTAGTTAAGCTATATAATAGTAGTACCGTAAGTTAGTAAACTTTAGTTAAACCTTATAATATAAAACTAAAGTAGAATAAACTATAGTTACTATATAATAACCTAATATCTACTAACCTAATTTATATAGAGTTAATTTTAAGACCTTAATATTATAAAGTTTATAAATAGTAGATATATACTATCTCTAGATAGTTTAAAGTACTTAAAATTAAAGACTAAAAGTTAATAAACTATTATATAGGCTAATATATATATAATAAGAAGTTATCTATCTACTCTCTGCAGAGTCTATAAGTACTGTATACTATTCTTATAGCTTGTAATATTGTAGCTTATATATTTCTAGCGTAGTAACGATAATAACGCCCTGTTAACCTTATCCGAGTCGTTGGCCCAGGCTAATCGAGAATAGTAGGAGTAAGTTATTAAATCGCCTCTCCGACGCTAAATCCGCGACTAACACAATTTCTTCTACAAAGTGTTACTTCTAAAGACTCCCACCGTGCCTAGTGGGTTAATAACCTCTAAGACTAGATTGGCACCTTCTTGATAGACCTTAACTCATCCGCTTAGCTTGGCCTCCCGATCATCGGTGATCCTCAAGACAAGATGCTGGACTATGCCTGTAGCAACGGTCTTCCTTCTCGCACCCTCAAACCTCTTTTCAAAACTCGTATCGGCGTCGACGTTTCCGCTGGCAGCAGGATGGGAAGGGGCATGGTCGTCACCACCACCATCATCATCAGACAGATCAACATCAACATGTTGATCCCGAAGAGCCGTGGAAACCGCATCCAGCAAGTCATACTATTACACATGATAGTTTTACGGAGGACAAGATCTCGAAGCTGTTTCACAATGCGGATTGTACTGAAACTAGGTGGAAACTGGCTAACAAGTTGAGTTATGTTCCTGGAGCGAGGACGGGGAAGATGCAACTATTCTGGGCAAGAGCTACAAAAGGAGAGGGGAAGCAAATGGTACATAGCTCGTTGTAATACTTTACAAGGCAAGATTCTATCAAGAACTGACGGTTCCCATCGAAGACCAGGATAAATACAATGAATGCCATGCCCCTGTTTAACTCTCTCCTTGCCAAGACACCCCTCAAACTTCTGCTTCCTTCGGTAGCCGTAGCAATCTCGCTAGTAAAGTTCCTTATATTGCTGTCTCTCGGTACTAAATTTCATGCGAGCTATGATGTATATGTAGAGGACAAGATACCTTAGTAGAAGTAATGTTTTCCATAGTCAATAGAACCGCCAGTAATCGGAGACTTTAAATAAGCACTTTTTCAGAATCATTCACCCAAGCATCTCAATGGCTCCGAAAGTATAGCAAAGTCTGGATACTTCCAAGCCAAGATAATTGGTAATCATCTAAAAACTTAGTCGGCTCGTTAGAAAAAAATAACACCAGCACGCCAGCACATTATTTTGGGGGCGCCATCAAAATCAAACATTCCATCCAATAATTAACTTAACAACCACCTATAACCACCCACAGTTGCGCACACCTGGCTCATATATAACACACCATGGTTACCGTACCCAGAATCGAAGGGTATAAGGCATAACTGTTAGCTTATCCTAAAGATCCGAACCAAACCTCTCCTTTGCAAGTCAACGCAAAGGCAACTACTAACCTTTCATGCATTGGGAGCACCATCGTTGTCGTGGGAGAGACGAAGCTAGCACTTACGAAACTCGCTAACCACCTTCTTATCCGAGGTCTCCACTGTCAGAGACACGAGCTAATATTCCTAGAAATCCTCGCAAAGTTGTGCTTTACTTGCGTATTTAAAGCCATCGACATCAACACCTACGTCATGCTTGTCAACGAACCCAACGTTCACAGATCTCCTGTCTGTACAGAAGGAAGCGTTCCGATCCTAGGCGTCCCTATAACAGTCTCCTCGACACACTCCTCCTCCTCATCGGTCACATACACATACGTCCGCCAAGCCAACTCAATAATTGGCTTTTTGAAACACCACTACAACAAGAATCCCCTCGGTTTTATAGCCCCGTCAGTCATTCTCAAAGCCTTGCATAACATTTTCGAATGTTTCGTCGAAGTCTGCGTTTCAAGTAGTAGGTTACTCGAGGATAAGCTCATTATCTCAGAGCAAGTAATCAAAACAATCGCAGCTTAAATACTGCACCGCAGTAGTCGTCACGGCCAATTCAAAACGTGTTACGTAGAACTTCGCGGCAAGAGGCGGCAAAGCACAATGCAGAATCGATCGTCTGCACAGCACAAAGCGTCTGACGTCATGGCGTTACTGCCCGTTTCCCAGTAGTGGAACACTCGAAAAAGAACTGCCACGTATTTCTAAGGCAATCTTCTCGCCGTTGGTGTTGCTTGAGCAATAAGAAATCGTCGTTTGTTATAGCAGATAGCTACTCTACTCTACCTTGATTTTCCGTCCTCGTCCTTCGTTACTTTGCATCTTAGACAGTACGACTAGGGCAGTATTTGGCCATCAGCATTGAATTAGATCCTGTCCCAACTCGCTGCCACCTGGCATAATGTACTTAACCAAGGCCCTGGCGGGAACGCTTCCCAGGAAAGCTCCCAACACTGAACGTCATCATGCGACACTCAATGATCTGGGTCGTTACAAGTATGCAATCTATAACATTGCTCCCTTGGACGCAGTAGCTCGTCATCAGCTCGAAGCAAGCATCAACTCAGGCGAATATAGCGGAAAGAGTTCTAAGCTTGCCCCGCAGCCAGACTTCAGCAATCGTTCGCTCCGAGATGTGTATAACTACCACATCCATCTACGCGACGAGGATGACTCTATTCATCCATTCTACTTCATCGTAGCCGATCGTGTTAGTCTGCCCGAAGATGGAGTGTTAGTTGTTCATCTTAATTCTAGTATGGACGAAGAAGACGTCGTAGGCGTTGGACGCTGTGGTGTTGATATGGCGGATACATGGGGCGGGAATCTCGATATCGGCAATCAGGATTGGCTTGACTTGAAGGAGATGGAATATGAAGAGTGGGGTGGTGACAATCCATACGAAGATGACAGCAAAGATGACGCGGTCACCCACGAGGTGGGCGAGAGCAGCCCTGGGATATTGACGTCACGGACAGCAACAGCACAGGGCTTATCGTCTTCGGGTGGAACGACCAAAATGGTTTACGGTTGGTATAGTTTGGTTGAAAAAGGTGAGAAGGATACATCCTCGCCTCCACGTACTTGCTTTTCGACTTACTCCGCTGCAGCTATTTATATCGAATCCATGCTTGACCCTGAATGGCTTGAGAGAAAGCCCGGGCAATCCCGCTTTCAGATGCTTGGAAACTTCTATTCCTCGACTGACCCGTGGACCGAGATACGTGCGTCCCATCCACGCCAGTGTGTTTTTCGACCAAACATTCATCGGACTCTTATTCTAGTCGCAGAGCAAGAGGACGCAAATCAGTCGGAAGGGGTGACAATTGTACGCTTGGACTGGGATGGAGATACAAATGGTGTTGAGGATGCAAATCCAGCGCTGAAGCCAGAGATCGAGATATTGTTCAAGGTAAGCGCAGAGAAAGCGCTTGAAGCGGCAGATCGAGTAGTACTTCAACTTGATAGCCTTGACAATCATTAATAGGGTGTACAAGTATGTATTAGCTGTAAGTTTAGCACGAAGTATGATTTAGGGAATTACATGACAACGGTTACTAGGTGAGCATACTATATGACACTAAAAACTTTTTTGTAAAAGTAGGAATTGAATTCTAAATCTCAAGAGAACACTTAGAGGGAGACAAGCAAACTAATGCTGGCATATGTCGATCGTCTTTCGCGAATGTGAGATTTTCCCAAGTCAACGTCGGAATTGCGGCACCAAATACACAGGTTAAAGGAAATGTATATTACTTGAAATAAGACAATGTCGTGTAAGCAAACACTGTACCCATTCCGACATTTGATATGCTCTAGTTCGAAAATCCTGTTAAAGTTGCTCTCGTTCCTCTACTGGATATACCTTTGTCGCCTCATTTGCCTTGATAATAGCTTCCCTCGCTCCGTTCCAGGTGCGTCTTTTGCCTGTTTCGAAGTACCGAAAAGCGTGCGCTGTCTCCACCCCATTGTTCATGAGCCAACTCATCTTCGGGTCCCACAGAAAGAATTTCCATCCTCTCCAACCCCAACCCAGGTTCTCCATTCCAGTGCCCGCCACGTCGTGCAAAAACTGTTGATACTCCCATGTCTTAACCGCGGATGACTCGAAGCCAAGGGGCTCAGTACGCCATCGGGCGGCAAGCCATTCTTGATGCGCGTCAATCTGTGCATTCATCTTTTGGCGAGATGGTAAAGGATGAGTGCCGCGAAACACGTTGGAAACGGCCATTGACTGTACATCATTGAAGGAGAAGCCATTGTTTTTACCGTAGGCGGAATGACACAAGAATGCCATCGAGTCAGCATACTGTGGGGGGAAAATGTTCATCCACAAGCGTACAAGGTCCGGACCTTTGTACTGTTGTGGACGGTTGTGTTCAAGAAAAGGCGCGACACCGAAATCAGCATAGTAGCCTGTAGCACAGATAACAGCATCGATGTCGTCGAGACTTGTGCCATCACTAAACTCGATGGAGCGCGGCCCTGTGAAGCGTCGAATACCGTGCAACGAGGTGAGCTTTCCTTCTTTTAGTAAGGGTATTAAGCTGTTCGAAGCTCCCGGTAGTGAAAGCGTAATCGATGGTGATGGTAGCACACGCCATGACGGGTCCAACTTGCCCCAGTGGCTACGCATGAAGAAGTTGAGACCTTTGTCCGTCATCCACTTGTATACGGCGGGCAAACGTCGTTGCAGAAACAGGCTCATCTGGCGACGGCGCCACGTGACCAACAAGTCCCCAGGAACACCTTTTCGCCATGTCGGAAAGACGTAGCCACCTCGACGGTGCGACATGTAGACTTTCGTAGCAACAGGTAGGAGGTTGTTGATTATCTCAGAGGCGGTGCTAGACATGCCTACAACAACGATGTTCTTACCCTCAAACCCTTGAGCACTGCCATGATTAGCACGAGGCTTTGTTCTATAGCGTCAATACTGACCTTCGGTATTGTTGTGCATGACTCAGACTTCCCGTGAACAGCTCTTCTCCTTCAAATTTTGGCATGTTCGGTCTGTTCTGGTAGCCGTGACAAAACACGACTTTGTCGAAATCCTCCCATCGAGGCTCACCCTCTACCAGTATCTCTATTCGCCATCTCGAATCATCTTCATTTCGTATAGCGCGTTGAATGGATGCACCGAAGACAACATTCTTGAGAAGTCCAAAATGACGTGCATAAGATTCGAGATACTCTTGAAATTGTGCTTGGGAAAGATGACTGGGATATCCTGACATGTGCCATCAGCACACATGTTGATGTCACCGAAGCTGGGAATGACCAGGCAGAATGGACTTACTATCTGGCATTGGGAAATCGGTCATACCGCAAGTATGTTTACTGATAAGAGCGCGCGTTGCTTGTAGTAACTTGTGATAAGTTCTCTGATCTGTCACACTGCAAATCATAACACATACATTGAAGTGCCGAAGTCATGGATGTATCATCAGTATAGGCCCATAGACCGCCAACCTGTTTCCGCTGCTCGTAGCAAGTCACGTCGAAGCCGTCTTCACGTAAAGTTTTGAGCATAGACACTCCGCATGCACCTAGATTGTCTGTTAGTCATCTTCCAATCTCCTAATTTTGATACTGTTGCGGCTCACCGGCGCCTACCACAGCGATTCTTTGTTTGCCCATGTTGACCAGGGTGCAAGTCGCTAGAGTTCGCAACATAAACTGCCTTGGAAAGGTGAAGATATATCGTCAGGCATTCTCAAAATGATATTGATATAGTATTCAACTGCTAAGTTAGGCAACCAATGCCGCTGACGTGAGATGGACCATATATGGTCTGCTTTGTAGCATGCGATGGTAGTTTTCGGCTTATCCCTCGTAAGCTGTCCTATGACAAGCACAATGGATCGCTATTGCATGCCGCATGGTGTCATATCATGACGGGGCGTAAGAACGATGAGAGTCGGTCGGCATAAACAAATGGGAGGCACTACAATAATCAAAGAAATGATTGCGTCCAGAAGTGTTGTACCGCAGAAGATAAGCTACTCTAAATGACGATAGTATTGGATCTAGGCCCTTTGGTCAACACCTGCAGGAAGGTTGACGTGCTGAATGCTCAATGAGAGACTATAGGTATGTATACAAGAACTGCAAGTCCCTACGCAATGAGCCAGTTAGCGACCGCAAAGCGCAACAGGGAGACCGGGTGGGGCGACGCCTCGCTTGAAAAACAAAGGTGGCTGCAAGAGAAACTCGGCACATCGCGATCAAGGAGTGCAACAGAGCTTTTGACATGTGTGTGAACAACTTCAATCGTTGAGGAAAATGCAAGCAGGTTCTCGGTGCAAGAAGATGACGGCGCGCGTTTTACGCGCACAGACCAGAATCGAATGTCTCGAGCGTGGTTGCGGGACCGAGCGACAAACTAGCAAGGATCCAGCCACGCTCTGAACGAACCCCTGCCAGTTTGCATGTTGTTCACCCTTGAAATGCAGTTTTTGAGAGCGCTTTTCGCACTTCCAGTTCTGTACAGCAATCCGAATGCCAATTATGTATTCTAGTTTCTATGCATATGGGATTGTGTTTCAAGGCCACCTTCCTCTTGAGCGAGTGGTTGAGACAGCCCGGCCGCTGCTCATCGTGCTTCTTGATTGGGCGCCAGCTCACAAGTGGTGCGGGGTGCCTAAAAAGATCTATGGGACCCTGTCAGCGATCACGTCTGGGGATGTGACGCGCACCCTCGTCCCTTCTCACCGGCCTTCGTGTCCAATTACCCACGATAGCGTATCTTCTGACTGTATCGATCTCTGGCGTATGCCAAATTGTCTGTGGACACGTCACGGTAACGTACGCGAAACCCAACGAGAATTTACCCCGCTGACATCCTAAGTGAATCACCGTGGATGCTGCACTGCTGGAGACGTTCCGATAATAGCATCTTGTTGCCACAATACAAACGATTGATAGGTATCGTAAGACATCCTTGGCTGCCGCGCAGGTAAATGTCTCTACCTGATTGCATAGATGGTACTCACTCTCTTAGTCGTAACCTTGTCCGCGCTGCTCTTTCTGCCGATTTCTTATTTGTCGACTTGTGAGCTAGATTCTCCTTGATGTTGCGGTTCATGTTCGATTGCACACAAAAGGTCCATACCTGACTCGATTAGATAGTTTCAGGTCTCAAAGATGACTCCCACTCTCGATCCGGCTCGCATTCGCACTCTCACTCAGGCTGAGATAAAGGCGGAGTTGCAGGTCTTCAGTACCGAAGGAACAATCGTGTCGGTTACACAGCAACTTCTCGATTTGATTGAGCGAGGTTCCCTCTCGGCTTCTACATTTAGAATTTGGCTCGCCGTATCCAGCTCGCCCGTTGTCCTCCGGCAGTCGTTGGAACAAAACATATCAGTTGGCGTCAGACTCTTGGGGATCAAGCTTCTCCACAAAAAGCTTGGTTCGCCACGTTGGAGAGAGTTCTGGGATGGCCTGGGCGGCACAGCAGGATTACTGGACATCCTCAGCAACCTGTCCGTGAGGGAAGTGCAGGGAACATGTCAAGCTATCGGGCGTATGGTGAGAAGCGGAGAGTTGGACGCTAAGCGTCAGAGGGGCACGGAGCTTTTCAAAAGCCTGCATCCTACGTTTTTCCCGGATATGCGACACAAAACGACGGACTTGCGACAATTAACGAAGTACTATCAGCTTCTCGTACCGAGCTGCTCACAGGATCTTGTCAACGAACTCATATCTGGAGAGAATGTGGGAAGATGGCGACATATCAATAACAAAAATTTGCTTCAATACCACTCGGAATGCGTCGGGAGACATGGGATGCAATCAGTCTCCGCTGGCTCTTCGGTAAATGGGAAGACCAGCGCGAACTTAGAGGCGTTATCTAGGCACTTTCCATCTCAAGCGACCCCAGAACCCGGAATATCGGCCTCCATGGCGTTTTCTCTAGACCTGTTGCGTGAGCTAGTCCAAACGGGCACTCGAATTGTAGACGTTGAGTGGGCCGTTGATGTGCTCATCCGACCACTACTCAAGCGCGCCGTCCGAAAGAAAGTCAGCTCGCCAAGAATACAGGAGATCGTTGACCTTGTCCTGCAGTACCTGGAGCGACATCCCGGCGCTGCAAAACGTCTCACCAACAACAGAGATGATGTACTCCACCTGATCGCTTCATGCTGGTCCCGCAGGTCGGTGAAGTTTGAGAGACAGCTCAAGTATGTACTTCACCTAGTCTTCGACGACATGACCCAAATATCCGCATTCGAGGACCTCATGATCGGAATTCCGAAGTCACGACGATACGCACTCTTGCGCCTGTGCGTCCAAGAAATCATGGGGATAGACCTAGATGCCGAGACGGGCTTAGGAAAGCTCCGAGGTCCTCTCACTTCCGATTTACTTGAGTGTATCGAGTCATCACAAGCCTTGGACCTGTTTACACGTCTACGACAGGCTAGAGGCGACGAAGGCCTCATCCAACCGGGTGAATACAGCTCTGTCTTGGGAGTTACACGAACGCACCATATGTACGAGGGGGACCCTGATCTCTATTACCTTGTGCTCCTTCGGAAAAATGGTCTCAGAGAAGATGCAAAGTCGTTCGCTGTAAAACTCCTGGAAACTCGAAAGAAAAGAGCCACGTCGACTTCAGATAGAGAGAAGCGTTCAGAATACGCTGTATCGGCTTGGGCATGCGCAAATGCCAGCGGATCGTTGAGCCTGCTCTCAGATACCCTCCAATGGACGAAACGGTTTATTCGTGACCAGTTCACGGCACGCAACCTTTACGCAACACATTTTGATGAGACATATACGTTACTGTCTGGCTTCTTCTATCCCTCTGACAACATGAGCTTCCCCGAACTTCGTCAACGAATCGAGCGCGCGAATACAATCATGGCGGATTTGTTTGATGTTGCATGCTCAGCCTTGCACGAGCCGTCCTTTTCCGTGCATGACTGGCGCGGCACTATTGAACTCTTCCAACACGTGGTAAAAGAACGCTTGAACCTGTCAGAAGATCTTCGACAAGCAATAAAGGCCTCGGACGACGAGATGTACACAGTCTTTTGGGAGCACACGGTTGTAACCCTTGTCGCAGTCGAGGAGAAAGCTAACCAAGAAGGTCATGAGCGTCTAGGGGCCAATCTTCTTTCTGGGATCCTAGGTCGTGGAATGGATATTGGAATCACGTTCAAAAACCAAGATGTATCAACAATAACATTTCTGGACAACCTTGCGAGGGCCAGGGACAGACTGTGGCAGAAAATACGACTGTCTAGGTATCCCGCAGTGCTTACACTACCGGCGGCATTCCCACGCGGCCTGCCGGTACAACACCTCGTTGCACCTTGGTTCCCCGATATTCGTAATTTGCAACAGCACGCGCCGTATATTTTCTCTCGTGTTATGACCTCTCTTTTCATTGAACCAAAGGCGGCGCTCGATCTCGCACCTACAAACAAAGAAGCCGTGGACGCTATCGGTGCGTTTGTAGATAGCTACCAATTCGCCTTGAGGGTGTACATTCCTGAAGCCTATGAACCACAAGAGAAAACGATGCGATTGACACAAGTTTGGAACCACGCCATCGGACCGCTAAGCCAACCCAGGATGAGTTCTGATGAAGCCATTAGGGTTTGGAAAACCTACCTCCCACAGTATCTTATGGAACTCCTACCCAATATCCTGCCCGAAGAAGCGAAACATGTTTGGCCACTGATACCAAAGACGAAAAACCCAGCGAAGACCCGAGAATGGAATCCACTTGCGAACGGTCGGCCTGAAATCAAAGCACGCAGTCTCGGCGATCCGACGTATATCGACATCTCCACGTTGGGCCTCTACAACGCAGTCGATCGTGCTAAGATCCATGATAGTTATCCTCTACCTGCTCCACAAGTTCCCGCTCAAGGAGAAGTTTTGATCTGGCAGACAGCAGACATCGATACTGATGGCGGAGTGCTTGCTGCTCTGCTATATCTGGATACGAAGCAGACCTCTGGAGAGCGCCTGCTGTGTTCGCCGTTCCCATCTCATGCTGATGCCAGATATCCATGTCTCTATCTCGACGAAGAATTCCTGTCGCGGGAAGATCTTTCACCATTGGGTGCAGCACGATATCTGAATAACCACGTGGGCTTCGCGCCACCTCCCCTGCTGTATAAGCTTACTGAAAAATTACTGAAAACTTTGGATCCAGGGCATGATTCGATTGTTCTAGAGCAAGTCATCTGCCAGCTTATTCAGGCTTTGGGCAGAAGCGATAGGCCAAGTCTTGCGTCCATACTTGCCATTCAGGTCATCATTGAGCAACCCAGCGCCAGCTCCTGGAACCGCATATTGTTGAATAGAGGCTTTTTCCAGCGTCTGTCCACTTCCAGTGCGAAAGATTGCGTCGATTGTTTCGCTGGAGCAGTCGTGGCGAAATTGGACGCACAGGCCAAAGCGAAAGAAGACTGGCAAGTCAGGGTGACCCTCGATGCTGCCACAGGAACCGATCCGGGCAACACTCAACCTTCAACGCAGTCCTTTGTCAAAATTACGACTGTGAAGTTGCTGATTCAACTCCTGCACGGAACAAGTTTCATTGGCGACGACTCCTCACTCAACATACTTTCTGTACTCTCCGAGAAGGTCTCGCATATTGATGTTCGTATTAGCATTTTGAAAAGTCTTTTGAGCATGCTTCAACCTGGTCCGCTCGAGACATGCGAACGCGTGTTTACGGCTCTTCAGCCTCTCCTGCCGCTGGTAGGTAGCTTGAATGAGCGCGAACCCTTGACAGAAAGGGACTGGGTAAACGCTGAAGACACCCTTTCACTTCCTGACGTTCAACCCACCAACAACATCCTGTGGAGTAGTGAGTCCTCCATGTTGGCTGCGCTCATTGTTCACTATCGCCATCAGCCTGAAGATATGAAACTGCGTGGACTGTTTTCCAAACGTATCGTAGTCCCTTTACTTGACGCGTTGAAGCAACAGACTACAAGATGGGCAACACTGTTCCTACGAAAATACGCAATGAATGATCTTGAGATCCAGGGCATTCGACTCCCAACCATTCCACGAGGCGGTTCCATGTTCAAGCTGATTCTCTCAGACGTAGGCTTACAAGCAAGCTATCTGCCCCGTGCGTTGCTTGATGAGTACGCAGCGTACATAACATTCAACATATCCCCGCCCGACCCAATTCGAGCTTTGAACAAGAGACTCCGGGACGATCCTGTCTTGAAATCGCAACCAGAGGTTCAGACATGGCTGGACCTATACGGGAATGGGCTTAACGTCTGGACGGACAGTTTGGATTTTGACACAATTTCTGACTTGGCAACTGAGGACCAGGCTGACAATGATGATATCATTACTCCCAAGGCTTTTCAGGAGAGCTTCCTCATAGTCTTTGCCGCTATGCTGTGGAACGACAGCCCAACGTACTCCAATCTTCATTTCTTCACCGGCCAGATATGTCAAACCAAGAACCTATCCAAATCGTGGTGGACTGAGTATGGCCGTACTACAGTCGAAGCTATGCTTGTACGTGTTTGTAGCATTCGCACACAAAATTGGGAGCGCGATCCCAGCCGTCGGCCTGCCGTCCTGCCTGATACATACCCGTGGCGGCTGTTACTACTCGCCTACCCGTTTCTCGACCCGGAAGATACTGCTGAGGTTCGAGAAGAGAAGTGGAGAACGTTTGCGCAGCAACTGGCGATCATCATAGATGAGAAAGGTGGCGCGCCATATCACATTAGGCTGGCCCATATCAAAGACTACCTCCATGGTCTGGACTCGAATGGAGTGTACCAAACCACGATGCTTACGACACTTGTGTATCTAAGCGACAGATCAAAGGAGATGTCATCACAACTACCAAATTCAGAAATGCTCCAAGTAGATTTGGCTAAGAGTATCATGGAGAGAGTGCACACGTTGGAAGATGATAGTTTGAAAGTGCGTTTACGGGTTCTAGTGTCCAGCTGGATAGCCAGTGAGAACGAGTATGTACGACGAGTAGGATTTGAATTGCAGGAGCAATATTTCCAAGGCGACATCGGCTGAACTACAAGTTGTGGACAGATCCTTGGTCTCTTGACATATCTCGAATGGCTGAAATCTTTGATGGCCCAAAAATGGTCGGAAGCAAGAAGAGAAATGGTTATCAATTACTCATTGCATCTTTAAAGTTTGTTTTCTGCTAGAGCAGCGGCCCTATAGATTAGTGCACAAAAATATTGTCAAAATGCGTAACTTGTGACAGCGAGTAACAAACTACAGCAGGAAGAAAAGAAAACAAAGTCGAGAACGAAAATGGGTTCACAAAAAAGACTGGTCTCATAACAAATGGGTGGGATCTCTTAGTTGATCACTTACAATCAATACTTATAAAAACTTAATATACGGTGTAAGCCCCTGCACTCATGTTTTACTAATCGAGTCCCTGATTTGGGTAGCCTAAAAGAACTATCTAGTCGAGAAGACTACGTCTAGAGAAACCAGTTGCTTAGACCGTTACACATCAAAAACGCATGGACAAGTCGTAACTGAGTCGTACTTGACGTGGTCTACCTGTTTGCAAGCGGGCCGTGCCACAATTCACTATTGCATGGTCCTGCTCCTCCTTGTCAAGAAACATTTCCGATTCGTACAGAAAAGTTAAGAACAAAGCTACTGTCTTGGCTACGCCCATATCAGCGATGGATATACCACAAGAAGTGGTAGTCGTGAGCATTCAGGTACAATGGACAGTGATCGTCAAGTGAAACACCTTTGATTCGAGATGACTAGCTAAATTTGTCTCGGAGCACGCGCAACCAGGATCCGATAACCAACTCAGCGTATTGAGAACCAATTCAAGCAGAAAACAATCCAGAGGGTGCTGTATCACGACGGTGGCCTTTGGCCGCCATACCAGCCTCAAAAGGCATCTACTCCCTGTCCTGACCTTCCTTACTGAGCCCGTCCATCTAGACCTCTTCGGCCGCTCATCTTCTCGTCCAAGCCTTGGGGGTCAGGGCCAACAGGGTCTAGATATCTATTTGTCTGTATCTACCATTTGTCAGCTCATGGTAAAAGTGAGGAAAAGGGGGGCAGAGGATGACTGACGAACTCAGGCGCTTCGGGAAATTTTCCATGCCTCATCCGCCTCAACAGCGTTGTCGCGCTTCGAGATTTTCTGAATACTTGTCAACACAACTTCCGCGTTCAGCAGTAGAGGCCGAAAGTGCTTACCCAAGCTTCGTCCGCCTCAACAGCCTCGGCGCGTTTGGAAATCTTCCATGCCTCATCAGCTTCAACAGCCTCAGTGCGCTTCGAGATCTTCCACGCCTCGTCCGCTTCCATAGCATCAGCGCGCTTCGAAATTTTCCATGCCTCATCAGCTTCGACATCCTCAGCACGCTTGGAAATTTTCCATGCCTCGTCTGCCTCAGTGCGTTTTGAGATCTTCCATGCTTCATCGGCTTCGGCGCGGCGCGAGATCTTCCTATTCGTGATTTAGGATGACTTTCATCTGCCGAGAGCTGATATAAAGTTGCTTACCAGGCTTCGTCTGCCTCAACGTCTTCAGCGCGAGGGATAATGGGCAATACTATGGCTTGTACTCCAAGAGCCAATACGAAAGCAGCGATAATAGAGTTCGAAAAACGCATCTTGTAAGATTTGGCGAGGCTGGGATGTGAAAGAAGACGAATAGGTGCTGAAATGTTTGCTGTTTGGAGAGACAATGGAGCAGTCTTATATAGCCTTCGGTAGTCTTGTGCTGTTGTACTAACACCCAAACATTCAGGTTTGAGATCCATAGTGCAAACTCTGGTCCATTGCTCAGCTTAGTGCTTACTTGCCATTGTCACTCTGCCTGAAAAAGACGTGCATACATCAGTACTACCTTCTGTTTTGAGAAGATGTACATCGCAGATTCAACACTGTCCAAGTAAGATTTTAGTCTGTCAATAAACTTTGCAGGTCATTACGTTGCGAGTGACAGTCATGCATTGCACAGATCGAGATTCTTGGACTTTCGTCCGTCCGACAGTATTTGGGGTCGAGGCAGTCGCCCACTTCTCTTCGTATACCCTCTCACTATCTTGCAACTTCCATTCTACACAGCTCTATTCACTACATTCTACTTTGCTCTTCCATGCAATGGAAAAATATTCGTCAATCGCCACTTCTGACAAGTCCTCCGCTGAGGGCTTACTCGACAAAGAAGCTCGCGCCAGTCTTGACTCCAATTCCATGGAGATCTTCGGCCTGGATTGCAAGCCTCGCTCCTGGTATCGACGTAATGAGCGTCTTCTGATCATGGGGATGGTTATTTTCCTGGTCAACATGACTATTTGCGTTGTCTATACTCATTGGCTTACGTCTCAATACTCTCACTTCCAGCCGGTCTTTCCTTGTGAGTACCTGTCTAATATCGCCTTACCTTGTACGCTGCTAACCTTTGAAAGCTCCTGCGAAAGACGTAATAGAATACGAGGCGAGGGCGTGGGATCTAGACCATATCTATCTCGGCAACGGGACAATGAATCCCGAGAAGAAAGGGCACTTCAATGGAAAGCCCACTCCCGAACTTGCCGCAGAGTGGAAAGAGCTTTTGCAACGTATGTAGTCAAATTCTACCTGGGCATGAAGGGGACCTTGCAAAAGCTGATTGTGGATACTCAGACCAAAACTTCCGTCTACAGAAAGAAGACTTTGGACCATTTGCAAACGATGAGAACTTGGTCCAACTCTCAGACAAGTCCGGCTACTTCGCAACTATAGCTGTCTATCACGGCTTACACTGCCTCAAGAGATTTCATCATTATCTCTACCAGGATGAGTATTACCCTGATATGTCTGCTGACGACAAACGTCGGCTGTTATTCCATGCTGGTAAGTCCCAATATTTATTTCTTACTTTTGCACCATGAAACTGCTGAAGATCTGCCAGAGCATTGTGTCGACTGGCTCCGACAGTACGTCCAATGTAACGCCGACACAACACTCATTCCGTACTATTGGGGTTCGAAACAAGGATCACCATTAGCCACTGACAAAGCACAACATCAATGTGTAGCATGGAAACCCTTGGAGCACTGGGCAGCCGAGCGCGCCTTCAATGCTTTTGAACCCGGTCTTCTCGTACACCCCACTTTTGGTAAGCTCTTGCTGGCCTGGAAAAGAGTGGGCAATGCGCTAATTCTCAGTAGGAAAGTTGTTTGGCGAAGACTACCAAGGTGACCCGCTTGGTATCGTCGCTGAAGCCTATCCGTTGCAAAGTGAGCACGGTGCAGAAGAACATAGTGGATGAAGGAAGTACTGTTCGGCGTAGAAGCGGGGCGTAGTGATATCGCACATGTGTCTCGTCGTGCAGGTCGTGCCCAAATTGTCTTAGCCAATCAAGATTCATATTAATGATCTTTCATATCCTTATGTGGTACGCCTGAAACTATAATTGTATACCTGACAAGACAGGATGATGCATATAACCCCAACTAAGGTTGATACAAGCCTTCGCGGGCCGTGTCGCAGGGTGCCCCAGTGGCGGAGTAGCGTAGGAATAGGCGTACCGGTAATCGCGGGCTAAGGCCTGATCAAGGTTGCCCTAGGTTTGTGCTCATATATGTACTGTTTCTGTGCGAACCTTGTATTTGCTACACTAAGGTTAATCGATTGTAGCATGGGGCTCCTCATTGTTGAAAGGATAATTCTTCATTGACTGACTACCTAGGATAGCAGTAGAATATCTTATATACTTTATCTACTGCTTACTCAGCTATCTACGCTAACCTTGTATTCGACACTCATGTCGTGCACGGGCGTAATGTCATTCGACATCTGTACCCTATATTCCGGCGGACGAAGCTCTGAGCAATGCGAAGTTACCTGGATTGGTGCAAAGAGTCAAGTTTCGAAACACTAAAGCTTGAGGTTGTCTACAAAACAAGGTGTTGACTACTGGTCAAAGGGTTGAGTTAGAAGATGGAGTAGGTAGATGATACACAAGATCATCACTTACCAAGGCTGACATCGACCGTGTGTGTTTCGTACAAGGCGTCCCGCCAAGACGGGCGTAAATCTTGATAAACTTAATTGAAGATTTTGAGTTTGCCAGGCATTGCCAGGCATTGCCAAGCTTACTGCCATGGGTAGCATCCATTGTCAGGTCACCTTCATCTCAACATTCCAAAGAACTGAGTGATTTGCAGGTACAGATACGCCTTGCTAAGACTACACTAAGCGACCTCTTATCTGTCACTGCTCGCTTAATCAAGTTCTCGTATTACACAATGAACTATGCACATTCCTCTTTGGGATTAGTAAGCTTACTGTCTGTGGGTCAAGTATGTCAACAAATTGTCACTTCACAAGGACAGCCAACGTTGAGAAGTCATTTCTACCCAAATAAAGTTTCAAACTGGCCGGGAATTCCTTTGTTCGACCGGTTTGGGTACCCTCCGATCGAGTACATATCCCGACATCCTAAAATACTGCACAACTTTTCCAGGATGTTAGTTCATGCTCTAGGTCTTACGTTCGTGTCATCAATGCATGCTGGTGGTACATCATTGCGGTCAAAATGTTGAGGCAAAGCCGCGTAGGAACGGTAACGCGAGATGGTGAAAGTATGAATCAGGAAACTTGCGGGTTGAAGATCGTTGCATTGCATAGTTCGAGGCTGTCAAATCAAGGCAAAGGCGTTTAGGCTCCCATAAGCGTTGGAGGTGCCAAGATGTATAATGGTACATTGATAGACGCTTACCGAGAAATAGTCGCAACCTGTCACCTTTGCATGAGTCTCGAGGTCAAACAGGTGCCCTCGTTTTCCATGTTCTGGAATCATTCCTTTGTTCAACATTGCTTGTCTGGGGTTTTAATTTCACTGATCATGGAAGCATCCAAAGTCCCATCCCACTCACTAGAGATCTCAGAGTCAAGCTTTCCGCTTATCAGCTTCGACGAAGAACGAGCGTCTGAAACCACACTTCCTTTCCTACATCCCAAACCTGGACATCGCCTCTTAGCCGCTATCCCCCGCTTAGTGGTTGTCGCTTTCGCTATTTGGGGTTTTCTGTCTCTTCTTGTCACACTAACACAGAACATAACCCCTGGAAAGGTCGCTCTTGATATCTATAGACCTACCACACTACCAACGAATTACAATCTATGCGATTGCGGGACCACGATCGCCGAAGCACGTTCCAGAGGATGCAAATACGACTCAATGGGAGCATCCTGGCTGCCCAAGTATTGCCGGGACGAGGAACTGACTGCCGAGTTCGAACAGTCGGGGACTGAGCCGGACAACACCTGGCCTTACTACGCCGACGCAAACGGAACGCACCGAATCAGCATTGACGAAATCGCGGCATCAGGAAAGGGCAGTTTCTATGCCACACGATACTGGCACGTTGCTCATTGTCTGTTCTACTGGGAAAAGTGAGTTGAGATGCGAAAGATTCTTCCTACAACTATGGCAGTGCTGACCACAGCAAGATATGTTCGCATGCGACAGACTGGGGCAGTGATGGAGGCTCGGTTTGATAGCGAAAAGCACACGCAACACTGTCGTAAGCTTGCTCTGAAAAAGAACGCCAATCCTGACTTACTGATCGAGGTTGAGGTAAGCTTTCTCTGCAGCATACGGTTATCACTTTGTCGTTGACTTCCTATAGGTGGTTATGAATTCAGCTGTCGAGATTGTCGATCATGAGCATGAAAACCACTGAAGAGGTAGTTCGGTCTCCATAAGTGCGATGAAAGCTTTAGTGTATGACATATGTAGTTAGAAAGAAACCCCCTAACAAAATGTCGCTTGAGGGTTTAGTCTTCTCCTCATTGTCAACTTGCTTCGTGTCAATTTTCAGAACTTACGTTTCTGCTGGTAAACAATTTGATATTTCGGGACCGTTGTTCAGATCGTAGGTGTTTGGCCACTAGTTTTTGTGTAGAACAGTGTACGGGATAATATCTGTATAACGTGGCTGTTCAACATTGTCACACCATCACACCATCGAGTGTGAATTTCGTAGCTCAAACTTTGACATGCATTGACCATGTATCCCTTGCACTTCAAATTCGAATTGGTAAATGCGGGAGTAGCTACTTCCAAAACAAGTCGTAGTCAGAACACTATGGGCATTCCAAACGCAAATTATTCTGGACATGATCATCTAGCTTGTAGAAACATTGACAAAGATATCATGTTCATTCATCTTGAAAGATATGCCCATGACCCATAACTCGTGCAAATTCAACGATTGTAGCGATGGGAATAAGGTCTCGAAGAATTCAGGAGTCGCCGGAGTTTAGAGTCAGGCCATTGTTATGTGCCCACGAAAACAAGCATGTCCAGCCTGGAGTCCATACGCTTCCCGATAAAGTCGCTGTTACGATACCACAGTAGATACTCATGGTCCGGGCACTGTTATTCGTGATCATCGGATAGGACTTCATGCTCAGAGGACATAACTCTATATATCTCAGATGGAAGATATACAGAACTTCTTCAAGGCGTTCTCCAGATATACATTTGATTTGCTCATTAACTGTGTGAAGTAAAAACGAGGAATCCATTATTATAAACCTTTCGCGGGACAAGTGAGAAATGGAAACCAAACACACAATGTAGGCACGTGAGAAGAGTATGTTATCTATACGCTATATCAAATCACAGTCCATCATTACATCATGTTTATAACTACTCGGACTGCTTCTCATGCTTTCGCTGGTCAGCACTGATCCAGTAAACCTTCTGTCGGATCTGGATCAGGGGATCTTCAGATGACTTGATACCCTTAATTCCGCCTTTTTCCGGAGTTGGGCTGAACGCAATCTGTTGTTGCGTAGCGGCATTGTCTTCTGCAACCTTGTTGATCTTCAGCTTTCCAATCGGAACAAACGTTGTGCTCTTGTATGGGATAGTGGCATCGTCTAGGACATCATCGGGGTTGGCAATGTGTGCCTGGATAGTGAAGATGATTGGCTTGTCTGGGAATCGCTGCTGGAGATCGTTTTCCAAGTAGTTTGGCCCGAGGCTCTTCAATTGCTCCGGATCGTTAGGATAAAAGTGTTCACCATCTGCTGGATCGAGACGGTATCGTATGTTTGTAGCCTTTCCGTCTTTGTTCGTCAAAACGTGAGTGTTGGGCTCGTAGTATGTAATGGTACCATAGTTGAACGGGTTTGGCTTTGGTGAAGTCACAAACTTTGCAGCGGATGGGTGGCCACCAAGGAAGGTTTGAAATGCAACACCAGCTTTCTTGAAGCTTTCTGCCTCCTTTGAACTATCGCCACCCCCAGCTTGGGCTTTGCTGAGTAAAGCCTGGGCAATATTGAAAGCACGGAAAACTTGGAGGAAGGACAAGAAGTCTTCTCCGTTTTTCGTCGCGAATCCATTGAAGGAATGGCTGATAAGATCAGTATGTGTGTCATGGTCGACTTTGAAGCGAATGGCAATGCCCTTAGGAGTGGCACCATTATCTACATCGGCCACATGGGGCAGGCCGCCGCCTACAGAAAAGCGAGCTATCACTGGGGTCGAAGGGTTGTTGAAATGAGACGCTGTCGAAAGCGTATGAGCTTGCTCAGTTGGCGTGAAAGTGCCCTCCACGAGAAGACCTTTGGCGTGGGCTGATAAAGACCATGATGAGTACAGAATCTTGATTGAACGTTGCGTAAAACATACTTGTGCGATAACCAGAGTGCTTTTGAAATAATGCTTGCATCTCGTCCACCAGTTCTTTGGGTAGATTCTCTCCATGACCTGATATCCCGTTCGAAACACCGCTAGACGGAACTTGAATTTGGGAAGACATTGGTGGAATCAATATGAAGATCTCTGCGTATTGCACAGTCGATAAAATATAGCTTGGGCTTGAGACTTTTCTGATGCAGAAATATAGTAGGTTGTTATATAGTTTAGATTAACCCGATGACTTGATCAGACATCACTCTCAAACGATTTCTCTGACTTTCATTCAGCTAGCCACATCGCTTTGTGTGAAGTGATGTGACTGCAGCATGGCGTAGGCAAGCGTCAAAACGTCTTCTGTGATTGACTAGTTCGCTAACTTCAGCTGCTGAGAGTGATCCAATGATGGCCTCGCTTATGCTTGTGGAACCTGTATGAACGCGGTCCGTGATGTAGTTAGCTGTGTATGAAGCGCAGGCTGAGTAAAGATCAGCAGTGATGAAGGTGCATAACCGATTCGCTGCACAGGTAGCTGGAAACATGAGAACGGTCAAAAGAAGTCGAGACAAGGTATCTGTATGGCACGATTACCATATAGCGTGATGTGATTGGATGCAGCAGAGCTGAAGTGATACGTCGGAGCTCGTTCCTTTTGTTCCGCGCCACTACCTTGCCAAACACCTCAGCTCCAGCCCATGAAGCTGAAACCTGATCGAGTAGATGCCTCCGGTGTTGCACTAACGTTAAATTTTCCCTTCCATGGCTTGCTGCAATTACACAGTCATGCAATGCTACTGAACGAACACAGTTCTTGATGCGCGGTTTACCCCGCCGCGGGAGGACCCTTGTGGCTTCCGAGCACCCTCCTCACAGCCAGCCACAATCGAGCCACAATTTCCGAGGCTTGCCACTACGCGGAACGGCCCATGATGCTTGCTTCTCAACGCCTCCCCCACAGCCAGCCACAATGAAGTTGTGATATCTGCAACTACCTGTCATGGGTTTAGTCTCCCAATGTAAAGGTATCACTAGATGGCATGGAAATTGTTAACAGCCAGCCACATTCAAGTGTTATCGCAACACTAGCTGCATCCTCATCCCTAGCCCTAAACTCGACAATAGCTCAGCTCTTTTGCAGGACGCCGTGGTGTAACCACCTCAATCTGATCTGACATGGTGTTTAACTCTTCATCATTGATTTCGAACCTAGCGGAAGCCTGCAGGACTTATCTATTTAGTGGTGTGAGATTATCATCATCTTCGCCAACTCAGTAATGGCCCGTCACGCCGTGGGGCAGAGACCCTAAACATCGTATAAGTCAGGTCAGATAGCTCTCTCGGGGAGAGCGCTGAATGTATTCAAACATGAAAGTCGAGACGGTCTCATATTACAGAGACTTGTAAGCACTCGAAACTACTCGAGTAGGGAATTTGGGATTGGCCTAAATTGATCAGCGTAAGCCGTGATGAATGGATGCATACACACTCCACTTCGGGATCGAGACCATGCAAGTCCAGCCATGTCACCCCTTGATGACGAGGCATTTACTTGTTTAGCTGCAGATTGGAGTTCTATACCGTAAACGCCCAGTGATTGCATGGTTAATCTGGATCAACAACGCAGATTCCATTTCTGTCCCTTCTTGATCATTCAGCAGAGCATGGTATCGACTGACCAATGACCAATACTCTGGCAAATCGGCTGGGTATGTCCGAACAAGAGGTGTTGAACTTACAAAACTTAGCTATCAAGCTTCTGGGCTGTAAAAAGTGAACGACTAATAATTCAATGAGTTCGCATGTAGCACTTGAAAAGACATTGTAGAAGGTAAAAGCAACTATTTCTGGAGGTCTGCATGCTTCGCCTCTATTGAAAGATTTCAGTACACACGAGAGCCATCTTGAGGAACTGTTCTAGGCACAATTTAGCCCAGCTGATAGCCGATCACTTTAGATTTGGTTGTGACAAGTGGCACAATACTAAAATATTCAGCTCGCCTTAAAGGAAGAACAATAAATCTAGTAAGGTGAAATGTTGAACTTGCTGGAACGATGGACGATGTGGCTGCAATACGCAGCTGAACAAGACATCACACGTAGGGTGAAGCGAACACGATCTCTAGTGTCAGAGCTAGTCCTTACTGAGCTGACTTCCTGCCAAACAGTCCAACAAGCATCACAAAACTATACCATGCAGAAAGCAACGAGGCCGTCAAGGTTGTCTGTGGTGGGGAACGATTTTGAAAATTTTGCAGCTGAGAATCGTCTGCACTGTGATCCGCGGAGCTGCCGCACATCGCAGTGGCCCTTGTGCATCAACGCATTGCTCCAACGTGTAGCTGCTATTCAAGGGTACGGCTGAGTTCGTAAGATGACGAATGCAGGTGTACAGAACGCGATACGCTTGAGACAGGTTCGTGTACTCAAAGAAATGGTATAAAAGCTGGACAACCGTTCGAAATCCTTCAACCATCTTTCATGCTCTCGAATATCTCATCTCTACGATTCCTCAAATCTTGATATAGTCAAATTGCCTACCATCCGCCATGTCTGTTGCAACTCAACTTCCACCAGGTGCCGTACCCAAGTTGGATGCCATCCTCAATAGTAAAATCAAGTTTGATGTGGAGGACGACCCTATGAGCGTCTGGGACAAGGGCGTGTTTCTCAACGAACTTCTAAGACAAGGAATCGTGCTTAGTACCGATGATGACGGTTCTCTCGATGGTGGGATCACTGCCAAAAACGGGCTCAAGAAGGGCACATACACGGGCACTCAGACGGCACTGACTGCACTTTATAGTATAATCGAGGGATCGTACGCTCACCCCAATCGCGTGATGTCCTAACATGTACTGACCGAACTTTAGTGCTGCAGCTCACTTCCACTCGAAAGGCTTCGAGCCCATCTTCCCCATGGAGCGAGATCTGGAACTGAAGCAAAAGATATATATGTGGAGCGATGGAACAGACGGTTATCCTCCCCATTTACTGGCACTACCTCCCGATCAGAAAGAAAATGCGCCAGGTGTTGGGACTATCTTCAACCTTGGTGTAAAGGATTTCCTTGAAACTGTTTCGACCGCGTTCTCTTTTCTCGTTCCAGGCAGCATCACTCACGACGAGACGCCATATGCAGGACCGACTCTAGCCGATTGCGAAAAGTTCAACCGCGAACACCCAAGTCCAAGGACGGATATCATGGAGGGTAGGAACCTTGGCGACGAAGCTGACTGGTATTCGGATGCCCGGTTTGCTCAGCAACATCTGAGTGGCGTCAACCCCTGCACCATCAAAACGGCTCCAGCAGAGAAGGTAGAAGAATATATCGACGAAGCAGGCAGGCAGGGACTTGAAGACATGAGGAAGCTGCTATCGGAGGGCAAGGACCTGCTCATCCAAGACTACTCATACTTTCGTGAAGCTACTGGCTTGAGCAACGAACAAACGTTCCAAAACGTTATCCCGGAAATGGACGAGAACAGAAAGCCCACTGGAAAAATGGTCATGCGGTATGCTTGTGCGTCAGTTGTCGTTTTCCAGCTCGGCTCCGATGGACGTCTTCACCCACTGGCCATCACTGTGGATTATAAAGGCGGTCTAGACAAGTCCATTACCATCTTCAATCGGCGACTGAGTCTTGACGAGAAGCCAGACGTTGATGAGAAAGACGACTGGCCTTGGAGGTATGCCAAAACGTGTGCCCAGACCGCTGATTGGGCGAGGCATGAGATCGCAACTCACTTGGTCGACACGCACCTAGTGGAGGAGGCCATTATTGTCGCAACGAACCGAACCATTCCTGAGAAACACCTGTTGTATGAGGTCTTGAGCCCACATTGGTACAGGACCCTCGCATTGAATTCTGCAGCCCGCAAAACCCTGGTCCCCGCTGTCATTGCTCGAATTTCAGGACTTGGGCCTTCGATCAACCCGGTAACAAGCCGTGCAATGACAATGATCAACTGGTCATACAAAAATTTCAACTTCCAGGACAAGTACATTCCGAATGATCTCAAGAAACGAGGATTTGATCTCGAAGCGGAGACTCCGAACAAGTATCGCAACTATCCGTACGCCACCGACATGCACTTACTTTGGGGTGTAATTCGCGAATTTGTGAAGTCCGTTCTTGGGACCAAGTACAAGTCTGATCGGGATGTTCAAGCTGATCATTGCATTTCGGATTGGTACAAGGAGATCCAGACGAGTGGTCAACTCACCAGCTTCCCAACCATCACCACTGTCGATCAACTCATCGATGCTGTTACCATGTGCATTCATACAGCTTCACCACAGCATACTGCAGTAAATTATCTCCAGGACTATTACTACAGCTTCGTGCCATCCAAGCCGCCTGCCCTCTGTGCACCCTTGCCAAAGGACCTCAAGACATTGCAGGCGTACACAGAGAAGGACCTCACCGCAGCGCTTCCTATAGGTACCGACGGCCCAAAATGGAAAGATTGGCTGCTCGCCGCCCAAATGCCCGAGCTGCTCAGTTTCAAGGTTGAGGGCGACTACAACTTGATCACGTACGCCAAGTCAATCTACAATGTCAACAAGAACCGGACAAATTCTGAAAACACAGCATTCGCATCTGAAGCTATAAAGGATGCTGCGAGAAGATTCTATAGCCATTTGAAGGAGCTGCAAGAGATCTTTAAACTTGTTTCGGCAAATCAGACTGACGGAACGATCGAGTACAAGGTTTTGCAACCAGAATACACCGCTGTCTCAATCTTGATTTGAGGACTTTTGTCGGCAATGTTTGGAAGTACTGGATATCTCAATCCTTTCTAGCAATGAAACTACTGCATGAGATTGCGCACTTTGGGCCTGTTATGCATGTTGTCAACTGCACAAGCCTTAGTGAATTGTGACGAGACGTGATGTTCGTTGTACTGACAGGCAATGTTGTTCTAGTCATGGGGTTTGTCAAGACGTAATAATATCGTCTGCTAGCATCGTTACAACTCTGACCAAGCATTCTATAGTGAACGTCCTGGTAGTATATGTAGTAACAAAAGCACTCGCTATCTACATACAGGCTCATAGAAAATTGTTATCTTATGGACTATTCTACTTCAATCTTATCTGTTCCTTTGGCAAGCTATACCCAATCTCTTGTTTTAAGGATCTTTGTAACAGAGGAAGCACTATATCAATTGCTTGAAAATCAAACAAACATACTCGAGGATGACGAAGTGAAATTTCAAGATCAAACTTAAAAAAAGCTAGTTATCGAAACATCATAACTAACCCCACAGATGAGGTTAAATTCTCACGCAAACTTCGACATTCTACTCCAACGTATCATCCTCATGGAATACCAGAGCCCTGACCTCGATGCTCTCCCTCTTCTCCCTTTCCCCCGTCCCAGGGACATGGAATGCTGTATGCGGGACCCTCCTCGCCCTGCCATCAAGCTTCGAGTCAAAGCACTTGATCAGTATTACCTCATCAGGCGTAAGCCCAGACTTGTAGAACCATCTGTCCCAGACCTCATTAGCGTCGACATTGTATGATCATCCACACCATCCCTATAACTCACCGATGTCCAGCGTCATATTTTACGCTAAGCGTCTCACCCCTACGATTCGGGTAGATCAACTCCATGACGACCAAGTCCTTTTCACCCACACTGCTTGCCTCTGCAACACCCAACGGATCACGCTGTATAGTCTTGATAGGGCGCCACACGTTGATAATTTGCACGCGGCTCTGGAGTAACTTTTCTGCTTCTTCGGGTAGATGGTGCGGCACGCGTGAGATTGCTGCGGCATATGACTGGTCGATATGCACGCGCTGGACTGGACCACGAAGCTCTCTGCTTGCTGACTTGTCATCAGGCGCTGGGCGACGAATAGTGTGGTCGAAGATGAAGATGCGGGACGCGCCAGTGCTTCGAAAAATCAGCAAGAACATGAGATAGTGTGCGATATACAGGTACGCACGCATCCTTGAGCAGCTGTTCAGTCTCCTTATAATATCTGTCCTTGATCTGTTTGTCGTCGAGGAAGTCTTTTTCCACGCTGGTGTGCGTGTAGAACTGGAAGCCGTTCACATCAAGCGAGTATTCACTCTCGTGACCTTTGACATCGCGGACCGTCACGAGATGTTCCTCGGACGGTCGGTCGTAAGTTTCCGGCCTACCTATATAGGTAGGGTGGGGAGGCGAGCCGTCTTCATTTGGTTTGTAGTAGTTCAAGACTGTTTGAACGTCATGAGGCCCTGTGGCATTGCGGGAAACGGATGACTGGAGAGTCTCCGGTGTATATGTTGGTGCCGGGGTTGGTGAGAAGACTGCTGCAGTAGCCATATTGCTCGAGTTGTCGAAGGAAATGTTGTTTTATGATTATTCTATTTGCCAAAGTTATATCCTCCTTATATACGCCTTTCATGAAGCATTGGAGGTTCGCCGGATATGTCAGCGAAACGGATTCCCCGCAAGCACGCAATGCACCCAGTCAACTATGCGAACGCATTAGAAATGCTACAGTCGTATCATGTCTGCCATACACTTTTGGCGTATCTCGCTTGTCGTACATGGAACGATTCTACAATTCTCATTGGACATGCTGATCCTGCTGATAAATTCATTGATTTGTAGAGAGTACACCTGACGATACAGTGCTGATATCACATCATCTGGTGCACCCTCTTGAACAACGCAACTGTCTTACTGCTCAAAAAGAGGTCGAGTGTTTGGCATGTGAAACTCGAATGCCTGGCTACGTGAATCTAAGTTTTGATAGGAACGTGAACCAATCTCGTCACGGATGTGCCATCGTCCATAATTCTGATTTCATCCTCTATCCTGTAACCCCTCCATCTTGGGATGAGCCTGATCCACACATACCAATACAAGAATCCAAAGACGATGCTAGAAAATAGTCAGCGGTGTTTGATCTGTAAGAGAACGGTTCTTACACGCTGATTCCTACGACTGCATACGTCGCATACCAAATGTGCCCATCCCTCGTTCCGTCTCTTGGTGGGAAAAAGGGAGCAGCGAGTAATGCAACGCTCAAGACAATGCGCAGCACAATAGCCAAAGTTAAGGCTTTGAAAGGTCGTTTGAGATCGGGTCGGGCATATCTAAGCCAGAGCAGTCCAGCTGACATCGCCAATGCGAAGATCTGACCTGGGTAACCTTCCACCTCGAGTATGAACGAGTAGACTTCCCCAGAGGCAGGAAGAACGATCACTAGCAGCGAAGGAATGTAGTGCACAATGAGTCCACCAAGTGGTGCATTGAAGGGCTTGGAAGATGCGAGGAGGTCGGAGAAAGGCAGAAAGCCCTGCCGTGCGATCTCCTGGTTGAGTCGAGCCTAACCTCATGAGTCAATGTCGTTTTGGCAACGAAGTTAAGTGAACCTACGAGCGCGAAGGTAACAACCATGACGTTACCGGCTCCTGACAACGCCACAGCGAGCGGTAACAACACCCTTCCCACTGTGGCACCGAAAACCTTCTCGAAGAACAAAGCCGCAATGAGCTCCTTGCTTTGCTTGATCTCATCTAAAGGTATGACGATGAAATATGCAACATTGATAAGAGAATATAAAACGCATGCTGTGACAAGCGCGGTGATAGAGACCGACTTGAGTGTCCGTACTGGATCGCGGACTTCATTCATGACGTTGTTGACGTTCTGCAAACCCGCGTATGAGTAGAAGACTTTGAAAAGTGCTGTGCAGATGACGCCCCAGCTCCATTCCGTGTCTTGCCACAGATCTGATCCTGCTGGGAAATGGCTCCTCCGCCCGTCGAGCCCCTGTGGCCGAAACACGACTACGAAGAGACCAGAGAGAATCATGAAGATTACTAGGCCGACCTTGATCCATCCGAGGAAGTTCTGGATCCGGATACCGGTTTGCATGAAGCATCCGTGTACAATTGTGATCGCAGTGAGTAGACAAACTGCGAGAGTTTTGCGTAGAAAGTCCGAAGCCTGAACGCCAAACGCGTACAGCGTGTATTGTGCAAACACAATGCAATTGCTCGCGGTGAAGCCTAGAATCACAGCCTGGACGGCCATCATAGTGCTTGCGAGATATCGTGGCTTGCGGAACGTGAATTCCAAATACACCTTCTCTCCACCACTGCGAGGGAGCATGCATCCATACTCCAAGCTCACAGCGAGTCCACACGCTGCGATTATGGCTCCCAGAATCCAAAGCGACAGACTCAAGCCCACACTTCCGACCTCTTTGACGATGACACCTGGAGTCGCGAAAATACCGCTGCCGATGACGCGTGAAATGACGAGGATGTAGGCACTCGGCCAGGAGATTGTCCTCCCAAGCGTTGATGTTTCTGGCAGCACATCATCCTCGATAGATCGTGAGACGCCTTCTGAAATCGGAGAATCATCGACCTCGCCGTATGTTTTTGAGGTATCAGTGCTCGAGTTTGGCGTGAGCAGAGGTTGTTGCTCTACGGAAGACATGGTTGATTGTTACGAATCCAACCGCTGCCACGGTTCTCCTGGCATCGCGAGCATAAATCATACTGGCGGTTGCGACATGCAGCCCCAATACTCGATTGTCAGCAGCTGGCATCATACGTGAGCTGAATGTCGCGGTTTCAGGGTGTTGGAAGGGCTGTGTTGTCTACGCGTTGATTGGTGCACATAGCATGTGTGACATCACGCAATTGTGAGCAGCACTGACGCGTTCCAGTCACTTTCCAGAACAAAGGTACTCCATGGCGAATGGCCAGCCCATGGCCAGTTATCACTCCCAACACAATGACGTGACCTTTGGGACGCGGTAGCAGTCAGGACAAACCGTCCTCACCACCGCGCGCCATCTCTTTCCCGGTGTCAAAGCTCTCGCATGATGCAGGAAGCCATGTCGCGCCCCAACATGACGGACGGATACGTCTTACAGATAACAATGGACTATTCAACGTCCTCAGAACTACATCACCGAATCCAGAAAACTGATATCGAGAAAGCCCACAACCAGGATATCTTTCACCCATCAACATCCGGTTCAAAATCATACCCATAAACAATAGCATCCACCTTCCTCCCAGGATAACTCTTCAAGACACCACATTTCCTCACCCTCCCAATCCTCTCGAATCCCAAAGAATCCCAGATACGACAAGACGCGACATTCGTCTCATAGACCAGGTTGAACACTGAATACGTGAAACCCTGCGTGTAAGAATCAGCTCGATCCACACAGATTCCTGTTCACCACCAACATGGAGCTTCAGAAACAAGGGTTGTTTACGCACCAATCTCGGTGCCCACTCAAGATACGTCTGCCCCAGCGCCTTACCCACGCCCCGATTCCGACTCCCCTCCGTAACCAAAAACCCGCCATTACACACATGACTGCTGCGCCCGGGGTAGTTTGGCTTGACGTAAAAGCTGCCTAGGCAGATGCTCGGCCAGTTCGAGTCCGCAACGTCGTCCACACTTTCGACGTCGCCCAACAGCATGACAGCTGCGAAACAGGCAAACCAGTATGCGCCAAAGGCATCTGCGGGCAGCGCTGTGGTCATGGGGTAAGTGTCGCCTTTTGAGACTTCGAGGGCAAGTTGCGAGGCAAGGTAGGCGGTTAGGGCGGGTGGGGGCTGGGAGGGAGATGTGAATGCTAGGATAGTGGCGCGGGTGTGGCCATCTTTCAACGTGATATGTTTGGAGGAGATGGTGGGTGGTGGTGCTTGGTTGAGGGGAATGGGGGGTGAGGTTGGGTCGTCTAGCATTGCTGGCATGGTGAGGTGAGTTGGATATGTTGGTATCAGTAGCTTGTGGGAGGCTATTTTAGGTTGTTGGTTATGTGCTTGAAGGCTGATTGTTATGTGTTTGATGGCTGTTTGTAGGGTGTGCCAAGGTACATGTTAGAAGGGCGATCGAAATTTGGCCGAATATGAAGCTCGATAGACGGGAACTAATCCGGTAGTGCTTGGTATTGCGATATCGGCGATAAACGGCTTGACTATCGTCCACCGCGGCAAGCCAAGAGAGATACTAGGGCGATGTCGATGTACTCGAACCTTCACAATTAATGACATAAAGTTGAGTGCCAGCTCGGCCCCAATCCCAATCAACTCAAACCAAACAAACTTTCGGAAGAAAAAAGAAGGTACAGATCCAAGCTACAAAAGGGGTTAGAAAAAGAAACTATCACAACAACCGACTGATCGATCGATTGATTGTGAGTTTGGTCCTCTGCCTGATCCACCCTCTACTGGTAATCTCATGCACCCGGTCTTGTTAGAGGCATCTTGAGAGCGGCGAAGATGGGATGGAAGATGAGGCAGAAGGAAATAAATAAAGCAGATTAGCTTTGACAAACCTCAAGAAGTCAGTGTCACGTTGAAATTTGATCCTCTAAGGTCAACACTTCGAGCAGGTGATCAATCATAGGGCAAAATTTGATTGTGGTATTGATACCAGTGACTACCGCTCAATATACAAACCCAATACCCAAGGGATTGCTTCCCAACACTATTATACTTGGGGATGTTTGACTGTCATTCGTAGGGATATCTTGCGCGTTTTACCAACATCCTTCGCACGGACAGATACTTTCGGCCGTGTATTCTCGTTCAGATAGCGATTCCAAGCTACAACAGCCGCACGCCGTATTGGATCGATCTTCTGCTGTGCAGAAGACAGTTCCTCGGTATTCTCTTCATTTTCATCTTCGCGGAACACCGTATCCTGGCCTGATCATGCGGCTGTCAGAAACATGCTGTCGGGACAGCTGCTCTACAAAGACTTGCCGCTAGCCGAGTCAACCCTAGAGCGGAGGTCGGCAGCAGTGGAGCCAGATGTGGAGAAGTAGCGCGAGAAGACGGGCTGGATGAACGAGCGGAAGATGATCTGAGCGCCGCTGTGAAGCGTTAGCCTATGTCGAGTGGATTTAGAGAATAGACATACCCAGTCTGGGGAAGAGCCATCCACAGGATGAGGACGAACTTGAAAGTGTAGTAAAAGGCTGTCTGTGTTAGTTTTTCTCTTGGTGATGTGATGTGTGTACTCACGGAACCAGTAGACAGCGTTGATGGCGCTCTCAAAAACGGTCAGGAAAGCGAAAGTCACCCAGTACTGAACTGTCGTTAGTATGCTGATTCTTCCGGATGTCATTTGAATGATCCAAGGTAGGAATACGCACCGTGAGCCACTGCGAACGGGTTAGTAAAGATCAATAAATGGGGCAGATGAATTTCAACTCACCTGAGTGTCATCGACCTTGCTCGCACTGAACAAAGCTTGCATGGAGTAGAAGCCGGGAATGATGAAACCAGCAAAGTTGACGAGAAACTCTCCACCAATGTTGAAGAAGATGAGGAAGAAGTAAAGGCCAGCGAGACCAAGAACGCCGTAGACCTTGGGGACTGAGGTCTGCTTCTCCAAGTTGTTGAGGGCGGGGTACTTGGACAGCTGGAACACGGCAATGTCAGCACACAACCTCCAAACTTCGAGTCGTAGTATTTTTAGGACGGCTCTCGTGGATAGCGAAGATTGCCATGGTGTTGCAATTCTCGTCCCAGCCACTGTGTCTTGCTCGCAGTGGAAACGCTTACCTCCTTGTCGAGCTGCGAAAGCTGGGCCTGGGCTCTATCCTGAACAGACATGATGTGGTGTGTTGTAGGTGAAGTTTGTGAGGAAAGTGTGAAAGTAGAGAGGTACGAGTGGTTTCGTGTGTAGTGGTGAAGAATGGAGTGCAACAGATGTGTCCTTTGCTTGGAAGAGAATGACAGCGGAATTGTGGGTTGTAAAAGCGGCCCGCGTCATCACTTAGCGATACGTCACCCTGTCACAAGCCAGGATGGCAGTTGCATTGCATGCGACTCCATTGTCGAGACAATCGCGAATATGTTTGTGCAGTCACAAACGCGCTGACATATTTCTTGGGCTAGTTTCTTTTTCCAACCGCTCATCTTCTAGTGCATTGAATGTGCGGAGGGACGAAATTACGATGATGAGCATCACGTGGTCAGGCTAACCGCATCGCGGCTGGTTGCCTGCGAAGCAAGAGCGATCGTAAACATGCAGCTCTTCGACACAACAAAGTCGACATCAGCAACGGACGACGCCCGCCACGCTTTTGGAGTCTGGATATCCTTTGCTTAATATTCTACTCTTCAGCGCGCGTGACAACGATCACGGCTCGATTGGATGCCCTCATCGCTCTATCCTAACCACACAGAGACGTGTTGAGCCATCTGGAACCCGATTTTTTGACTCGACCCGTGCCTGGACGTCCCACACAAAGCGCATCGAGTTCGCGTCTTTTCTTGGATCCATCCGCCTTGTATGCATAGACATTATCGCGCGTTCCTCCCCGTCTAAGCGCCGTTGCTATCCGGTTGTTTTGGTGTAAACACAACCTACATCTGCCAACCCGGCTTACATAGCATGGCCGCCGTCCACCGCCGATCACGATCAACCACGTCCATGTCGACCAGAAGCAACCGACCGCCATCGCGCGCCTCGACGACGAGTGTGCATTCTTTTGAGCAATTTTCCCAGCAATCGCAACCACCGCGACCGACCCACTACCAGCATCAGCCACACCAGCAGCAGCAACATCAATATACCCAAGCCTTCACCAGCGAGCCGCTACAACCCGCCCTGTTGCAGGCCGCGCAGCATGTCAGTGCACAGGACAATCTCATCAACATGTCGCTGGAGAGCGTGCAGCAGTATCTCGGCTACCCGTCAGAGCCAACTCCAAACGCGTCCCAATCCAACGGTCTGCCTGCCACGCCCATGGACGCACACGCATATCACAACTCCATGTCCCAACAATCGCAAGCCCAGCAGTTCATGGCACCACACATCGACGCGGAAGAAAAGAAGAAGAAGAGTTCTGCGTCGGGAAGCGCGACGAACGACAAGGAACTGCGACAGATGCTTCAGCAGAACGAGGGTCGCAAGCTGAAAGACGTTGCTGCCGAGGTTATCCAGACGGACAGGACATCAAAGGCGGAAAAGTCGAAGCAGCTCTTCGCCATGCTCTGGTATGTTTGTGTCTTCTACATCATGGGATCGTGCTGACAGTCGATAGGTTGCGCTCTGTTTGCCGTCTTGCAAAGACGTCTGTCCCACGCAATCGCGTCTACTCCAAGTACGCGGAACGCTGTGGTACCGAGCGAGTCATCCCCCTCAACCCAGCCTCTTTTGGGAAGCTTGTTCGGGTCATCTTCCCCGGCATCCAGACTAGACGCCTCGGTGTACGCGGAGAGTCCAAGTACCACTACGTCGATCTGGCCCTCATCAATGACTTGGACGACGTGGAGGAGCTAAGCCGGCCAAGCACAGGCGCCATGACACACCATACGATGAAGCGCCCGCAGTCAACAGGCCCCAGGCTCGACTTCAGCTCCCTGCCACGGCTACCTGCAGACAATGCACCATTCCCACCCCGCGACACTGGCCTGGAATCTCTGAACAGCAACTACGCCCCCGCAGGCTCGAAGGGTTTACTATTCACCGATATATACTCTAATCATTTCCAGCCCTCCAACGCCCGCACAAGAACAGCCTACGAACACGAGCTCAGATTTCCTACGCCAGAGGTTCTCGGCTCGCCAGACGCGTTGCAAATAGAGCTTCCCGACATCACACCATATCTGCCAGCGCGGACAGATCCAGACTCGGCTGACAATCTGGTGGCAATGTACCGCTCGCACGTAACCTCGCTAGTCGACTCGGTGCGCTTCTGCAAGGAGAAACAATTCTTCCGCCTTTTTGGCACGTTTCATGGCACGTTAACGGTACCGGTCCAGAAGCTCTTCGCAGCGCCCGAGCTAGCCCCATGGATCAAGGAGTGCGACTGGTTGATGTACCAAAAGATGATTCGTAACGTGTCGCAGCTGGTCCTGCAGGTTGCGCCTCCGCCTGTCCTTCGATTCCTCGACAACGTCGCTAAAACGCTACATGCACACATCAGCAAGCTGTTTCAGCCACTGCCGGTCCATGTCCTTGAGGCAAAGCTAGAGCCAGCAACATTGTACGCTCATCTCCTGCGTCAGATGCTGCGGGTCAACTCAACAGCACACGCCGCCGCCGTCATGCTTACCACGGACAACCACCGTACGCAAATGTATGCCGACTGGCTCCAGCATGTCAACCTGAAGCGAATCATTGCGAACGAGCTACCAGAGTCATGCGCCCACGAGGAGGTGTACAACATCCTGACAACCGAAATTCGATCCATGCTTGGCCCTATTCCGCAAGACATTCAGCTCCCCAACGGCACCGTTTATCGAGCGCAATCCCCCGATCCTCCCGCCGACCCCAACGAGTCGGTCATCGATCGCATAGCCAGTTTCCTGACCAAGCTTCCGTTCCGCTTTCCCAACGCGCCCGCCCGCACAATACTACACTGCGTTAACTCGCTTGGAGCAGCGGCTCTACGAGAGATCACAGTTGAGAATGGAGTCAGCTTCCAAGGATGGTGGCTGACGAAGGTTTTTGTGGACGAGATGGCACAATGGTTAGCGTCGCTGGGAGGATTTCTTGGACACAGCCCACCAAACTGGAACTCGCCTACATTATCGCCTGGAGTGGATGAGTCTGTCAATAATGGCTTGACCAATGGTGGTAGCGGGAGCAACAACGACAGCAGATATAGCAGCATAGAAGCTGACTTTGGTCCCGATCAGTCCTTCATGTCGACGACCAGCAACGTCACCATGCAGGACCCCGGGGCCGCGTCCCAAGATGGTGAGTTCTCCTACTTCCTCTGTACTTCTCCTTGACCAAGTTGATTAACTAACACAAGATGCTCAGTCAATGCTGGACGCCTTTCTCAACAGTACGAACCGATGAGCTTCAACTTCGACTACGACCTGCACGCGGGTCAGCAAGAATCGAATCTCGACGATAGCGGCATCGGCATGCTCGACGACGGTATCGACGCCAAGTTTGCAAGTAAAATGCAGCAGAGTCTCAAGCACCACCTGGCGCAACAACAACGACACTCTGCAGGAGTCAGCTAGTAACGTTTGAGGCTGTCGCTGTTTACACAGCGCAGCAAGAAAGTCACCATTTCTGTAGTCACTCCGACTTGAGATGACGAAGACGAAAGAGTTGAAACAAGGAAATAGATGTGTAGATATAGGAGTTGTCTTATCGTTTTTACGCGCCACGACGTCTTATCTTCTTACGAGGATTCGCAGAGCACGACCATGATGCTCTCACGACGTCGACGATTGTCATGATTGGAATTGGAAAACACGATTTGTCCCTTGGGGATTGAAGAGCGTGTGTAGTTTGTAATTTTTGCTGTATTGGCCGCGTTTACCCCCAGCCTACGGGCCTGGGGATGTGGGCGTTGTTTGGCTTGGCTTGTTTTGGCTTGTTTTAGCACTTGTATGTGCAAGGGCGTTGCATTTGGTTGCTTGGATGGGTTGGGTTGGGTTGGACTGGAGTTGGCGTCTTTGGATTTTGACGTCTATTGTTATGTCGTGTGGCGAGATTTGAGTTCTCGTGTATTGTGGTTGTGGCTGGTAGAACATTGCATCGGGGGCTTTTCTGAATTAGGAAGAGGGGGTTTGGATAGGAGCTGGATTTGGGACAGAACATATGGCGTAGTCCCCAGTCGGTTATGACGGAGAATTGACTGCCTGTCTACTTCAAAATCCTGGTTTTTGACGTGACTCACTCTTTCTGAAATTTGTACGTGTTCTGTGTACTTGTGTAAACTCATATTCCAGCGTGTCTCGACCAGGAAAGGCCCTGCCATGGCCAATCGAAATATCAGGAGATCAATTTCGTGATTGAGCACTGAATTCTATCTGACATTCGGCTACAAGGTAGTTGTTTTCTACTTATGAAATTATTCTAGTGTTCTGTCAATATACACATTGTTGTCACATTTTGATTTCCTCTGATTTCTATCGCTTTGCCTCCCAAAGTTAATTCACAATTTCTTACCTCTCACTATTTCGATTTGCCGAGAAGAAGCCCTGTTGCACAGGATGATAGCAACGGCACTTGGTCGAATATGACGCTTAGTCGGGAAGTGTCGTCTGGATGGTTCTCTGACGATATGCAGTGCTGCTGCGAGTCATTTCATATTGTCAAAACATGCTGTTTGGGAGATACATGCGTGCATACGGACCGAAAAAGACCTCAAGTATGTGCTGTTGAAGGTCTTCTTGACGATCACGACGACGTGTCGTGACTTCCGGCGCGAACACGTTGACACTTGACCCCATCGGGTCTAGCATTCTCCACCCGTTGCTGTCGAACTCCAAGTCATCACAGCCTTGTCTGCCGGCATAACGTTTCAATCGCTGGCACCATCCATCCACCTGCAGCTCGCTTCGCTTATTGGAGATGCTGCGTTCCTGCCCGACGTCGTGTTGCCGTGCCCAATATCGACCGAGGCTGGACTTTGTCTCGCCAATCAATCGCGCCTCACTCTGGTCGCCGCGCGACGTGTCGTTCGTTCACGGACTCGCGATGCCCGCCACATCAAGTTCGTCGGTTGTGTGATGGTGGAGTGTATGGATCGCGCGTGAACCCTGACGTCAATTCCAGCTCATGCTAACTCTTCTTCGACACCGGCTTCGTGGTGTCAATACTTTTGGAACCCGTCTACCGATATTGCGGTTGCCTGACGGGTTTCTCTCTTTCGACATATCGATCTGGCACCGTGTTTACGTGTGCTGAGAACCATCCATCTGTCCTTCTGAGTCGCGAAACGTTCGACTAGGAAGCGTAACACTACTACTTTCTACGGCGGGAGATAATCTGGAACTCTCTGGTTTTAACACATGTAAGCAAGTCTGAAAGCGCTCACCCGATACAAAAAGCAACGTTATGGGCGAATTCAGGGTGTGACAACAGGTTGATGCATGCCTCCATGTGGGAGTCCTTTCATTCGTCAACCACCAATTGTCAAGGAGATATGGAAGATAGCAGCTTCACTATTCGGGTACCTGCAGCGTCTATCAATATATCAGATCTTGCGGTCTTACTATCAGGCTGACTCCTCGAATAGTGAGAACGAACGTGAACTTCATGCTGATACAGGTACCTGGAACGGTAATTCTGATCATCCAGCAAGCTCATCCAACCTCCAACCTCCGTAATCAACATGAAACACGACGAAGGGGCATCATTCCCAGATATGCCACTCATCAGGCGAGTCCATCCGACCAGCGACGAGACGCCACCCTGGGTTGGCATCTTTTTCGTTCCGTCAGTCGGCTCCGATGAGCTGGCCGAGCAGCTCAAAGCCAGGTACCCGCAATGTCAGACTCTTCGCGAGAGAAAACACATGGCCGCGATCGAATTCCTCAAGCTCGAACTCGACCGGATACAGTCGGAGAGACTGGCGGCGAACTCCACTACCCAGAGCATCCTCGAGTGCGCGCCTTCCGCTAGCCCGATGACCTCCGTCTGCTACGATGAAACTGTCGAGGGACATAGCTGTCCGGAAAGCGTTCACATGTCAGACTCGCCCGCTAGATCAAGAAAGCTTTCATCAGGCGCGGAGCTTGATGCGCGACAGACGAAGTCACGGAGTGCGAAAGCCCAGCGTCTTCCGACAGACACAGCAGCCACAGCGCATGGTCAGCAGTTTGTTTTCAACGCTGCAGATGGACGGACGATGGAGCCGAAGACAAAGAGAAAGATGACTGTGCAAGAGAAGGGCGAATACAAAAGGACAAGAAAGCGCGGTGCATGCCCGAAATGCCGGCGCCACAAGGAGAAGGTGATTGCGCAGACGTTCAGAGCTTCCATATAAGCAAAGTCGGGTCTAACTCAACACAGTGCACGCACACAATTGACCACGCTGTACAACTTGACGGTTTAGAAAAGCCGGCGAAAGCAACGAAAAGGTGGGTAGAGTACGACACTATCAGCAATCGCTAACCGTCTGTACAGGAGGAGCTCAATGTGTCCTACAACGGATGAGGTGATTTTTAACAAGTCACACAGATCCGAGCACGCATCTGACGTCCGTCACCTCGCTTCCGATCTTCCGAAACAGCTTCAACTCCAAGTTTCAGGCCAACCGGCATTTCACCACACGTCGAGCGAGGTTCCAACTCGTGGTGATATCGTGCTGGTCGACGCGCAGCGAGAAGTCGATCTGCGAAGCAGGGATGGCTCTGAGAGATCTGGGTACGTACACTATCCCAGTCAGACGTCAACAGATAGCTATGGAATGCTGCCCGGTAATTTGGAAACCCCATGGACCACTTTCTCTACTCGCTCCAGTTCGGATGCCTTCCAACCGGGGTACGCAGAATCCGCGTATGACTGGCGACAGGCCCAAGGCGCTTTTCCAATATCTCCCGTTTCTGGATATCCTTCTGCAGGCTTTCCACAGGCGCTTGTTTATGGTCAATTCGAAACTTGGCCACATGGACAGGACCCTTGTTTGGACGGAGCGGACACTGCCTGACCTTCTTTGCCACAAATGGATGCCCGCTGATACGATACCTGGATGACTAACCTTCTCCGTCCTTGTGGTTTTCGCGTCGTCATCCGGAGTCTAGGCAGGACACCCTTGAGGCCGTTGCCTGGGGATTAGCATCTTCTGCTAATCTCTCTTTCTCCTTCTTTGGATTCCATAATCAAGGACCGCCCAAATAACATCAGCCATCACTTCAAGAGTCAGCCTAGTTACTGCCACTTTAATATTCGACCTAATGTTGCAATTTTGGTTTCTTACAAATCCACCCGGGAGTGCCATATCTGGAATACACACATACCTGAGGAGCGGGTTGGTATCCACAATTCGGGAAGTTGAGGATGCATTTCCTATGCACTACTACGTATACGACGAATTTCTTTATTTCCTTTCTCTCCATTGGTCTCAACCCTCCACCGGGAAGCATACCTCGGATCCTTAATGCCCGGAATGGAATATTAATGAACTGTATCACTGGACGCGCGCATTTGACGCAAAAATAATTATCACGCGGTCATGCATCATCTGCCTAGACATGATAGATTCAAGGTTGATCATTGTACTCATACGGGCTATAACTAGATGGGAAGTGTTTTGCGACTTGGGTTCCTCGCGAGCATTCGTAGCCAACTGACAGATTACTTGTGTCGCGCGAAAGCTAAAGATGGTACGTTAACGAAACAGTCTATCCAATTGATACCCGAGCTGGGATTTTCCGTTCTTTTTCTGGCAATCAGCCCACTGTCCACCCGTCTTGTCCATTCTCTTTTCATCCTCCGATGGTTCGTCATGGTCTAGGATTGCGCATAAAACATGGTTTCACAGCTGTATCCTCAGTACCAGGTGCTGGATGTAATGTAGTATCATGGTTTACCCACCAACGTCAGGCCTTTCCCGGAAGGATCCTCTATCTTTTCACTGGGCATGGCTGGATGTCAGGTCATGTTCTTCTATAATCACTTCTCTTTTTTTGTTCAAGGGCTAGAATTGCTAGTTCTCATTTCCTTGTCTTGACCCAAATACCCCGGCTTCCACGCTATCACCCCATGGACCTATCGGCCGACGGGCATCAACCCATTTTTACAAAGTCTAACAGCTGCTTTACAGAACACCGTCATCCGTCAACTCTCAAGAAACGGCGGACTCATATCTGCCTGTCGCCCAGATACCGGCAGTTATGTCTGCGGCAAAGCGAGGGAGGGATGGCTAGCGTTTGGTTCGAATACATGTATATACGGGGGACCACAGTAAGCGGGCTTGAATACATCTAGGCTGAGGTATTTGGGAGTCGATGGAGTTGTACCAGTTCAGAGTGAGAATGTATACATAAGCGATAAGGAAGGATGGTGTATTTTATGATTTTCGTACGACAGGACCCAAGTCAACGCAGTACATGAAGTAAACTTGCCAAATTTCCCAATATTATGACAGACCACCACAACAATGTCAGTAAACTATTGTGACGTTTATAGTCGACTGCTTTGATTCTGGATGGAATTAAGGATGGAGTTGATGTTGCACCCCGGCAATGGCAGTCACGATCACGGTCCCAATGACGATACCTCGGCTCGTCGAAGCGCAGCAACGCATCGCGCCTCGCCGCCATCGATCCACTCATCCCATCAACAAGCCATCCACACTCTTCTCCACGCCATCTCCGCCCTTACCGCGATACTCAAAGCCCACCCACAGCTCGCACCGTCGCGCGAGTCGCCAGCAGCGTGGACGTGCCGTGCCGCACCGCGCTATCTCTACCTATCTCAACCCAACCCACCTAACACACACCCAACACTACGCTCCCCCCGATAATCCAAAATGCTACAATCCTCCCGCCGCTGGCTGAAGCGGAATCGCACCCCCTTCGCCATTGGAGCGGGTGTGTTGGGCGCGGGGTACATGGTGGGCCAGTATGTGCTGGGGAAGCTGGGGGATGCGAGGGCGCGTATGGGCGAGGAGAGGGTTGCCAGGGAGAAGTATGTCATCATGCATACGACTGTGAGCTGTTATGTTTGCTAATTGACATGTCCAGCCTCCGCCGGCGCTTTGAACAAAACCAACAAGACTGCACCTTCACCGTGCTCGCCATCCTGCCCACAGCGACGGAAAACATACTCGATGCGATCCCCGTCGAGCGCGTGCTGGAGGAGCTACAACGCCAAAAGGCGGAACGACTATCGCGCAGTGTAGGGCCAAGCGAGATTGCGAGCTCGGCACCGCCGAGCGTTGTTGACGGGGGGGACGACGACGCGCGCAGCTCGAGCATGCAGACGGAAAGCTACATCCACGCCAGCCAGGTGGTGACGGAGGGGGACGATGGCACGCCGGGAAATGCAGAGGTCCCCGAGGAGAGGAAGAGCAGGAAGAGCACAAAGAGCAAGGCGCAGCTGTGGAACGAGATGAAGATCACCTCCATCACGCGCGCCTTCACCCTCCTCTACACTCTTTCTCTTCTCACGCTGCTTACACGTATTCAGCTCAATCTGCTGGGTCGCCGGAACTACCTCGCTTCGGTTGTGTCGCTTGCTGCGCCGCAGGAGGCGTCGAAGATCAATCTTGAGAATCACGATGATGACGGGTTTGAGCACGCGTACGGCAACGACTTTGAGACGAACAGACGTTATTTGAGCCTCAGCTGGTGGCTTCTACATCGGGGGTGCATAGAATTGATCGAGAAGGTGCAGGCAGCCGTGACCGAGGTGTTTGGCCTGCTGAACCCGCGCGAGGAGATATCGCTGGAGAAGCTGTCGGAGCTTACACTGGAAGTCCGGAAGCGCGTTGAAGGCGCCACCGAAGCCGAGCGACGGTACATTTTCCCCTCCACACACATCTCACGTATTGTACTGACACACTGCTAGAACCAGCAAATGGCTACGCTACCTGCTCCCCTCGGCTGACCAAGAAGACTTCGTCCTCCGCGAATCTGGCATGACGGAACCTACCTCCCCAACTACCACGTCCTCGCTCCGCCGCCTCATCGACGAAACAAGCGACCTCGTCGACTCCCCCGCCTTCTCCCATGTCCTCACCCTCCTCCTCGACGCCGCATTCAGCCACCTCATTGACGTCAAAATCTCCTCGCTCAGCTACAAGATCCCGCCCGTCAGCGAGAGCACGGCGCGTATTCAAGAGCTGGTCGGCGACGGCGCGAAAGCGAAGGTTGCGAGCTCGCTGGCCGTGTTCTGCAGGCAGGCGCATGGCATTGGGTCGGGCGCGAATAATGAGTACCTGCAGGCTGTGGAGAGTGTGGGCGCGTTGGAGGCGTTTGCCGCGGTGGTGTATAGCAGTAATTTTGAGTTTGAGAGTCCCGAGGTGGTCGTCGAGACACGGGCGTTGATGACGCTCGAGGGTCCGGAGAGTGTGATGGTGGGGAATGTCGGGCTTGTGCAGGGCGAGCGTGAGGGGGGGAGTCGGGGGGTTACGTTGGGGGGCGATGATGGGTTTGAGAGTGCGTGGGGGAAGGCGGTTGCGAAGGAGGATGATGGGCTGGTTTATTAGTGCGGTAATTTGATGGAATAGGTAATGTGTATGTATAATGGGCGTTGGTGGAGTGATTGTGAAAGATACCCGCAAATTGATTTCCTGCTTCGACTCAATCTCATCTCATCTCCAAGTCTAATGTATATTCCCCTTCCGACGCACGCCTCGGAACTCGGAACTCATGACGTCAACATCACTACAACATCCCCCCATCCCATCCCATACCATCTATCACTCCACCACGAAAACACGTCCCTTCTCCCCTTGCACTTGCAAGGACCACCTGTTCCTCCAAAATGACAAATTCAACCTCCAAAAACGCTTACATCACCCTCCTAACCCGGCCCTCCTACCTCGCCGGCGCCCTCCTCCTCGCCCACACACTGCACACGCACTCCCCTACCACCCCGCTCATAATAACCTACACGCCCGAAACCCTCCCCGAGCCATGTATCGAGGCGTTCCGCAAGGAGGCACAGTACTCGAATATCCTGCTACACGCGGTGGAGCATCTGCGGTTGCCGGACGATGGGTCTGCGCATGGCATGGTCGCGGAGCGGTTCGTAGATACGTGGACGAAATTGCGGGTATTTGAGGTATATGACGCTGAGGGGGAAGTGGGCGGGTTCGAGCGGCTGTGCTGGCTGGACGCGGATATGATGGTCTTCTCCAACCCGAGTCCACTTGTGTTTAACGAGAAGAACGATGAGTACCTTATGGGCGGAGACGCACTGCGCATGATGGCCACACACGTATGTTGCTGCAACCTGGACCACGACTCCTGGGCCCCGGACACATGGACACCGCAAAACTGCGCACTCACGCACCTCACCTCCCCATCCCAGATCCCAGACGTAAAGTCCGAGCCCCAAACAATGGCAGACTTCAACTCAGGAACCTTCCTCTACCGCCCGTCCCGCGCCCTCTCCGAGTTCGTAACACAACAGTTCAACGACCTCGGCAACGCGAAACTCCGCGCTATGAAGTTCCCAGACCAGGACTTCCTCAACGCGGCGTTTGCGGGCCGTTGGGCGAGTCTGAGTTGGCGCGCTAACGCGCTCAAGACGTGGCGGTACTGGCACACTAACATATGGCGCGACGACCAGGTCGCTGTGCTGCATTACATTGTGGATAAACCGTGGGCGGCGCGCGTTAAGGGGGATGGGACGGCGGGGTATCTGGGGAAAGACGGGGCGACGCATGGTTGGTGGTGGGATGCGTATAACCGCTGGTATACGGAGAGGGAGGCGCAGGGCGAGACGGACTTGCTGGGTGTGGTGGGACGATATGTAGCGGGTGAGAAGGGGGAGATGGACGACGAGATGCGGGCTGTGGGGGGTGGGGCGCAGGACTTTGCGAAGAAATGGGTGGGTGGGAAGGAGGTGGAGGCAGAGTCAAAGACGCAGACACAGCAAACTGACGAAGAGGGGAAAGGGAAAGAGAAAGAAAAAGTCGATGCAATCGATTCCAACCCCGACGCTCCCATCTTCCATAAACGCGGGCTTGGGGAACGCGGTCATGGTCCTGTGGTGAGGGGTGGGGGTGGACTGAGAGGTGGGCTGAGAGGGAGGGGCAGGGGCGAGGGGTGGTGCGTTATGCAAGATTAGATAGATTTCGGGGGTACAGAGAGGATTTGGTTAGGGGGGTGGGAAGGAAAGGAAAAGTTTTGGTTTTGGTTTTGGTTTTGTGTGTTTAGATGGGTTGGGATGGGTTAGACGGTTTGGTGCAGATGTTCAAAGGCAAAAGTTATTCTTCACAACACTGAAACATACTGATACGGCACAACTCAGTCTTAAAGAGCGTGAATATGTCACATAAGAATTCTGCAAAGGGACGGTTCCATGTTGTTTGGCTTTTGGCCAAGAGTCTAAAGAAAAGGGCAAGGAGGGAAACTTATCTTCCCGTTCCATGTTGTATGTTCTACGCATAACTTGCCCAAAAACATCATCGTTCCGCGCCTTGCAAGGTGGCAGTCAGCCAGTTCATGCGCGAACTTCCGCCTCGCGTCAGGAGCGGTCAGAATGTACTCTCCATGTCCCGCTCGCCTGCTCGACGTCCCCATGTCGTGCCCATCACTTCCTTCAACCGAACAGATCGATCAGATCCACGCCCTTGCTCTCACCCTCCTCATCCACCTCTTCATACTGCAGAACTCGTCGTCCGGTGTATACACCCTGACCCTGAGCCGAGCCCATACCCTGACGGCCGATACTAGGACCCGCTGCGGGAGTGGGAATAGGAGTGGGATCTGATGCAGCGCGATTCGCCAGCACGACGTGTCCATTGCATAGGGTCTGTGGGCCGCGGAGTTCGCTGGCAAATGTACGGGGAGGCGGAAAAGGTGGGGCACTAGGATTGTTTGGTCAGTAAGACAGTCTGTACGAGGGTGTGGGGGAGTGTACCTGCGGATCGGTGGTTGATGCTGTGTTGGTGGGTTTGCTGGTCGAGCAAGGGGGACGGACTGCTGCTGTACCGCCGCTCTTAAGTGGGGAGGGAGGGACCTGCCGTGCGGAGTCAGTGATTGTGAGTGGAAAGGAGATGCGATAGACGCCGTACCTGCGCACTGGCTCGTCAGCCTGCCGCTGCTGTTGTGTTGACTGCACGCTTTGCGCCAGGATCGGCGTCAACTGCTCGCTGTGACGCGCCGACTGCATCTCCATCCGCCCGAGCTGCATGCCCCGATTAATCAAGTTCTCGGGATGATCTACGTCGCGCAAGAAGTCCAGCTCCGGGCTGTCGAGAGGGATCCGGCCATTGCGCATCCGGCTGAGAGCGAGCTGCGTGCGATGACAAGCCGCGTAACCTTCGAGGAAAGATATCTCGCGGTCTTGAGCCGTCATCGTGCGCTCATTTACCGGAGTCTCGTGAACCTTCGGCGAGGCAGTGCTACCGGCAGCGAATCCACGCTCGTACTCCCTCTGCGAAATCTGAGTTTCGATCTCTGGTGCGACTTTCTCACGCACTTCAGACTCGAGCGACGTCCGAATGATTGCTTTGTATTGCTGTTCGCGGAGGGTCTGGGCGCTCTCCTGCATACGGAGACGGTTGATTTGGTCGGCGATCTTCCCTTCGATATCTGCAATGCGCTTCTTGACAGCCAACTCGGCTTCACGCTGTATCCGCTCGACCTCAACATCAGTCATGTGGCGGACGCCATCCTTGTCGAGCTGGTAGTGGAGTTGCTTCTGGCCCTCACTAAGAAAAACTTCAAGCTGCTCGATCTTCTGCTCGCGGAAGTGCAGGTCGCGCTCCTTCTGCTGGACTTTCGCCTTGGCCGCGATAACTTCAGACTGTTTGTGGAGGAGGTCGGCGAGCATCATTGACAGTGCAGCGTCCATCTCGCCCTGCTTCTCAGTCTCGATCGTCTTTCGCAGATCAGCGTTCTTCCTACGCTCTATCTCAAGCTCGCTGCGGCCTTTCATGAGCCTGGCACTCATTCGGGCGAGCTCCTCGCGGTCTGCGTCGGCACGGTTGGCCTGATACGGCTGCATGAAGCGGGGAGCGCGTGGAGGTTCAAACGGACGGAGGTTTTCGGCTGGCAGTGCTGGATGCTGTAGACTGTCAGTCAGGGTGTTGCTTGAATACGACGGTGATGTGCACACCTTTGAGCCAAGGGGGCCAGCATGATGTAGTGCTGACGCATTGAATCCAGGACGCAGATGTGGTGGCATAGTACGAGTCGACTCTGAATGAACTGGTGTCTCAACAGCAGTGTCCTCGTCGTCGTCGACGGTGCAGTCTGGAGTGTTAGCCTCCGCATTAGACTTGCTCTGCTCAGTCGATGCAACTCCACCGTCCCCATTGATCTCTGTATGAACTTCAGCGGATTGATGGTCAACCGCAGTAGTATCGTCAGGAATGGCAGATGTCGGATATGAGTCAGTGGTGTCTGTCCGCTCGCTGTCCTGGACGCAAGTTTGATCCTCGTCGATGGTGGGGTCCATTGGGAGGTTCACAACGTCTTGATGCTGTGTCAAGTCCTCCGTCTGCTCAATTGCAAGATGTTCGATGTCTTCTTTCTCACTATCCGGATGCACAGTGGTCAACGGCTCTGACAAGTATTAGTGATTTGCTTAGATATTGTAACTTACACCTACTAGTGATTTCACCGTCCTTGACTTCAGAAAGCTCCGATTCCCTGGCGATCGGTTTGTCTTCTCGAATCACAATGCTCTCATGCACAACCTCACCGATTTCGCCGTCCTCAAGAGATGTGTCGTCTCCTACGTGAGGCGCAGTAAGCTTGGAGGGCGACTCCAGTTCTACGCCCTCACCGATTGGTGTGGCCTCAAATTCAGGAACTTGGTCGGACTCCTCAGCTGGTATGGCGGCCTCCGACTTGTATTCGACATCGATATCGGCCTCTGTTGTAGTAACGTCGTTGACGAAAACCAAATTGGCGTTAGCAACAGGCTCAGCGACGATGCCATCGTTCTCAGTAGAAGAAGACATTTGGCAGGAGCTGACAATGTACTGATGAAGCCGTCAATGAGTGAGTAAAGCGTTCGTAGCTCAGACAGAGTTTCGAGCTTTGTTGCAGACGGCTGGCGATTGGTGGAAAGGGCCAGCAACCAGAGGCATGCGAAAAAGAAAAGAAAAGATAATATTCTTGACCTTAATATATGTTGCTGAGATGTTGATCCGAGAACCAAGCCGCGGGAATAGGTAGTTGAAGGGAGATATCGGAGGAGTTGCTTTTGTAGTCAAACGTAATTGTGGAAATGAGTACAAAGGTAATACATAAAATTAATTTAGACGAGAGAAGTAGGCGCGGTAAGAACGAGAGCTCGAACTAAGGTAATAGAAAGACAGACCGTCACAGCTCAGTGCGAAGAGTATAGTAGAAGCGGTGAGTGTATGAGACAGGTGAGTGAGTTTGTGTTGAAAGTATGTGTTATAATACAGACCTTCTAAGCGTATTTCCGGAAGTAGTTGTGGGTCGTTTGGGAATGAATTGTTGCTTGCAATAGATATTTCTCCATGCAGCACTTCACACAACAGTGCTGTCTCAAGGCGGAGCCTCGACCTTCATGTTGAAATGGGACGTATCGAACTACCTAACAATCATCGTTGGGAAGGCTGATGATGCCTAGTAGTTTGTCCTGGTATCCTGAACCTGAACAAAACCTCTTGGGAACAGGAGGACAGATGTCACGGTCGTCGGACGACCTTGTGGTTAAATTCAATGTTGGCATCGTTGAAAGCAGCTTGCAGTCTATCCGTACTCAATGTGTGATCCATTTCTAGGTTTACGTTCCTCAACTTTGGCAGAAGCACATTGCAGTCTTCGATGAGATGCCATAATACAGGAGCTTCATCGAGGGGGTTAACGTCTGAGTGACCATCGTTTCGAAGGAGCACCGTCAGGTCTTCGATGTTTTCAGGTAAGAGTTCCGCTACACGCCTTTCGGATTTCTGTCCGAGAAATGTAAAAAGCCAAGAATCCGGTTCCAAGAGACTGCATTCGCAGATGACCAGAGTTTCCAATGCCACGAGGGAATGTAGTGAGCCGAGTGGTTGTGGATATATGCTAGACACGAAATCGAAAATCATCTCTCGCATGTCGAGGACAAGAGTTCTCAAGCTCTTTTCATGTTGCAATAGACCAGAGCGTAGGTCGGCAAATGCTGCTTCACCCACATAACAAGCACTCCAGATACAACTAAAGTGTCGGAGATCCAAGCAGGCATGAAGAAGAGTACCCACCTCTTGCATATTTAAACAACACATTGTAAGCTCGAGGCGCTGTAGATTTTGATATCCGCTTGATGGGACGGTCAGCATGTCATGTGTTGATATATCAGAAGCCCGCAATTCGGAAAGTGAGGGTACAGTCGCCAAAGCGGTGCAAATATGCTGGAACCAGACAGCATCCTCAGCTAATTTACCGAAGGTGTCTAAAGAATGAATCTGGATGCACAAAGTTCGTAGCTTGGGGAAGCCGTGACTGGCGATCTTTGTAGTTGCTAGAGCCGTATTTGCATCGGCTTCCAGAGGAATGAGGTGACGCCAGAAGGGCATATCTCCGGATTCGATGTTCACCACGGAAATATGTTGGAGGTTCGGCGCCTTGGTGATGATGTCTGAGAGAAGGAAAAAGTGTTGCCCGAGCATGTCTGTGGCGTCTACTGTGCCAGAGTCATGTTCAAGGCTGTTGCCTAGATGATCGGAAAATCGGTTCTCGACATATCGCAAGCAATTCGCGAGAGGTGTGGTAAGGCCATAACCAGTGCCTGGAGCGCTGATCGTTTTGTGGAAAGAAGCAAGAGACTTGGAACTATGCCAGGTCGCCGTGCTCGTGCATGAGGTGTAGAGAATTGGCGTTGCGATCACTCTGAAACGACGAGAGGTCAAACAGAGCGAATACAGTGTCAGTTGGCGGACTTTGTTTTCGCGTTGTCTCGTTCGCTCCTTCTCCTTGTTTGTGAAGGCTGTGTACTGTGGCTCGTAGGAGCGGATGCACTCAAGACTGCTGAATATCTCGAGTAACAGCTCGTCGGGCAGGTCATGCAGATCTGGCATTGCGCTTTCGTGTGTGAATTGACAAAACGGTAATGATGTTGGTGGAGTCCACGAACTCAGTTAAACGTTGAGGTGGCGGCTAGCGTTAGGCAGACAGCGATTAGTCATGCATGTGATGAGAACGACATTCATTTTCCAGAGTGGTCTTCAGAATACATAACGTTATCAACAAACTCTGAGATGAGGACTATCTCTACACAACCTTCCTCGCTATGCCAGTCTCCACCTCGTACACCCAACCTGTAAATTGGATATCTTTCTCGACCGCCCTGCCCTGCAGCCACTGCACGTCCTTCTTGACTTCCCCCTCAAGATCTGAAAACGTAAGAAAATCGATATTTTCAACTTCTTTCGCTGCAGCGTCGCCCTTGTTCTTCTTAACGAGTCCTTTTGCGGTCTCGTTGTCGAAAGTGAGCATGCCACAGCCCGTATGTTTGACGACTAACACTTCGGTGGTTCCGAGAAGCTGTTGCGAGATGACGATTGAGCGGAAAGCGTCGCGAGCAGAAGCTCCGGCGTTGCGAATTACATGGGCGGCGCCGAGAGGGATGCCGAAAGCTGAAGTTGGGTCGATGCGCGCGTCCATACAAGTCACTACACAGCAATATGTTAGCATCTCAATATTGGTGTAGAGACGCAGATTATACACACCAATGGTGTAATTTTGACTAGGCGGAAGAGCTAGATCGCCCTGTGTGAAGGATGCAGCATACGTCTTGTTACCCTGTTCGAGATTTCGCTCTCCGTTAGCAGGCATTGTGAGTGTTGGCCAAGATGATAGATCTCAAGACGAATATCCGATCATCCCGGTAGGTATGCCCTGTCTATTTGAGTATTCTGTCAATTCTCCATCGGCTCGCATGCTGAACTGATGGCATTGCGGGGTAAAATTGCATCATGCGGTCGCCATAGTGTGATTGGAAAGACGATCGTGTCTGATCACCGAGACCATCTCTTCAGCTGGATGGCTCCTTGCAATCCGAAGCAGAGCTGTGTAGTGTTGAGGCGTCAACCCATCTTTGATCACAGCAAGGAGTGGGTCTAATGCTAATCTGTAAGCGGAATAGGCTAAACACGAAAGTGTCGCGTTAATCCAAGTCCACGTCAAATCGCAACATCAATTTGCTCAAACCTCAACCCAACCTGGTCCTCCTACTGCAAGGAATCTTATAGGGAACCAACGATGTCTTTGCTTGTCATAAACGCCAGATGTTGTATGTTTGTCTTTCCTCCGCAGAGACAACATGGTATTCGTCATCTGGAAGTTCGACGCTTGATTACATACGGGTTTGTCGGGCTAAATCATCTCGCCATCGTCTCTGCTTCCCTTGGCCTCAGCTAATAATCGGCGAGGTGAGCGCTTGTATGCAGAACACACGTCCTCCAAGACTCACATGGCGTCCAATCCACAGTCCGGACTTGGTAGTTGCGCGTCCGCCACAGATCTTTCATGTCACATCATTGGCCGCTATAAGTGCAGCCGCATATCTTTGCAGCTCCTGTATCACATCGGCTGGATGTCGCATGCGCAACACAAAGCGAGCGAGGTGGCAGCTCAGCCAAGCTCCGTTCAACTGCCTCTTGGGACTCCAGAACGATCCCATAGGAATATCGAAACAGTGGAACTGGCACAAATTCATAGCCAGAGTATATTTGTGGCCCTTCATCCCCTCCCACAAAAATGTTTCACTGAAGAACCGCACTTTTGGTGCACCTTCCCAAATACCACCCCCATATGTCGCTTTCCTTCCAAAATCAAAGCATGACTAGTGGGGTCTCCGGCATCCAATGAGCTAGTCATGTGGCCTTGCAAGGGAATTCCCGAATGCAGGTTGAAGCACATTCCGTCGCGTCTACTGAATTACATCAAAGAAATCCCGCAGAATCCTTTTTGCAGGGGAGGTATCGAAACGCTAGTAGCGAATTTGTCCAGAGTTCAAATTCAATGGGCTTGAGGTAGACAGGTGTGGATCGTCGTGTCGTGTATTGTCACGCCGTGTATTGTCACGTCGTGTCTTGTTGCGTCGTGTACTGTCGAAACCTTCGCCTGAAATCCACAAGGTCCTGAATACCAACGACGTCCGCTGCGAATTGCGTCCACGGGATGATTGGAATCGAAACAAAGTGCAGCCGTCAACTGCCACTCGATGGAACTTGGGGAATTTAGTCGACCTTTGCTCTTCCAGAAATATCGCTACCTTTCTGCTCTCCCCTCGCGCATGAATAGCGAGAACGGCGAAATAGGTATTTCCGGATAAACGCACCTGAGACATGGATAAGGAGATATGTAAGCCTGCGTTAGTCATGCTAAAGTCAGGTTTGTGTCGGCTCATATCAGCGCTAGCGAATTCATCGACATCGTACTCGCGTGGATAGTAATCGGCACCCCCAAGGAAATGTGACACTCTGGGCGCCAACATGTCACCATTAGCGGTGTCAGAATTCCAAGCGAAAAGGGTGTGATCTGTTGTTGTTCGGAGGATCTCAAGTTGCAGTCTTCGGAAGGCGTTCTGGCGCCCTTCGCCGTAGAGAGTGGCCATGTTCACGCCGAACAACCCCATCAACGAGTAAGCCTCGTCTTCAGCCCGTGTTGTTGTGCGTTTTGCTGCCCAGGACATCTTCGCAGACACACATGTATTCTGGAGATGACTGACATCTTGCAAAACTGATTCTGCAATACCGGACGCGATTGATGTCTGGTGACTCAAAGATCGTTTACTACCAAGAAGCAGCCACCCACGAGAATAAAAGATCAGCTCGGACGGCGCAATCAATTCCTGTAAGGTCCAGCCCCTTGTGAACCAGATCGCGTCGTTCAAGAAGAACTTCCCTTGGGGATGGTCGTCTACATCGTCTAAATATGCAAGGCATATTTTGGATGACGCATAGTAGCTGTACATAGAATTGATGGCTTCCGAAAGCTCTGCGCTTGACGTTTTGTCGATGCAGCATGTGTCCATCCAGGCATATTGTAGATTCATTTGAAGTGCGAGCCTGCAACTCGATTCCAGCTTTACGTATCCTTTCTTCGCTTGAGCGTTGGTGTGATCCGGAACCATCATATCTGCGAACAGAACCTCGTCTTCACGCCATCGATGTGAGAGGATCATATAGGGCGGCACGTCCTCGCCAAGAAATTCACATAGCGAGAGGTTTAGATGCTGGTCGCCGTCGGTGCCTCTTTGAATGTATAGGAGTCGCATTGCAAATGATAATAAGTCCTGTGAAGAGTTAGAGCCGTGCAGGCTGAAGAACAGGAGGGCATTGCATGCACTTGATTTTAGCGTCGTCCTGTGATTGGCTAACTTTGCTTGCAGGTCTCGGTCTGCATAATATAACAAAATATTCGAACCTCATAGCCATTACATATTGCAGTTTGGCTCATCAGTCGAATCGTTTGTAGCCATTAATATTGTAATTCTTGGTCGTGATTATGCTGAGAGGAAGGTTGCTTAAGACCCCGATACTTTGGTCCACCGAGAGTGTCACACGCAATGCCACCTACGACGGTATTGTTGGCGAGTTCGAACCACAGTCACAGTTCAATAGATTTGTTTGTCTATACACCATATCGGCGTGTGTCCTCATTGTGCATTCTCATGACTAAGGTACCTTTACAGTGAACTTTCCTGTGGACGCCGGCTTCGATAACACCCATGATATTCCCTCGTCGACACACTCATCCCAGTGGTCGGAAGCCTTCAGTGCCTTGCCATACCTCCTATGTCCATGTGGCACACCCTTGAACACTGTGATCTCCGTCGGAACATTCGTCTCCGCAAGTAATTTGGCGTACAGCAACGCTTCATCTCGCAGGGGATCCAAACCAGCGATGCCGAATACTGTGGGCGGAAGGCCTCTCACCTCATCCGCCGTATAGTTCACGATGTTGAGCTTCGTGTCTTTGAGTTCCGGCTTAGGTGCTTTGAGCAGCGCACTGAAGAACTCAACAGTCTTCTTTCCCAAGACTGGGGCATTCTCATTCTCGACGTACGAAGACACCTTGAGCTTCTTACCAGGGCCTTCATCGTAGGTTTCGAGACTGGCGAGGCATGGGATGATAAGAATCTGACCGGCGAGGTCTGGAAGACCCTTCATAACTTCGCTCTTGCCAAGGTGCTTTTCCAGGACGAGAGATGCGGATAGTTGACCGCCGGCAGAAACGCCGCCCACCACGACCTTGGAAGAGTCGCCACCGATGGTGTCGATATTCTTGTGTAGCCAAGCAAAGGCGTCTTGCGAGTCGTACCACGCAGTGGGGAACGTATGCTCGGGCGTGTGGCGATAGTTCACGTTGAACACCACAACGCCAGTCTTGATTGCCGTCTGCGCGCAAGTGAAGTCTTCGCTAGCCAGGGATCCGAAAATGAATCCTCCGCCGTGGAAGTAGAGGTACACAGGCAGTTTCTCAGCACCATCTTTCTTGACAGAGCGATAGCTTCGAGCTTCGATTGTCGAACCATCGCGTGTCGGAATGGTATAGTCGGTCATTTGAACGTGCGGCAGCAAGTCTTTCATCACTGAAGCCGTTCTGGCATCTCTTTCGGCGTTCACGGAATCTCTGAGGATCTTAGGGTCTAGAGTCGGGTCCCACGCCATCGGGGGGAGTGTCTTTGCAAGGGCTAGCCATTCCTCCGAGGGACCGCCGTAGTGCGAGAAGTCTAGAGTCATGGTTTCAAGACGCTTCAAGTAGAGTTGTTTATTTATATATGAGCGTTCTCCAAGTAGTTGAGAGCTTTAATAATTTTCTTCTGGCAGTTAGTCAAGTACTTATACTGGTGTTGGCTGTCACGATTCACTGCCCCTCCGTTAGCGCCTATTTCCTGTGTATGCCGAGGCTTACACGGTTGGAGATGCGCGTTCGGAGTAGTGGTTGTTATCTCCATCGACTAGAACGCTACTATCCCACCGCCGGGGTAAGACGCCCGTGGAGTTCGGCCAATGGAAATGGGTTATATCGCAGCATCTCACCAACAGTTCGTGAGGCGGGCTAAACGCCAACCCGCTGACGAGCTCTGAAGGGTCAATAGACAGCCCGAATTTCACGGGCGTCTTACCCCGGCGGTGGGATAAACAGAGTTTAAACATTGTCGCGCAGGAGTAGACCAGATTTGCAGACAACTGTTGCCAATTTGTTGCACCGAGCGAACTAGAAGCGCATGTGGAAAGAGTCCTACAATAGACTCCCCATGTATTGTACCGGACTAAAGATTCCTTAGTATCTTTTTTTTATACATGACTAAAATTGGTGTATAGCGGGGCACAATTGTAAACTCAACTAGGATCTTGGTCGACAGCTTGGCTGTGAGTTCGGTAGCCATAGTGGTAAGCTTTATTATAAACTTTATCGTAAGTGTTGTCGAAAATGATACTTTGAACTCTACTAGATTTACTCTCTTTGTTTACATGTGAGGTACATTGTGTTCAGTGTTTGTAGTGTTCATCGTCCGGTATTTAGTGTTTGTTATTATACTTAAGCGCTGTGAGTTTCTTAGTATCTCCTACAGAATCAAATTTTCTACTTTCGCCTACAGAACTGATTAATGTATACTATATTAGTCCCTGTTCTGTTAGTCACATAACAGTTTGCGTCGGAGGTAACGTAGCGTGTCGAGGAGGTCAATACAACGGTCAATTACAATATGGCTGTAGAGGCAGAGGACAGAGTTTGACATTTGCATGTTTGGATGAACAAGACAAAAGTATCGAACCATCATATTAATAGCGACAAAGAAGCTATAATCCCCTATCTAAACCATGCAGGGGAGGAGGCAAGTGTTCGAAAACGCTTGGTCTCAATGGGCCGATTCTAGATGATGAATACAAAACATGACGCACTGACTGGCTATCTATTGATTACCACATGGGTTAAAACCTTCCACGTGCGCCTGGGCGTTGTCTTGGCAAATGCGGGGCGGAGATTTTCCACATGCGGAGAGATGGTCCTGCCTTCCACCAATCAGAGCCGGGCTATGTAGATCAAAGTGAAACGGGTTGTGGCTTGAAATCTTCGCCCCTAAACACACTATCTGACTAAACCTGGAATTCTCAATCTACATGTCTTGGTAAACAATAGTGCACGCTCGTTATTCGTGGAATGGCAACCATGGCCATATGGGAATGGCAGTATTCATAGAGCTGTTCCGCGTTCATTTCCCGTCGCTGTTACTATAAGAGCTGTTATCGATGTAGCCAATAGTCACATATCTCTTCTCATAACTCTCATTTTCAACATGAGGTTCCTCCAGAATCTCGGAGCCTGTGTGCTCGCACTCTCTTCTCTCGTCAGCGCTGCTACATTTACGAATCCGCTGAGGACGACCGATGGCTCTGACCCGCAGATCGTGGTGTCGGGTGGTTACTACTATTTGATGACGACAACCTGGACAAACCTGAAGATTACCAGGGCGACGACGATAGAAGGCTTGAAGACGGGCGAGACGAAGACGGTTTGGACGGACACAAACTCGAACCGGTGCTGCAACATGTGGGCCGTAAGTACCGGAGAGACCTGATGAGATTGGTGAGATGCAGATGCTAACTATCTTTCAAAGCCTGAACTACATTACCTTGATGGAGCTTGGTACATCTATTACACTGCTGGTAGCAGTGCCAACCTAGACTTGCAACGCGTCCATGTCGTCAAGGGTAAGTTCACTGATTCAGCTGAGGTTGGAAAACACTGACGTGTCTACAGGTGGTGCCACTCCCTTCGACTCCTACTCTTACCTCGCTCAAATGACCTCTGCATGGGGAATCGACGGCTCCATTGTACGCTTCAATACCTGGGGCAACTTCCTCACTTGGTCGTGCATGGCCGGCGACCTGCAGTCAATCTGCATCGCCTCGCTGTCATCGCCCGGCAAAATCGGTACCACGAAAGTCCTTTCCACGCCCGCTGCAGCCTGGGAGACGCATGGCAGCCCCGTCATGGAGGGCCCAGTTGCCTTGTACCATGGTGGTAAGACATTCATCGCATACTCCGCTAGCTACTGCTGGACGCCCGACTACAGCCTCGGTCTCCTGACATGGAACGGAAGTGGCGATCCCAGCTTGTCGGCGAGCTGGAAGAAGACAGGACCTTTCTTGACGAGCGCAAATGGGAACTATGGCGCAGGTCATAATGCGTTCTTCAACAGTCCAGATGGTACTGAGATCTGGAACGTGTACCATGCGACAGCTAATAGCGCTGGTGCATGTGACGGAAGTAGGTACACGATGGTGCAGAAGGTCAACTGGAACTCGGATGGAAGCCCGAACTTTGGCTCGCCGGTGAAGGTGGGCACGAAGCTGACTGGTCCGTCTGGAGAGTAGTTGGTCTGAAGAATGACCCGTGATTGGGATATCATGTTCAGTGGTTTGTAGATGGGGTATCAGCTATAAGCAAGTTAGGTAGTGAGAACAACCACTTACTTGTGTATTCGATAGCCCGTTTGAGTATCGCGAACTACCCCATACATTCAAGAATTTCATGGCATATGAAGAACTTTGGTGATGACCACGTCCCATTTTGTATATTGATCAAAGTCACGAATACCCTTCTTCTTCTCTTCTCGTTTACAGCTAACGTAGATCGGAAGCTAAGAAGTGACAAAAGGCGCCCTGTGCTGTGACCTTATCGACGCAGGGGGTTGTTCACCGCTGTTATCTGTCCCGTTCGAGTGTCCAAGTGCGGTTGATACAAGCAAATCCTTTTTTTCTGTATATCTAGTGCACAAGGGGAAAACGACATGAGGTAGAGCCACGTAAATGTAGTCGAAGAAACTATGATCTGAAGAGGAAGATTGCTGTATTGACGGGTTGGTGAGCCGACGGAGGATGAGGCGGACGGACGAGACGCTAATCACTTTGAAATCTAGTTCGCCCCACATTCGGCCCGCCCGCGCTGCACCCCATATTCGCGTCATTGACCACGCGCGTCAGACCAACCTCCCCATAACATCCATCTCTCATCATCCTGATGCTAGTTGGCTGGCACCCTTCATCACTTTGTCGTCGAAATCCATCTGCTTGAGCCGTTAATCATGTCGGAAAAAGCGCCCCTCGTCCCGCGTACCTATGCCCCAGCGAGGGCGGAGAGAAGCACGCGTGCACCACGCTGCTCCTCTGGCAGAGCGGCGCTGAGGATGTTCGGACTCGCTGCCCTTACGGGGCTTGTTTACTACGGTGTTCCAGAAGGCAAGCCTCAACTTGTCACGGAGTTGTTTGACAGCCATGACTGACTTCACCCAGTTCAAAAGCACGTGCATAAGTCCAAGATGTGTCTCACACCCGCCTGTGTGCACGCAGCCTCGGAGATTCTGTACAATCTATCCCCCAACTACAAAGAGCTCGACCCATGCAACAACTTCGAGGAACTTGTGTGTGGCGGATGGAGAGATAGGCACGACCTTCGTTCCGACCAAGGCGATGCATTCACGGGGACAATCATGAACGAGAACTCCGAGCTGTTGCTACGTCACATCCTCGAAGCTCCCTTCCCGACCGAATCTGAAGTATGTAAACCCGGCGAAGCTGCAAATCACTACTAATTGCGTGCAGCACTCGTACTTTTCCCCAAAGCAGCTGGGTGCCTCGAAGGCATCCGACGACGAGCAAAACTTCAACAAGATGAAGGCTGCGTACAATGCCTGTCTTGATGAAGACAAGATCAAGAGCATCGGTGCTAAGCCGTTGTTGGTAGTCCTGGAAGAAATCAAAGCCGCATACCCCGTTGAGAGCCTTGGGAAAGCAGACTCAGGCTCGACCAAGGAAGCGGTTCTTCTCCTTGCGAAATACGGTGTTTCTGCGCTCGTTGCCACAGGTACTGGCGCAGATGACAGAGATCCCGATACGGTTGTCGTGTCTGTTGCGCCGCCATCGAGCTTTGGTCTTCCTTCCAAGGAGCGTTACGAAGACGTAAAGCTCGTGGAAAAATACCGCGGAGTAGCCGTTGAGGTTCTGTCTGCTTTGTATCCTGATCATGACAAAGACTCGTTTGCAAAGGTCATCGATCTTGAGAGGAAGCTCGCCGCTGCGTCTCCCAGCACAGAAGATAGCGAAGATGTCACGGTGAGTCAATCAAGAACAGGCGTGTGGTCAGGCAGTCACTAAACCCCATGCAGAAATATTACAACCCGATGTTGATAGACGAGGCCGCTGCACTAACTCCGGAGATCGAGCTTACAGCATTGCTCCACGGTCTTGCACCTGAAAACTTTGAGACCAAGCGTGTCATTGTCATGGCGCCGGAGTATATGAAGGCGTTGTCTCTTATCCTAGCTGAGACAGAGAAGGATGTCTTGCAGAGTTACTTCATCTGGAAGACTGTGCAATCATTTTCTTCATACATTGACGCCGACGCTGTAAAACCTTACAGACAATTCGTTAACGTCCTTGCCGGAAAGGTAGGATGACCTAATTCTCCTCATCTGCTATGACATACTGACCGATGCAGGACCCTGACTCTGCCCCTGAGCGATGGCGCAAATGCGTCAGCCACGTCGACGATGGCTTAGGCTGGATTTTGAGTCGTTTCTTTGTCGAAAAGGCTTTCTCTGCTGAAGCTAAGGAGTTTGGCGACACCATTATCACTGACATCAAGACTGAGTTCGCAAAGAAGCTGAAGTCGACGGAGTGGATGGACAAGCAGACCACCAAGCAAGCTATTGACAAAGTCCACAATATCATTCAAAAGATTGGGTACCCAACAAAGAGCCCAAACATCATGGATCCTCCCAGTCTCAGCAAGTACTACGGCTCCGTCAACGTGTCATCTGATGCGTTCTTCTACAACGCGCTGTCAATGCGCGGCTTTGCTGTCAACGACGAGTGGTCTGCTTTGGGCAAACCGGTGGATCGCGACGCATGGGGAATGACCGTTCCCACCGTGAACGCTTATTACAACCCACCCGGAAACGAGATCGTTTTTCCCGCTGGCATCATGCAATTCCCCGTTTTCGACGTCAATGTCCCGGCATATATGTCTTACGGTGCGTTTGGCTCTGTTGCTGGGCACGAGCTCAGCCATGCCTTTGACTCCACCGGACGTCACTACGACCAGAACGGCAACTACACAGACTGGTGGTCCAACTCTACCGTGGACGCTTTCAAAGAACGAGCTCAATGCTTTGTTGATCAATACGCCAACTTCAGCATTCCAGGATCAGACGAAAAGCCACTCCATGTCAATGGACGCCTCACCTTAGGTGAGAACATCGCAGATGCCGGTGGCTTATCGGCCGCATTCCAGGCATGGAAGCGCCGCGCTCATGAGCACCCCAACAAGGATCTGCCCGGTCTGGAGCACTTCACACAGGAGCAGCTATTCTTTGTTACCTACTCAAACTGGTGGTGTGGTAAGTCACGAAAAGATACCGCTATCAATCGTATCTACACCGATCCTCATGCGCCTAAATGGGCACGCATTCTTGGCACCATGGCGAACAGTCGTGAATTCAGGGAGAGTTTTGAATGTAAAGCGAAGGAGCCGACTTGCCAAATCTGGTGATTGGTCATTCCGAGTCGTCACGTTTGGCGTTGGGGTATCAGTATACGGTATATAATCTATAACTAATTCAATCATCTCTTCAAATTTCTTGGCTGCCGGTTTTGCTGACACTCGGACCGTCGCGTTCCCGCTGTGAATAAGCGATAGGTCGACGAGATCTGTGACAACACCAACAGCATGAACATGCTCATGAGGCTACTGCTCGCATTACACGCCCCTTTAGGCCAGACACGTACCAGGGGTTTGCGCGTAAGAGTAGCATCGAGCATGCATGATCCTAGTGCTTACCTGCCGCTCATGTTCCAGTTTGTCGATTGGCCAGCCTCGTCCGTTCACACTGCGTTGTGGCTGCACGCCAAGTATTGGTAGCAGGAAGCTGAACGTTGGAAGATACAAGGCAAAACAAGCTCCAGCCCAATCTGCATTGGAGTTGTGAATCGCTGACTACCTCATGTATTACGTTTCGTACCGCATGTTTTGAGCATCTAAAGTCATAGCATCGCAGTTTGTCGATACACCCATGGCGACCTCTCCCGCGTCTTCGCCTGTACAGGCTAGCAATGCGCAGACTCTCGACAATACAGGGTATTGTCTTCTTTCTCTGGATGGTGGAGGCGTTCGTGGTCTGTCGACACTTTACATTCTGCGAAACATCATGAACAGACTGAACTTCCCGCGCTTAGAAGCCGGGTTACAACCAAGAAAACCGTATGAGATTTTTGATCTGATCGGTGGGACGAGTACGGGAGGGTACGGACATGAACACTCACAAGCTTCACACTTGCGCTGATTTGTTGTCTAAGACTCATTGCGATCATGCTTGGTCGTCTCGAGATGTCGATTGAAGATTGCATCAAAGCGTACACCGAACTTATGAGGCGAGTATTCGAGAAGAAGGAGAATCGGTCTATCATAGGTGTTATGGGTGGTGTGAAGCCACGCTTCTCGTCCAAAGCGCTAAGAGATGCGATATCGAAGGTAATCAAAGACTGCGGCGTGTCTCTTGACGAGAAATTTGAGATCACAAGCAGCCCGAGATGCAAAGTGTGAGCATCTTCAAGCTTAGGTCCAGGAAGATTCGCTCAGTGTTGACTGCGTCAGTTTTGTTTGCACGAATCTGCAAAAGACCAATACCATAACCCGACTCCACAACTACCGCATCCCAGCTGGCTGCGAGTTCCAACCTACTATCCTCGAAGCTGCTCTTGCGACTTCTGCCGCGCCGACGTACTTCTCCGACATTGGCATCGCGGGTAGTAAGTTCGTCGATGGCGCTTTCGGTGCCAACAACCCGACCTTCGAGGTCGAAGAAGAAGCGTCAGAGCTGTGGTGTGGAGGAACAGGCGATCTCAAACCCCTCGTGAAATGCTTCATCTCTGTCGGCACCGGGGCTCTAGGTGTACGTAGCGTTTCGGACAAAGGCATGAAGCATCTGGTGGAGACATTACAGAAGGAAGCCACGCAGACGGAAACTACAAATCAACGTTTTTTGTTTCATTGGAGTCAGGGTGTGGAGAAGGGTCGGGTGTTCAGGTTCAATGTGGATCAGGGACTGCAGAACGTGAAGTTACAGGAGTACGAACAGCAAGATCTGATTCAGGCATCAACTTCGACATATTTGCATGAGAGAGGTACGATTGGAAGGGTCAAAGAGTGCGTGGAGAACCTGCGGATGAAGCAATGTACGTAGAGATTTCCTGCTTAGTGTTCAGCGCAAACTAGAGAGAACAGACGTTAGCTGATAACCTTGCCTGTAGATCAGCCAAATGCAGAATTCATTCGCAAGATCAATGAAGAAACATCGGCTCATGCGGTATCACCACCGTCAAAGACTCAAGCCCGAGCAACACCATCGGAGATCTGTGAGTACCTACTGCCCGCCTGCCTGCCGACAAAACGTAACTGACTCTCCTCATAGTAGAACTCATCAACACGGGCAACTCGCACCTCAAAGTCTCTCCAGACCGGATCACAACAAAAGATCTCCTCAAGGCCCTTCAGTTCTTCTCGAAAGCTCTACAATACCTCAAGAACGAGCCCACAGCTTCCCCCAAACAAGTCTCCCGCGTTTATCAAAAACTCATGGAAGCATCCCTCGCTCTGAGCGTGAAGACACGCGAACTATCAGATCGCAAGCGATACGCAGACGAAGCTCGCGAGTTCGGCGACGCAGCGCTGCAAAACGTCTTAGTCACAGGAGACAAATGTATGGTGGCACAAGTAGAGTTTATGCTGGCTTGTGTTACGGCTTGGAAGACATATCTGCAGGCGAGGGCGAACGGCGTGGAGCCCAGGGACTGGCCAGGTAGGGAGGGTGCAGAGGTTTTGATAGAGCGGCGGCTGAACGGGCTGAGGAGTTTCGAAGATCTAAATATGGAAAGATATGAGGAGCATGCGGACAAGTATCTGAGGGTATTTAGGAAACAGGCTAGGCGGACATGAGAATTGGAATAATCGCATCATGCTTGACGACCACGTTCTTGAGATCCGAGTAATCGGCAACAAAATGTGTCTTGTCTTCGTTTGAGTCATACGTGTACCCGGACATTTCCCGTTGGCTGTGTTCTACTATTGTTTACATCGAAGAAGTGCTTAACATAGCTGTGTCCGCTGAGGTGTATAAGATGTGTTCCACAATGATCCATCCTATTTGCATGAATATTGAATTCTGCCCTTGTCTATGGATGATGTTTCATCGTCTTTCATCCAAGACTACACCTCACAGGCTTATAAGAGCGGTTAGCCGCCCATGCAACGCCACGAGCGGCACCCCTGCGATGTGCAGTCTTGGCCGCTGATACGGGAAGAAACAAGCGGAAGATCGACCAACACCCTGGGAACGTATATTTACCACGCGGGAGAAGAACCGTGTGTGGCGCACTTTTGCCCTGGGTCTCGTGCCGCCAGATATGAGCTGAAGAAAGTGCCCTGGTAGCCTTATCTTGTACTACCACCCCGCAGTCCAGACGGGTTGTTCTTGCGCAGAAACCTCATCCCCCCCATGATAGTTTACCCAGCGCAGTTGGGTATAACTGTCTCAACCATGACTCGTTCGCATCTCAACCTACCAACGTTTCTCCTTTCGTCGTGTGCCGTCTTCCTCGCCATACCACTTGCAAAAGCTCAAATCGGCACCGTCGCCCAAAACATCAACACAATTTCTGCATATGCTATCCAAAAGGTTTGCGCACAAGGTTGCTTCCAAGACGAATCAAACGACTTCTGTCCTAATGACTACCTCGGAGAGAAGATCCAATGCGCGACCCATACCGACTGTAACGCAAACAACTACCTCGCAACCAACGACTGCTACTGTCGATCGGATCTGCAAGCGGTAGCGCAAGTGTATCTCACCAGCTGTGTGAAGCGCAAGTGCTCAGTGGGCGATGTCGCTATCGATGCATCGACCGCAGGCAGCATATACTCTCAGTACTGCAAAGAGAAAGGCTACGTCGCTGCGGCTCTACCAGCAACGGTATCTGCTACCGCGACAACGACGGGAGGGGTCGTTTCTGTACCTACGGCGACTTCAGGTTCGACGTCAGGTTCAAGCGGCTCTTCTGGATTGGCTGGCCTCTCTACCACGACTATCGTCGGAATCGTCGTCGGAAGTGTAGTTGGGTTGTTTTTACTCTCGTACCTCTTGAAAACCATCCGAGAATGCTTCAACCGCAAAACCCAACCACCCTCTACACCCGACCATAAGGCCGTATTTCCTCCGACCCACTATCAGGAACATTGGGTTCCGTTGCGGGGAGTGGGATCAGAGATTGGACCGAATGATTCAATCTCTATGGTCTCGGGCCCGGCGAGACCTCTTCCTTCGCTTGTGTCAGGAACAGGGTATCCTCAGGGCAGGTGGTAAAGTCCGTTATGTTACATGGGTTGGTTTCTACGGTCTTCCAATCTATGAACCTAGCAATGACGTTCAGTATATGTGTTGTAGAGTGCTAAGCTGGAAGGTTTTTGGATGATACCACGGATGTTACGATGGGTGATGGGTCGACAGTGCATATCGAGAGACGATACATCAATATGTTATGATTAGACGCTATATTTTAAAAAACTTGGTACAATCGTGGTTCACAGCAAATGTCATGGCCTATATCGAAGAAAGTAGTAATAGGCATAAGAAAGTGAACTATCCTTCTGTCGTGAGGATCTTCAGTCCTCGCTCTCAAAGTCAGCGTATTGTTCCATGCCACCCAGAGTATCATATAAATGATAAAATAATTTCTCCTGCGTCATCATACCCATAACTTTCGGTGGCCACTTTGAGAGGATCTGGTGATCTTCCCACTTGTGCACACCTCATGTGTCGCAAAACACGTCCAACCGCCATCTGTTGGCAAACTCCCCAAAGAAGGCATCTAGATTTATAACTGCTTCTGTGTAGTGGCTCCATAGGGTTTGCTGGCGTGGTTCTTTTAGGGAGATTGTTTTTGTTGAATTTCGAAACTTCTAGGCCGTAATTGTAGCGTAATATCGTCTCATGCTAGGCTGAAAATTGGTGCCCATCTTGACATGCAGGGACAACGCAGTATCTTCACGAACGAGCCATGGGACTTTAATACCCATACGCTGGCCATATCGCATAGATGTGAGCGAGAGGTACGAGCTAGTGGAGGTGAAGGAGTTACTCAACGACGCGTCGCGAACGACACGCTAATGATTGTTGGAAAGCGCGCTATGCATTACGTCGACGTCATCGTTGCATTCCAGTGAGATTCGCAATCTATATCCGATTAACATCTTTGGAGGACTCCATTGTTGTTCGTGGCATTTTGGTACAAGCTGTCGGGCGTCTTGTACAGGTTATATATTCCCTCAAGACCTTTCCATCCGACTGGTGCAGATAAGACATGTATCCATGGCCATATACATGCTTTTTCCATAAACTCCTCAAGACTGACTCACGGCCGCTGCGATTGCGACTGCCGCGAAGTAGCCTGTCGCCAGCCATCGCCGGTTGTTTCCACAACAAAGTCATCATCTTCATGGGGTAGGGGTTTCGTGACGCTCTCGCCCGCTTTCCTCTTTACGCCTCGACTTCCCGCAATGCCAGTAACTACCCTCCCGCTGTCTGAACTCATAGCTCTGGAGGTTATGTACGGTGCCGCGTTTGGTATACCAGGCGTAGCTTCGACCCGCATTCTTGATTCTGGGAGGATGTTGTCATCGTCATCGCCGTCGTCATCACTGCATAGGTTGATGACTTCTGGAGACTTTGCTGTGTTTGAGGTTCGTGCTGCCAAATACTGAGATGGATGTCGTAGACCTAGCAGTGGCTTAACAGACACACCATGTGCTCCAGTACCATTCGAGCTGCCGATACTGATCACTGACACGCTTCTCAATTTGTTCGCGCTGCTCGATACCGGGAGGGGTTTGACGACTGGAGGAAGCTGCTCTTTAGGGCCGTTCGTACCACACGATGTTGTGGCAGAGTCATCTCTCGATAACTCGGTACCATCTCTGGACATTTCGCGCTCATTTCCTACTTCTTTAGTACCTTCGTAGCGGCTGTGTACATCTTGGCCCTGAAGATCTGACGCCAGCCTTATATGATCCGATGAGAAGCTGGGCGATGAGACCGCCGACACAAAACCGCTGTCTCGTGCACTGCCTCGTGCTCCATCAGGCCCATTTACTCCATCGTGTCCATCAGTTGGATCGCCATCGCTGGGCATATGTACGTTAAAGTTGGATTTGACATAATCTTCCTGCTGGGATGGAGGCTGTATCTCGATGGAAGGCACTGGAAGGTCTTCATGGTTTGTTCCTCGCGCGTTCGGTTCCAATTCATCAATCTCCATATCATCCGTTCCAGCTTCACTGTCAGGGATTACCAGGCGCCGGGTTGATATATCTCCGGCCATAATCTCTGCCAGTGTCTCCGGGTCGATCTTGAGTCGTATCATCAAAGACGCCCTTACAGTTGTACAACCCACAAGACCTTGGTCTCTCCTGGAGGTTTCTTGTGAATCGTCCAAGTTGTCGCCGGAATCTACTCCGGAACCCTCAGATGTCGTGTCTCCCCTCTCGGGTTCTTCTAAGTAAGGCCCTGTCATCCTCGTAGGTCTGGGGACGACAGAGATTCTCATTGAGTGAAGTCTCCCTCTGTTGCTCTGTGTGACGCTGACGGCATCCGTTCCGGCCACTGCTTGCTCGTTTGCTTCTCGCTCTTCAATAGTTGTTGTGTCCTCGAATCCTTCCAACAACGTCTTTTCGATTTTACTCGCTTCTCTATCGGTTGAAGGCCGATATATCGCTCCGTTTCGTAGCCAATCATGATATTCACAACGGCTGTTGATGTATTCAAGCGCATGTACAAGACTACTGTCAAACTTGCTCCAGTGTATAGCGCAGTCGTCAAGGCCAGCGGCAAGGAATAGATAGAGCACAAGTGCACAAATCATGTCGCGAACATTAGCTACTTTGTCGGATGGGTCAAATTCAAGGAAGCAGAATGGTGGTTGCAACCCAGTTGCTTTGCGCAGGAGTGATGTTGCTGAACGTGGATATCGTGTTACTTTACCCTGCGTGTTGATCTCGTCTTCAAACACAACAGGCGGCTTCATTCGTTTGCGATCGAAGTGAACGTGTGCCCAAATACTCGCCTGCGCGCCATCTGCCTGATTACGATGACCGAGGTGGAGTCTGATCGTGTTCTTCTCAAGATGCGTAGCTTCGCAGAAGGTAAGGGCGTCGACCGTCGGCAGTAGTTTCAAAGTGTGTTCGCTGGTTTTGATCTTTTTCTGCAGTCTGTTTAGAGACGATTGCCACCGATACGGTAGAGGTTGTGGATTCAGAATTTTGACCGCCATGACGAGAGAGCAAAGTGGGCTTGAGATGGTTGTTTGTTATGGTGTGCGCACACCCTAGCGCGTCGATGTAGAAGGAAAGTGCGGGCGAAAATAGTATAAGGCGCACGCGTGCAAAGCGAGTACACGCGTGCGACTTGTGTGACTGGTTATGATTTAGGGGAATGGCGAGTTTGAGGATGAAGAGTGTCAAGGGAAGGTAGGGATGTCTACAAATGAATGCGAACCCACGTAATCACGCGTCAAACGCATGCATAGCACACGTTCCAAGGATATCCAACCTGACAAGGGTCACAACGCATATATTCAAAATGGGTATACTCGGCAGAAGTGCATCGTTGCAAGTATCTGAGATACTCATTGCATCTTTGCTCGGTTCAAATCGAGCCAAACCCGATTAATGAGGTCTCTTGATGCTGTGGTGTGATCAAGTTCTACAGCCCGACATCGTCATCAGTGGGAACAGATATCATCGATTCAGCCTTACTGATATGTACAATGTATCTATTGGTATACGATCCTCCAGAGTTAGAACGCCCATCCAGCACTGTCCTGCTCATTTCACAGACTCGGTCTTCTGCTTCTTGTATCCATTATCGCAGTGCCCAAGCTTGCGACCAATATCTATGAGTAGCTTGTACTCAAGAGGTAGGTCGTCGAGAAGTCGCTTTTGTCTACGAGGGAGGTCGTCCTTCCTCATGATAAGATTCTGTTCTTCTACCATATCCTTATTGTCGTCCGTCTCCATCTCACCCAGGACTATATTCCACTCTTCAGCCTGCTTCCTCATGCGGGTCATTGTTTCCTTGTTTTCTGCCCTTTTTGTTTGAAGCTCAACAAGTCGCTCGTTGGCTTGCTGTTCTGCCTCTTCAAATTGACGGTACGGAGTAAGGAACCTTGCGGCGAGCGGAACAAGATGAGCTCCAGGGATCTGTACGTTATCAGAAGATTCAAGGAAGGGAATGAATTGACTTACAAACTCGGGTATTTGAGTGTGCTGTAACAGATTTGAAGTGGAATCAGCGATCTGTACAAGGTTCTGTTCTTTCGAGGTATTGAGACCTGCGTCTGGATCAGGCGACCCTTTCTTTGCCTTTTCGAACGTGCTTGACAATGTGCGTGAGGGTTGCTCAGTGATATCGGTTTGAAGGATACTGGTGTTGGGGCCTTCATTTGGATTTGGAGCCCGGAAAGTTGACATATGACTGGTAATCGCATTGCTACAGTGACCTAGGTTCACTCGCAAGTCTGGTCCGGAGGGCCGGGTAGCTGGAGCATCGTCAAGTGTGAGATCGATAATATGCTCAGGCTGGACCCGCAACTGCATCTCCACCTCTGCGGTTTTGGTCAGACGAGCGACAGCCAAGAGCCTGGTTCCAAATTCTCTCGGTATCGGAAGTGGAAGTGAAGCCTGCGAATTTTTCTTGAGGAAATAGTACTTCAATAGAGTGGACAAATCGGCAATGTTTCGCACTTGGATGAAAGCGGTTTCGAACGCCACGTTCTCCAAGACAAACTGTAAGGAGACGGATCGGAGGATACTGCCATCTGCACCAAATGCAAGCATACGTATTTGTGGTGATGGTCCTGATCTAAGATACAACTCGTGATAACCCCAAACTATCGCTTTCAAGATGTCTGCCGTGCCGTCGGGTTTGGTGCACGAGTTGTAAATGTAAGTGCCGATCTTGATTTTGGAGGGAAGATGATGAGAATGAAGATGAGGTACGTCGTTGTAGGCGACAACATCAACTTTGTCACTGGGCAGATTGGCGAGTAGCGGTGCTTGTTCCCCGCATATCTTTTCTATTGCAGCGAGTACATCTTGAGACGAAGGGCCTTTCTTGGGGGCCATACTGACGCGTCCGAGTACACAATTGGCTTGCCGTCGACTGCCAGGCTCGGAGCTCTTACGAGAAATGAGATTGAGTAGGTTGAAGTACACACGTGGTGATGGTGTCGTAAGGATCGAAGAGAATTTCAGTTTGAGAAGTTATAGCGAGATGAACGTCGATTTATGTTGGCCTTTCTTCGTGACTACCACGAGGTGAAAAGTGCGCTCACGGTGAAGACGAACACTCACGGTGAGAGGGAAGCCTGTCTGTCACAGCTCCTCAATCATAAACACGTAAAACAAATGGCATCTAAGCTACTGAATCAGTCGATTGGTGCAGCGATTCTCATCCACATTAAAGGACTTTTTCCACTAGTCATTGTCCCGATACGCGCTTCTGGGGTTGTACAAGTTTAATCCCAGTAGATCCAACATGACCAATACCCAGGCCAAGAGAAGAAACAATGGAAATAGCAACAATCCCTAAGCACCATAAGTCCGATGCCGACACACTACCTACTCGCCCATCTCACTATCGACCTCCATGTGCTCAATCTTTTGACGCTTTCTCGCATTCTCCCCAGCATAGTCGACCAGGTCCCAAACTTGATCAGCTGTAAAATCCTTCTTTTTCCGCTCAATGGATTGTTTCAATGCAAACATTTCCTGTTCTTTCTCCTTTTTCTCGTCGTTTAGGACTTGTAGCTTCCCTTCGTGTTCTTTCTTCAAGTCGTGATACTTTTCCTTCGACATTGAGACTGCATTGTCAAGCTCTGCTCTACTCTTTGCTTTTTGCTCCTCGGCAAATCGCTGTATATCTTTCCTCAATTTCTCTTTGAACTGCCTAGGGAGTTCTTCGTCGATGTGGTGCGCCATAGCTTTGCGTCTAGGACGATACTCTAGATCGATTTTCGTCATAGCTTCAGTGATGGCCTCAATTCCTGAGGCAACACTGTCATGTTCGCTCTTCAGGTCTAGGTATTTGTCGAAGTTTGGGTTCAAAGCTGGTGATGAAGTAGTAGCACTGATCTGGTGACGGCTTGCAGGTGTCGATGAGGTTGCCGACGAAGTTGCCCTCACGCGTCCATGAGATGCCTTGTTTGTATGCTCAGGCACAATGTCCAACAATGAGGTAACATCAACTGTACCAGTACTGGCAGATTCAGGTAGGTTCGTCTGCAGTTTGGAGCCTTCCCGCTTACAGCCTTTCACCTGAGAGTCTTCTTGCTTGCATTCTTCCTGCTCCGAGTTTCGCTCCTTGGGGCCAAGCGTAGATGTAGCTATGGGTGTCGTGGACTGGGGATTGGCTGATTCCTGGTTGGTGAACTCATAATCCGGTCCAGACAGCTCAACAGATTCATGAACGACGTTGGTCGTATTGATCAAGAGCATAGGCTCACTGAAAAAAGTCTCATAGTTGCGCTTTTGGAGTTTGACAGCAGACATGTCTTCGCGCGCGTGATGGTTCTCAGGTTCTCCTTTCCTGCGTGCAGATGCAGCTGACGATGCCCTGAACACATCCCTAATGCTCATACCGGTAGCGGTTGGAGTTACCGGGACCGATCCTGCGCGGACCTGCTCGTCAGAGGAAGGAGAAGGATTGATAGAGGCCTGTAAGCTGAATCGTTGACCAAATGAGCCTTTTTGCTCAGATTTACGGATGCGATGATTAGGCTTGGCGGGTGTATCTTTGCCGACACCTGTAGTAGTTGCAGCTTGGGGGCTCTCTATTGACGAGACCCCAGTTTCATCAGCAGCTTCACTGCTCTGAGTGTCCTCGTTTGCACCAGGGTATTTGCGACAAGCTCGCTTGAGTCCCTTGATGAAGTTCTCCGTGATCGTTGCTTCGGTAGGAATCTCTGCACCTTTCAAGATGAAGCAACACTGGATTGTTTGGTCAGGTTATGTGTACAAATGTAATCTGACGGCCGCCTTACCTTTACGAATGGTGCAAAATCCTTCTTGTTTCTGGTTACAGGTACGAACTCTTTGCGTAGATCTCCTTTCGCAAAGAGTGCGTCGGGAGTGTAATGCGCTCTCGAGGTGGCGTTATTATCCAACCCATATATCTTGATGTCGGGCAAGCCATCTGCACGGACATGAGTACACATATATACCCAGAGTGTGGTATCAGGTGCGCTTGGATCACAGCCAAGTTTAATCTTGTGAGGAATGCAACCCTGCATTTCGTCTTGACGTATCATCTCTACTCTGTCTATAGGCAGAAGATTGAGGAGAGTCGCACTGTCGCCCATTTCTTGTCTCAACATCTTGACCATGGTAGTGATTCCAAGGCGAGGCTCTGCACTGACTTCCTTGCTAGAGGTAAGTTTCTGCCCTTGAGGAACCATGTTGGGTACAATAGGAGCTGTGAAACCGTGTGCAGAGGTAGGAAGCGGTGACATTGGAGGTCTTCATGAGCAATCAATATTAGCAACAATGTTTGGAAAAAGCAGTTGACCTCACTTACAAAGTCAAGAACACCAACTAGTTGATGGTGGGGTCACGCAAATGGGGACCGGTGTCGAGCCAGTCGCAGAACCGTGGGCGCGTTTTATGTTGTGAGGTGAGTGAAGGTGACGCTAGCGCGTTTGCACGACGCGCTCTTGGGGTCAACAAGGGGAAAGTTTACAGGTTGCGACGGGAAACATTGTCAAAAAAACGCTAGTGAGCAGTTCCATCATTGTTCCGAGCCTACATCTTAGTAAAATGCAGAAACCCGTCGGTAACGCACTTCCGCGTGCTCACCGACTTTGATCACATCATCAGTTATTGTTCCATGTGGCACATTCATAGATATATCATGCTGATCAGTACGCAGTCGGGATTGAGAAATTCATAGCTGTTATAATATACGTCTCACTCTTCTCGCTTGGAAATGATCTTTTCTGCTACTCATGCCTGGGTTGTCCAGTATAGTCATCTGTTTTTGTGAGATGTTCTGACCAAGTCCGCTCAAAAGTCATGAGTAAACTTCATCGGAATCTGATACGCTTATACGGGTGGCTACAGTGTGTACTTACATTGCAAACGCGCGACAACAAATTGCTTGATTCATCGGCACCTGTATTTAGTGAGCACTCGGCTGGAGGAAGAGATGTCTGACGGTAACTTCAAAACATCAATGAACTTATGGCTTGCCTGGAGCGTGACTCCTCCTGAAACTCATCCACAGAGCGTATGTGTGACCCTAAAGGTCTAGCACTTAACCATCTTCTGTCCTACTGCCATCGTGTCTGGAATGTGTGGGGAAGAAGATGTAACTACACGTCTTGTGCTCCACTGTGTCACCATACAAAGAGATTTTGGAAGCCGCAAATGCAATTTCGTATTGAACATAGATTGTTGCGCGCTCAATAAGGAACCTTGGAAGTTCAACGTCATCTTGACGAAGGATCGGACGTGGACAAAGTAGGAAAGAATCACAACTATATGCAGAGCTAGCGCGAACTTCGAGGTTGAGATGTAACTGTTTGTATAATGTTTGATTTTTATCAGGAAAAAGTCGTGCGGAAATCAGACAAATATGCGAAGCTTGGATTAAAAGACGGTATGTAGTAGTTACTAAGTGTGTGCAGAGCGAGCGAAGAATACTTTCGGTGGCATGAAGCTCTACCTTTCCGTTTGCTGTAAATCAGGGCAGACACCGAAGGACTGATCGACGAGATAGTATGCGATCAATGAGATATGATTCTTCCACGAAAGGTGCCACATAGGAGCCATCTGAATCGCGTTTGCTGTTCGGGGTTTGGAAGGCATCATAACATACGTTATCATCGAGCTACCCGATACAGGAATTTGACATTGATACACGGTTGATAAGACACGCTGATCCCAACATCCCCGGCATGCTCTCACTCAACTCTTCTACGCTTACTACCATGCATCCGCTCAACCTTACGTCCCAGCGAATAGATTTCATCCCCAGTTTTTGCCTCGAGCAAGAAGTGTCGCCGTTCTGCAAGCTGCAGCCGCTCGCATTCTTTGGCGTCCTGTTCAGCTTGTAGTGCGATGATCTTCTCCCCAATGGTGTCAATCTCTTCTGTTATCCTCTCTTCGTCGTCGTGACTATCAGCCAGCATCTGAACGAGTTCGTCTGTACCGAGGCTGACAAGAGCAAAATTCACTTCTCTTTCGCTCGTAGCCCGATTTGATGGGTTTTGGGTGACTTCCCCCAGCAGCGTATCGGTCGAATCGGTATCCGATTCGAATTTCAGTTTATTGGAAGAGTCGGTATCTGTCGTATCCACATGTTCAACAACGCAGCGAGGCGGTGTCGCCCGCCGCCCTGGACAGTTCGTTCTCTCCGCCTCATCCCTGAAATCTAAACATGCCATAATCACGTCATGGCAGAATGAGCCCGACAGAGATAGTCCGTACTGTGTCTTTCTCAGATCCTCGTCCAGGCCGATCTCGACCAGTTTCACGAGAAAGTAGTATTTCGCAAGTGCGATGAGCTTCGGTTTGGACCATCTGCCGGAAACCTTGAATGCAGAGTGGCATCCAGACACTATCCGGCCGATTCTAGCTGTTTCATACTCTTCATAGTGGTGGCCATGTGCGTCATACGATTTGAAATGGACTGCGACATTACCTCTATACCTAGACGCGGGAATCAAGTGCACCCAGATGTTCCTTGTATCGTTTGTGGCTTTTTCTCGAAGGTAACCGAACAATATTTTGAAGGAGATCCCATCCGGGTCATTACTAACTTCTGTTTTGATCTTGCTTCGTGGGGCATAGTCAAGCAGATGGGCTTGCTCGCCCAGCTCGGCTTTGAGCTGCGCAAGATCTGTAGCGATACACATGCGACTCGGATAGCAGGTCGGCGCAGCGTTTGGGTGATGTGACAGGTTGCGTGTGAGTGGACCCTGGCAGTATAGCGGGAATAGAAGAGATTGCAGGGCGAGGAGAATGCGTTGTGAGGTAGAGTTACGGAAAGATGTGTATATCTAGTAGGATGATTGAAGTTGTCGCGTCTTGTACTTGCAAGTGCATGGCGATATGTAACATGCTGGACGTGTGAGACAAAGATTCCTAGTTGTTTGCGGCGAGAGCAGTTTCCAAAGTCCCATGTTTCCTTCGCAATTGCTCCCCACAAATGGTTGCCATTGCTTAAAGAACGGAAGCGACATGATGAATGTACGTCATTCTGAAAAGTACGCGTCAGCAACCCGTGCATCTTGATCTACCCCTTTTTCTCAACAGCAAATATCTCTTTGAACTAGCATTAAGCAGGAAAACCTAGAACTGACTAGTCTGACAATTTCTCCCTGGTAGGTAGCACACTATCATATGTTTCACTTGGTTAAGTGTTGTGTTGTATTAACAATTACCGAGAGAACCTTCAATGAGTTGGTTGATGGTAAAGTAAGTGTGGTGAACATGATGGACTTATGGGAAGCAACGACAGGAGCATGATGTCACGCGCGAAAAGCTTACTCATCATTCTTAGCGTCTTCTTGACGCGCCGGAGTCGCGACAACTCCACCGCCAAGGTGGCTCGTCGTTGTCATCAGAATCGGACACCTGCAAAAGATAGAACCTCGACAAACAAATATGTTGTTTCATAACAATTAGACAACGCGAGACGCGTCAGCTGCTGTCATGTTGCCATGATTGTCACCTGTTTGTGCAGCCCATACTCCTCAATATGAGCAGCACCAAAGTTTTCTAACGATGGTTGTTTTCCCAGGCTTCATCGTCATGTTTCCATGATTTGATATCTCCAAAAGCTAACAGCGGGTCTTACTTGTCGTCGACTGTCTTTTGTACCAATATCGAGTCCCTCGCAACTCTTTGAGACTGAATGTGTCGTCGTAGAAGAGGGGCGCCCAAATTTCCCGCATTCTGTCGATACGCAAGCGAGATTGGTCAAGGCTTAGGCCATTATTGGATGTCAAGTGAAGATGGTTTAAAACTATGGGGCATGCGTACAGGTGTGAGCTATCTTTTAGTACTTGGACCAGGAGGAAGTGTTTCGGCGCTAGGCCTGGATTATTAAACGAGGCAAGATCCGAGAAATGGGGTGGATTTCGTATGGTATTAACAGATAATCTGTTGGAAAACCTGAGGCACATATTTGATGCTGGTCAATCTCAAAACACGGTGTTACTTTGACACGCGAAAAGCCATCAACAACAACACATGGGGTGAGCATACCTCTGAAGGCGACAGACATTGACTTAGTCAATAGCATCAAAGAAGGCAGCGGGAATATCACCAGGGAAATTGTATCGGCACAAGACATGCTTTCGACGAGGCCACGTGGGAGCGATGGCATGGTTGTATATTTTAATACAATACATGACTTTGTTTTATGTGCTGCTCAGATTATGGAAAGCAGGCACATGTATCGAATCTCCGCGCAGAATCCCCCGCTTCAACGAAATTCGATTTGACGAACTTAGTCTAGAGTCGACGTTAGCAGCAGATACGAGGTAGATATAGGGCCGAGGAATCGTACTGTAGTAGAAGGTGCCGTTGTTGTTCTCGATACGCTCAGCCAAGTTCAGATCGCGTTCTTGGTAGTTGCCCTCAACATCCTGAAGACCAGCTCGCAGGACAGGGACGGAGCCATCACCCTCAATGGAGAAGTGAACGTTTTCAGCGGAGCCGCCGAAGCCTGTGGCGTCCCAGGAGAAGTGGCCTACGATGGTATCAGTAACGCCTATAGAGGTCGTAAGGGTTGGAAGTTATTTGGTACGTACCGTTCTCGTTACCGATGTGGTTGTTCAGGTCAATCTCAGCATCCTGGTAGTTACCGTTGATGTCCTTGAGGCGTGCCTTCAGGATGTGGTTGTCCTCGATGCGAATCGACCCCTCTTCAGCGCTGTAGTGGAAAGGCATGTTTGTTTTGGTGTGTGAGGGGTGAGATGATAATTCAAAGAATGAGAGAGTGTGTAGATGGAGTCGGATTGGAAGTGTGGTAGAGGTGAGGGGGGCAACGGGCTTTATAGGCGGCCCACGCTATACCTAAATGTCATCAGCGATATACTGGCAGCCCCTCCATGACGGTTGTTCGTTGTTCAGAAGATCGCATGCCGATTGTCCGATCAGGCTCCAGCTCGACCAGTAGCACAATTATGGATCTTTACTACAATCAACCCCCGCCTACGCGGTGAGCAAGCCATCAACCAGCCACGTGGCTGTGTTCAAATGGGCTTCACGCAAAGTGGCGTGATTAAATGTGCATTGCCAGTGGGGCTGATGCGTCTTTAGTGATGCAGGGCATTGTGGACATGATATGTGGGGTAATTGCCTCATTGCCACATCGTCTCGCGCCTTGCTGTAAACACGTTTTCGATCACACTCTGAGACGACTTAGTCACTCTGCATTAGAATCAGAGTCAGTTTCTTTGAGAGAACTTTTCCATCAACGAGCATGGAATGTGTTGATGATGATGTTGTTGTGGTTGTCCTCATCAAGCGGGGCAGATGCGGGTCCAGAACGCGCTGGTGATGCCCCACCATAGCTTTCCAGCCATCGCATTACCTTGTCCTCACTGTACAATCTGTCATGAACCGCGCTCCATTCTCAAGTGGCTTCTGCTGCGCCAATGCTGGCTTCCTGAGTTGTCTCCGGATACGAACATACGAACCTCGCACCACCCCATTCGTACTTGGTACACGGGGTTAGATTCAATTCTAACCGCTGAAACATGACAACATCTCGGATCCAACTTGTGAAACCGGCCTGACATTGTGTCTTTAGCGTCATCGTAGTCCAAATAACACAATTGAGGGGATTGTGGCGAAAGTACCTCAAAACAGCCACTTCACATTGGAACACGGGTCTACTCTGACTCGAACGTCTTTTGCAGTGTAAACACACTCTCCCTCTACAATGTTAACATGCACCTAGTGTTTAATAGAAAGATTCACTCCTCACAATAACTTGAAGTCATAAAGAGTTTACAATGTCACAAACTCTGCTGGTCTAGATGTGCGTGTCGATAATCTGCCCTCTGGACTGATTCAAAACTTCGACAGGCAAGACAGAGAAAGGCTCAGTCTGTGGAGTTCACAGTCGAGCGCACAACCATGACCAGTACTCCTCGGCATCAACTTGGCGATTTCGAGGAGATCAAGTCGGTCATCGAGCCGTTCTGGCACGTATGGAATATCCTGCTCCAGGAAGTGCCAGTTGAGTGTATTGATCGTATCGTTAACGCGAACAGACCAGAGGATGGTATGTCTATGTATACATTGTACGTAGAAAAGCCGCTTAGACTCGCGAACGATACATCGGTCTTTCCTCTTACGATCTCGCCGTCTACGGTCCCGGTCTCCTCGCAATTGCAAACGGCGATATTAAAACTCAACTATTGCGACTTTGCCGTTTATGTGTTTCTAAAACACATTGCTAAATCACTACAGACGATCGGTGCCCGCGTGGATTGGCTATTCGTAAAGCCAAATCCTCTCATGCTAATCCACTATAGCGATACAGAGCCTGACACCCCCAATCACTCGGTTTTTATTATCACTTCGCAACAAGGTGAGCGCTTCATCGCGGACTTCACGATTGAACAGTTTGGTTACCCAAGTGATTGGTGGTTCAAGAAACTGGGAGACTATATCGGCAATTGCGCCAAGAATATAAATGGTTGGTGGAGTGCTGCGGACGACGATGATTTACGCAATGGAGGCAAGATTGCGAATCCTGGCACGGTTCAGTGGGACCTGAAAATGATCATTGAGGATATATGCAAGGATCCTGAGTGGAACATGGTAGGGGAAGTAACTCATGAGCAGACGGAGTGGATACAAACTCATGTGGAAGCTTACTACGATCGGGAGTGCGATAAACTAGCCAGTGAAGACAAAAGCTCGACGAACTAGGTATCGTAATTCCAGACGATATTGCTTCTACACATTTTGACTGTTTGGGTTAGAGGCGCCAAAAAGCGCCGAAAGTGGTCGTTTCCTCGCTGTCTCGCTCTCCCTGACCTTAACCTGTTTTGACCTCCAGACTGACCTTGCCAAATCATAGATTTATTGTCGGAAAAGCGCATACGTGCAAAGATTTGCCAGCACGTAAAGGATGTACCTGACAAGCAATTTGTCTTTTTTCCATATATCTAGCGGCCTGAACTCCTCCCTGCGCTACGCGTCGGTTGTCTAAGCTTTGGCTGCGGACGCGTGCAATGTCATCTGAATTGGGAACACGGCCGCTCCTTCCAAGGCCTCGCTTAATGCCATCCGCTGATCGCGCCCTTTTCCGTAACTAATTACGGAACCTTACTCCTGACCTCCACCAACGTCCCACACCAACGTGTGCGCTGTGTGACGGTCTGAACACCTCTAACTCAAGCGAGTCGCACAGATGGTGCGTAGAGTTGTCTGAGAGGTCTCAGGTAAAAAGTTATAACCCTCGCAGTCATTTACCGTCAGGCACTACATTTGACGTACGACCTGTGTCACGCTTGTAGTATCGCTTTTCACCGACAATCAAGTGTTGAGACTCATGCACACCAGTTTTGGAGGAAAGATGATCGCAAAAGCGCTGAGATTGGTTGTCGCGTACTCATTTTTTGCATACCCGGGCCTGGGCTATGCAAGAGTTACTCCTGGCGCCACGCCCTTTGCACTGTGGACGTGGTCACGTTTTCTGGAGCTGCAACCGTTTGCGTCCCTCTGAGATCTTCTCTGCTGGTGCTCCCTAGACCTATATTGTGTTTCCTGATTATCATCCTGCAGCCGCGTTTTGCGCCGTCAATGCCGAAGCCAACGAAGCAATCTTGAACGCATGGATGCTCGATATCGTTTTCAGTTCCATCGGGGACTACCAAATTAGCGCAGGCAAGATCGATATGACTAAGTTCCCCGGGAAAGACTCAAGCTTCAGGCTTATATCGTATTCCATGCCCAGGAATCGCAATAGAAAATTACCTCATCCCTTCAGCTACTGGGCACTTTTGGTCAAACCATACATGAGTATGCGATTGACAAAGGCCGGAGACCGTCTAGTGACACTTGCTGGCATGATAGCACTTCTCAACCCCCATCTTAGCACCTACCTGGCCGGACTGTTGCGCGTATTCCTTCTTCTCTATATTGGAGGAAACGGAATTGGTCATCTTGTAAGGCTTTAGTTCCATGGTACATGTTTGGCAACATATTGTCTACTTATTCCATCAATCTCAGTTCACTAGACTGCGTTGTTGCTCAGTTATTTGAACACAGAAGATGAATAGAACGTTGTTGAAGCTAGCCCAGATATGCCCCAAGGTATCGTGCACATTCAACTACGAAATGACTTTTGACAAACAAAACCCATCAACCCAGAAATCCACAGAACATGGAAGCAAACATCGAAAGCCCTCGCAACACCTCCATGGTCTATCTACCTCCACGTATCGTTGATCGTCGAGCTGCTTCCACACCCACCAGCAGTAGTGTACCTGCGGTTCGGGTCGCTCTCCCAAGTCACGACTCCACTCGACGACTTACGGATGTACTTGTACTCGAAAACAGTCGCAGCAGGCATATCGATAGTGGCGGTCCAGAGTGGGTCGCTGCTAGTGTACTTGCTAGCACTCAGTGGCGCCGCATCAGCAGGAGCCCAGTTACCCAGCTGCGTAGCCTGGCCGGCGATGAAGATGTTCTCGCCCAGGACTGTCGTGGCGCGGACGTTGAAGGTGATGCGCGAGTTGCAGCTCGGCGCCGCAGTGCAAGATGCGGGCGCGACGTTGTTAGAGGGCTCGCCCCAGGTGGGGCCTACGATGTTGTCGCGACGTTCTGCTGCGGTGAGGAAGGCGGCGTAGGACCAGGTGAGGTCGACGGCGGAGAGGGGCGCGCCGGTGGCTTTGTTGAATTGCTCGGCTAGGCCGCCGTTGGCGGGAGTGTACTTCTGCACCATTGCGATGTAGCCGTCGCCGTAGGTGCGGACGGCGGAGATGATGGTCGCGTAGGTGCTTGAGGTCTTGTTGTAGGTTCCGACTGCGACGGAGGGCATCAGGTCGCGGAAGAAGGGGAGGGAAACGGAGTCGATGGTGATGGATCCGGTTTGGTTCCACTGGTAAGCGGCGGAGTACATTTGTTCCGCGGCAGCGAGTGTTGCCAAATACCAAGGATTGCCGTTGTAGTACACATCCTCCGAGTATCGTCCAACAGCAACAGCTTGGCCCTGAGGAATACCCTTGTTGATCGCGTACACGGAGCGGAAAGAATCGGTGACGGCCTTGTGGTTCGCCAGAGCGTGAGATGAGCAGGGCTGGAAGGTGGCGTCAGTGCACTTCGCTGAGGGGTCAAAAGTGTGGATGGACGACAAGATAGAATTGACATCTTTCCCAACACGTCCATCGTTGACGTTGATGTTTGAGTCGATGTAACCGTTCGCCCAGAAGCTCTTCAAGAAGCACAGAACCTGAGGAGCCGCGGTGGCGCACCCATCACACGTCTGACCAAGCTTGGTTGCAAGAGCTGCGCCCTCGACTAGCGCGCGGTGCGTAGCAGACAAAGTGAAGAATGAAGAGCCGTTGATCTCTTCCCAAAGGTCGAAACCGGTCTGGTTCCAGTAGCGGACCGTGTACACCAGATCCTTCGCAATGACGGGCCAAACGGTGTTGAGCGCCTGGGTCCTGCCGCCGTTGTCGATCAGCCAGTTGGCATAGATGGTAAGAGCAGTGGCACGGAGAGGCGGTCCATCACGCTGGGGACGTCCCCACGAGCCGGTGAAGGCAGTCCTGTTGACGTTGAACTTTGGCTCGCCGAGTCCGCCGGCATCTGGACTACCTGACGGATTCGATACGGTCTGGAGATAGGCCTGGGCGGAGACATAGTCGTCAATCTTCTGGCGAAGGGACTTGTCGGTGGTGACGAAGCGTTCGATGAGTGCCTTGTAGGTCAACGCGGCATCTCGGGTCCAGGTGTAGTAGTCTACGCAAAATTAGCGTCGGTAGTATTGTCTTTAAATTTGACCAACTCACAGTCAGGATCAGAGCGCGAAGGGCTCGCCAGCACGATGCCCGCGGGTACGCCCTGGGCTTTGGATCCGTCGGTGCCAATATTCGCAAGCACGCCGTTAATGGAAACAGTCGTCTGAGTCTTGACAAACTGATCAATAGTTGCCAAAGCACGTGCTTGGCTCTCAACAGGCGATGCGTTGGCGCTGGACAGGAGAAAGGCCGCCGGAATGGCACGAAGAACCGAAGAGAAGAGCATCTTGCCGATGATGACCTGGAAGCAAAGGACTGGTTGGATACCGACTTCCCTGTGGAATCTCCCACTCTTTATACCAAAAAAGCAATTACCCCAGATTTACGTACTCCCAATCCCATCTCGCACCTGTGCGCATAGAGTGAACTCCAAGTAGGTAAGCAACGGAGCCACCAAAATAGCGCGCAACCTCATCGGAGACGGGAAAAAAGCATGGCAGCTGCGCGGACCGACGCTCAGCGAATCAAGTCCGGCGAAACCCAATCCCTCATCTAACACGCCAACTAATAACAAAGACTGGGGTTGTGCAAACAACGCATGTGATGCAGCACAACGTGAAATTGGTTGTCTGCCCCGGATTTGACCCTTGCCAATCATCGCGTGGCGTTTTGCGGAGCGCACGCCGCCTTCCTGTTTGGGAATGGCTCTCCCGCGTCTATGACATATTCGTGAATTACCGGTCCGACATCGTCGTTTCCAAATTCTCACGATGTGGTCGGGACGAAACTTTCTATCAGCACAGCCCGTTGCGGACAGAAGTGGAGTGACATGTCGTCCACGCGACCGGAGTATTCGTCTTTGTGGGGTTGCTCCGTAATATCGAGGTGCCAACCAGGATTGTGGGATCACAAGACGAGCAGAATTTGGGTCGATGGAGGTCGCATCCTCGGAAGTATCTTGAAGGCCAGCAATGTCATGCCGTTTGATTGAGGGGATCCAAGTCCGGACTTTCAGCGTCACTACCAGGACTGGGACGATCTTTTCTTGTCTCAGGAGAGATGGGGATTGGAGCTAATTACAGTCTTGAAAACTACCGATAAACCACACCGTTCAGGAGCATACATGCCATATCTCGGTCATGGATGAAAGAGTGGATTGACGACAAGATCTATCCACTTGTCATTGGCCATTATCGGAGGTACATCACAAGCAATGCCTCGACAAAGATGGTACATCCTCCAGCGTTACAATGTTACGATGCTTTTATCATATTGAGGCTTGGAATAGGGTAAATGCTATGGCAACTTTTCTGTGTGTCATATATCAGCTACCTCTGGTGAAACATCACACACTCGCAGGGATATGCATGAAAACGCAAATCGATTTTCGATTAATACAATCCGTACTTCAGACCCCCAAATCTTGCACTCCACTCACCAAAGACCAAACGGCAACCTGTTCCTTGAGGCAAAGCCGTGTAGCAGCGAATCTCAAACAACCTGAGTACGAAAGAACGCGCCATTCAACAGCTAGATAGTATCCCCACTCCAATGTTTCCTACAGAAAAGGCTTGAAACATGACTGGTACTGTTCTCCCCCTGTTCAATAACCACCTAGAATCCAATCATCTCGGCCCGCAATTTGTAATCCATAGTCGACGGTCAAGAAGAATTGGTCTTCTGTGTATCTTGGAGCCATGCCGTTACTGCTATCTCCCGAGTACTTGGGCGAGACGACGATGGGCATGGAACTCCAACGAACACACTTGGTCATAGCGTAATGTGCAAGCCGACTTACCACAAAATAGCAACGTGCTTGCTCTGTAAGATATCGTCTTCGATCGTCGTCCAGCCACGAGGACTGAAATATCCATCGTGGAAATACTTTGATGTCAATATACGGACATCCTGAAGTATATGGAATTTCGATGACCATGTCCATTGGTATCTTGAAGTCAACGCCAAGTGATGCCTTCCAATATTCAATGTGCTTTGCCGCTCGTAAAATGAATGACGAAAAGGCTCTTGTAGCGTCAAGAGAGCTTGTACCCATCGTGCGTTTGATATTGAGGACGGCCCGCAGATCTTCAACGGGAAGACGACCATCTCGATACTGCATTATCAGGTGCCGGAGTGAGTTGGGTGCGAGTCTGACTCCTTGCAGGATCGTGTCCAGAAAGTCGTCTCCTTTGGCCTTGAGTCTGGTCTGCGCATGCATCAGGCGCCACACAGTGCGAATGTCTATGATAATTTTCGGACGTGTAAAATGCAGGCGCAACATCTTTCTTTTCATGATCTCCAACGCTTCAGAATGGACTTGTCGGCATGTTGCGAGAATGCGGACCGGGACTGATGGATTGCAGACACTGATATGACACCTAAAGCCCTCTACGGCGATCGTGTGTTGGGTCCAGGTAGTACCGAGCCGTTCGTAAATCATGAGGCGGAGTTCTGGTGGTAGACCCATGAAGCTGCAGGGTCCCGTCAATCCGGATTGTGCGAGAGAAGGCTTGTTTGACGAGACGATTTTCTTCCATAGGTTCGTGACTTTGAAACGTCGCGCTGGCACTGCCTCAATCTCGCTGCTTGCCCGGGACTGGTCGAACATCGACGAGGATGACATTACTGCTCATAGCTAGAAAGTTTGTTCGCTTTGCGGTCGAGTTGGAGTTGATCTAGTTGGTGGGTACGAGGAAGCGACTGGAGTTCTGGTGGATGTGATGCTTGTAAGCGCCGTTCTTGACGTACACGGATTAGCACAGTAACTCGATCGGGGGGAACATCCCATACCATGTGCTGTAGAGATGAGGTGGTAGAAACGATAGACGCGAGCGTTGTTGTACTCTGAAAGAAAAGCATATGTTAATGGTGAAGCAGTGGAGAAGGTCTGTTGATAATGGTCAAGCGTTTGGCGAGATTCCTTCATCGTAGCTTCCTCTTTTCTGCATGCAGTGAATGCAGTCGCAATCCAACTTGGTTGCGACTTTCTTCACACATTCACGAGGTAACCGGCCTTGCACATCCTTGAAGAACATGCCACAAACTAGCACATGTAAGAGAAAAGGCCATGAGTAATCAAGCTATGTTGAGCCGTACAAGAAGATACTAGGAAACATAACACCCACAATCATCAACTCACACTGTCTAACAGCCATACCGCCTAACCAACGATCTGTGCGTTGTCGATCAAATCCATAGCCATTCCCATCTCTAGTCTAACCTAACCTAATCCAACACCAAACCCACACTCCAAGTCCCCATCTCGCCCCACAAACAATGCAAGCCCCATGTATCCCGAACAAACACACCCAACCAGGCATGATCCGAGACACAAAGAGCAACACGCGAAAAGGAAACAACACTGAGATGACCCGAAGATCAGCTTGCGAGACAAAGTATTTGAATCGGTATCTGGACACGATGGTAAGGACAAGGAGAATGTAATAGCTAGAAAAGAGACGCGAGTCGCAGGTTGCCTGGCTGGAACATGGACTTTTTTGGCGGAGAGGGTTAGGGGTGTAGATAGAGAAGAGGATGTAGAGGATGTACTTCAAAAGGGGGGGTATGATACAATGATAGTACCTCACGCCGCTGCGTTAAGATGCAGATAGAAATTTGTACAGCGTAACAACAGACGACAACATCCTCTTGCCAGACTGAGAATCCTATCTTCTTCACGTACAGAAACCCAAGTTCGATCTCCATTCAATCTCTGTTCCTTACACCACCTCTTCCCTTTCACAGCCTCGCCACCCCCATCTTCCCCTTCCCCTCCCCCAACCCCAATATCCCCACCTCACTAGTCATCAAAATCGCCGTATCCCTCAAACTGGGCACTCTGCACCGCTGATTAACCTCCTGATACGCCTTATCAGTCAGCATATCGCCAAAATGCCTGATACTAGGATAATGCGCGAGGGCGATTTCATCCCAACCCCCCACATCCCCTTCGGCCCTCGCACTCCCATCCATACCCTCACTCCCCGCAACAGCCTTCCCAACGACTTTAGCAACACCGCCATGACCGCTCCCCACCTCCGAGGCAAACGCGCGCCCGTATTCTAGATACGAGTCCTTGAGCCCCGGCTTGAACGCGAGGAGATTGAACATGCTGACCGTGCCGTTTGCTTCCGGCCCGCCCCGCTTAACAAACGCGGCAATCCAACTCTCCAGCTCGGCGCTGAGTTCCAGAGCCTGGCTACTAGGTGCTCTTTTCTCTATCCCGGCGGATTTTCTAAGCGGCGGCACACTTCCCCCCTTGGGCTTTAATAACGTCTCATTCTTCGCGGCGAAGTCGGCGACGAGGGCGCTGGGCACGCCGGCTGCTATGCGCCAGCTGTGCGCGATCAGGGCGGTTAGATTGGGTGGGAGGTCGGCGGTGCCGGGCAGGACGAGCAGGATGTCCCAGTGGATGTTCTGGGCCAGGAGGGATGTAGTGGAGAGGTGTGAAGGGAGGATTATCCAGCGGATTACGCGGGAGATGACGAGGGGGGTTAGGGAGGAGGAGGCTAGAGTTTTGAGGAAAGTTGGTAGGGAGGTGGTGGGGTGGAGGGCGAGCAGGTATAGTGTGCAGAGAGGCATTTTGGAGGTGAGGTTGTTTGATATTGGGGGGAATGGATGGGATGGGATGTGGAGTGAAGGTCATCAAGTGCTAGCTTGGATGACGTAAGGCGGAAATGAATGCCGAGGTGTAGGGTGAGGGGATGTCGGTATGTGTGTTGCTTGCATGAACTAAACTGAGGCCTCGACACTCCTGGGATGGATTGCATTTGTTAGATATAAAGCTCACTCAATCTCCTGTCCTTCGTCCCCGTCCTGCCCCCTCTCAGAAGCAGCCTCATCGTCCATCGGCGCGGTTGCCGGGAAAGAAAGATGCTTCCAGTCCTCAATCTGCACAACACAAATTAGCAAAAATCCCTCGCACTCTATCATGTCCCAACATACCTCCTCCGTGATACTCTTCAGGCGATCCCGGATACTTTCTACAGCATAACTCCCCAGAATCAGCCTCAGCGGCGGATAGCTGCAATGCCCCAGCTGCCACACCAGCTCCGCGCTCTTCACCGCGCTCACAGGCTGCCGGTCGTTAAGCCACTGAACCATCCTCCTCGCGTGCTGTGCGGGGCTCGTCAACGCCGAGTACGGCTCGCTGGGGTTCGGCTTAACGAAGAAGTGCCCGTAGCGCTTGGGTTTGGGGGGTCCTGCTCCGGGCGAAGCGTAGTTGTGTGGGTTGATGTGGTCGTCTGGCTCGTCCAGTCTGACGTGGCCGGGCTCGACGAGGGTGGCTTTGATGTTGAAGATGTCGATTTCGTAGAGCATCGACTCTATAAGACCCTCGACGGCGTACTTGGTCGCGCAATAGGGGCCCAGGCCTGGCACACCGAGGGAGCCGGATGTGGACGAGAAGATGAGATAGCGGCCATGGTTTTGCGCGCGAAAGTACGGGAGGGAGAGCTGTATGATGTGTAGAGTCCCAAGAAAGTTTGTGTTGAACTGGTTGCGCAGGTCGTAGTCGTCTTGGTCTTCGCATGCAGCGATCACGCCGTAGCCGGTGCAGTTCGTGATGACGTCTACGGTGCCCCAGTGCTCGATGCTGCGCTTGATGACGTGTTCGACCGTCTCCCGCACGCGCACGTCGCATAGCAGGCCCAGGCAGTTTTTATCCTGCCACTTCTCTATCTGCTCGGGCGTGTTTTCCTGTGTCCAGCCCACGGCGGTACACTGGTCGCCATGTGCTAGAATCGCTCGAACGAGGGATCGCCCCATGTGGCCCGTCGCCCCGAAGACCTAGCCAGAGTGTGTTAGTTGTGGGAGCATCGTTGTCCGACGGCGCGCCATACAATCCATGCTGCTCTTTTTGGGGGGTTCGTCTCTGACGGCGGATCGCACGTGGCGGGCAGTCTCAGGTTGGGAAGGTGGATAGCCGCGCCTGGCGACAGGCTCTGGCTCGCTGTGTCGAAGTCCATGGGGAATTGAGGGCCATTGTGGGGGGATGATGGACGTGTCTGGTGCTCTCGAGCTGTTCCTGGCGGGGAAGGTCCGCCGTCCAATCGGAGATTGCGGCAGTTGTCAAGTGCCGGCTCCGCATTGCTTGGCCATGTTGGAGAAGTTGGGGATGCGGATACCCAGCTCATAGGCTGATGGTTGTGAATGACTTGGATCCCACAAGGTCAATGCATAAGGAACCTCCTCTCATCCAAGAGAAATCTCGCTCCTTCGACCAGCAAGTGACTCGGGAAGGCCTGGTGCCGGTTCATGAAGTTGCTGACGAGGATGAAGAACATAATGAAGATGTCGAGGTGCATGGGCGAGGTGAGGAAGAAGTGGTAAGCGAGGAACAAGAAAGCCTGTGTCCTGTATCTGCTCTTGATGGAGCGGATGATGCGCGCCGCCCTGACAGCTTTGGCGCCGTTTCGCGGCATCTTGAAGTGGATTGTGTCGGCGAGGAGGGTCATGATGCGGGGGGTTGAACGAGTAAAGGCGGATATTCGACTCGTCAATTTGTTTCTGAGTAGAAAGTATATCCCTGAATACGAGGTAAAGTGAAGATGGGATGGACGTGGAGAAGCTTAGCGATAGCGTCCTGTCAGATGTCAAGCTCCATTACGTCGCTGTCCAAATTTCCAACACACACAGCGACACCATGTCCACAAGCCAGCAATAACATGCCGTACACACCCTACTGGGTCAGCAACGACCCCCAACCAGCCCTCCTCCCGCCAATCCAACCACCATCCTCGTACACGCGCCCACTCCCCATCACACATACATACAACCCCACTAACAGGCACCCAGTCTCTCCTTCACCCAGGGCTTCCTACTCGGCCAGCTCTCCATCGCCCTAATAATCTTCTTCTTCATAAAGTTCTTCATCTTCGGCGACCCGCCCTCCGCCGACGACCGCGCGCTACACCTCTCCTCGCTGCGCCGCGCCCGCACCCTCGCCCACCAACACACGACCCGCAAACGCTCAAACTCCAACTCGACCTCGCTCCTCCGCCACAAAGACTCGCGCAGCATAATCCGCAAGGGAGAGGAATCGCGTGGCGGGCCCAGCATCGCCACCATCCTCGCCAAAACATACTACAATGTCAAGGGCCACCAACCAGAGAGTCTGGACTGGTTCAACGTGCTGATTGCGCAGACAATCGCCCAACTGCGCGCAGATGCCAGGCAGGACAACGCCGTGCTGACGTCGCTGACGGACATCCTGAATGGCGGGGTGAAACCGGATTGGATTGGCGATATCCACGTCACTGAGATCGCGCTGGGGGATGAATTCCCCATCTTCAGCAACTGCCGCGTCATGCCCGCGGAAGACAGCGGCGTCGGGGGTGTAGACGAGACACGGCTCCAGGCGAAGATGGACGTGGATCTCAGCGACGTGATCACGATTGGTATCGAAACGACGCTGAATCTCAACTGGCCGAAGCCCATGAGCGCCGTGCTCCCCGTCGCACTCGCAGTAAGCATCGTCCGCTTCTCCGGCACACTGGCCCTATCCTTCATCCCGTCGAGTTCGCCCGACGCGCAGAAACACCAGGACGCCGAGCACGCCGACGCAAAACCTCCGCCTTCTACACCCACACCGAAATCCCCAAAAACGCCCGCCCCCGCCCCTCCACAAGAACACCCCCACCGCCCAACAACCCTCTCCTTCACCTTCCTGCACGACTACCGCCTAGACCTGTCCGTCCGCTCCCTGGTCGGCTCACGCTCCCGGCTCCAAGACGTGCCCAAGATCGCTCAACTAATCGAGTCCCGCGTGCACGCCTGGTTCGACGAGCGCGCCGTCGAGCCGCGCTTCCAGCAGATTGTCCTTCCCTCCCTCTGGCCGCGGAAACACAATACGCGGGGTGGCGAGGAAGACGTGATTATCGATGATGAGGAGGATGGGGACGGGGTTATGGCATTGGGGGAAGTAATGACGGCAGAGCAGAAGCTCGAGGACGAGGGGCGGAAGATCAGGGATGCGGAGGTCAGGGCGGGCGAGCGCAAGAAAGGCGCTACTAGTTCTGGTTCTATGCCTGTGATGCGGGAGGAAGATGGGAGTGGTGTACGGAGGAGACCGCAGCCAGCGAGCCGGTTTAGTTCTTTTTCGCAGGGCATGACGGGGTTGAGGGGGATGCCGGGCGCGATGCCGTGGTGACGATTATGATTTGATGGTGTGGGAGACGTGTATGATATATGACAATGTTAAATTTGGTATTTCATCTCTCTCTCTCTCTATTCCGTCCAGCACACTTCTATCAAACACACCACATCCTGTCCAACCCAACTGTACATCCAACTACTGCCACGCGGGCGTCGAAACAGGCACAGGCACAGGCAACCCCCCCAACGCCTTCGTATCCGCATTAAAGAACCCCTCAAGCTTAGTCGTCGGCCCACCAAGCGATATATCCCCCGTCCGCTGCTCGAGTTCCGTTTCCGCAGCCGGCGCGAGAACAGGAGGCGGCGCATCATCCGCCATGAGCGAGTCCGGCGCAGGCTTCGGACCAGGCCGACCCTTTCCATACCGTAGTGTAACGACGAGGGTCTGCGGGTCTGTGTCTATGTCTTCCCCCTCGGCGTCGTCATCGACATCAGCATCCTCGTCGCCGTCGAGGTCAACATCCATGCCCTCAGCCTCGGGCTCCACATCGTCGTCGTCTTCGTCCCCGCCGTCCCACGATGTGGCGTCGTCATCTTCTTCCGAGTCAACTACGCGGGCCAGTGGGCGACCGTTCGCAGCAGCGCGCGTGGACCGGCCGTGGGTGGGTTGTGGTTCCTCCGAGGCGTCAGACCGCATGTATTCGCCGGTTGCAGGAGAGCCGTGGTCGGTGACTTGCCCGCTGAGCAGTGTCTCGCCGTAGAGGCCTGTTGCGCGGGATCGGACCTGGCGGCCGCTGGCGGTGACGGTGGGACCTGCGGGGACAGTGGGCGTTTCCCGACCGGAGTTGCGGGCAGAGCGGCGGGTAGAAGTGTTGTCGGAGTCGAAGTCCTCGCCGTCGGAGAAGGTGTATTTGAGGCGCTTGCCGCGGGTACGGCCTTCGTAGAGGGAGAAGCCGGGGTCGGGGCGTGTGAAGGTGGCGTTGCGGTGGACGCGGTACTCGCGGCGTTTGCGCTTCTTCGTGGGGTGTTAGTCGGGATATGATGTGGTTACGCGGGGGTACTCACATTCTCCGATGCTTCGAAACGTGGCACGGCGTTCATCATGCGCTCGCCCAGTGCCTTGGCCTCTTTTGTGCCGTCCTCTTCCTCGAGTGTCTTGGCCAGCGCCTGCAGCTCTTCGATGGAGCCCGCAACACTCCACCACGTCGCCTTCTTCAGGTGTGGGTCGCTCTCGCGGTAGACGCGGAAGTGGGTGTCATTTTGGCCTTCGACCAGCCAGTACCGACGCTTGTCGCCGTCGCGGCCCCATGGCTGTACCGAAAGAGGGATGTTGGTGTCGAGTCTGTCTTTAGTCGTGCGGTGCTTGTATGAGTCTGCAATGATGGCCTTGACCTGCTCGTTTTGGTTGAGAGTCCAGAGCGTGAGGGTGTGAAGGAGGGTGATCTAGCGCATGTGTCAGCACCACCACCGCCAGAGACAGTTCCACTGCTTACGCGCTCGTCTGCCGACATGGTGTTGAAGTTGCGACTGCCGCTGAGCGGGTTCATATAGTTCCACTTGCGTGGCCATTGCGATTTCTGTGTCTGGACGGCTTCTTCGAGCGCGCGGCCGTAGTGACCTTTCCTGTGCAGCGCAGCCAACGTCAGCCGTGAAACATCTCAAGCGTAGCCATGCGACCGCAGACCGAGTATATATGGGAGGATATAGGGCAAGACTGACTCGACAGGCTTCTTGCGATTGAGGACCAGACCCAGCAGGGCGCATAGCAGACCCTCGACATCAGGCGACGGTTTCTCGTCCAGCACGCCCAGCTCGATATCCTGGGGCCCGACGTGGGGAGAGCCGCGCGGGAAGGCATCGTTGAAGCGCGACCGGAACATGACGATAAACTGCAGCACCCAAGTCAGCGGAGGTCCGGCCATCACGTCGCGACGAGACGCGATTGACGCGTCCAACACGTACAGCAACATCTGGGTTATCCGCCGGCACATATTCGTGTGGCGGCGAGGCTGGACGCGTCCTGGGCGGCGGCGAGGGCGACTTCTTCTTGAAGAAGGTCAGGATGGTGCCGTTGGACTTCTTCTTCTTCGTCTTCTTCTGGGGCACTGGTTTGCTGGCTTTGGCAGGCGCCACGTCGACGGCCATTTCGTCGTCAGTCGACGGCGCCGAGGAGAGCGACGAGTCCGAGTCGACCATGGTTGCGGTGCGTGTTGTCGAGACTGGGGTTGTGGTTGTTGAGGCTGCAGGTAGCAACGAACGACAAACGGAGCACGGCTAAGCACGCATGAGGTAATAATCTCTGGATTAGCTCGAGATTGGCGGCTGGCTTGTTTAATTCGCGGACTTTTAATACCATGTGCACTTGCTTTCACATATTGCTTTGTATGGAAGGGACTTTGTGCAGACAAAGCCGTGGAACGCGCTCGATGCAACGAGGTAGAAAGTATGTATGATAGTTCTATCGATCTATGACGTTCACAGAATTCTACTTATTTGTTGTCTCATCGCAACGAAACAGAGACCTACGCTAATCGCATCATGGTCTCGTGAAGACTGCCTGTCCAGAAACATCTATATCCATGCCGATGGCCACCTTTGTACCAGCCTATTGACGAGAATGAGGTAGCGTGTTGTTGATGTTCGTGAAGGTCTTATGATAGTGTCGAATGCAGCCCCTTGAAGTCTCGCAGAACAGCCCACCATCAACGGCGGTGGACATAGCATTGAGACTACAGATCAACTCCGTGAACGACTCAATTTGGCATCGTCGCGCTGGCGGTTGTCGTGGTTCAAATCGCCAGACGTTCAACATCGGTTTCGTACGCGGTCGCGCGCTGGTGTGCAGGCAAACCGTTTCGGGGCCCCAGATCGCTGCTATGCGGGGGAACACGACCAACGAGCGCGCCACTCTCAAGGCAGCCCAACCCCGCCCATCACGAGGGCCATATTGGTGTTGTTGAGCCCAATGTGAAGGGTTGCGGGTATTTCCATCTCTTTTGCTGTGTAAATCGGGTGGGGATCCAGGAAACAGACGTCGCAATACGCGAATGTGATGTCGAGACGCGGGCTGACGTTTCTGGAGTCATTGTGAGGCGCGTCGACGTTTCTTCGGTTGATTGCGAGATGGTTCGTGTCTGTAGCGTTTCGAGATCATCTCACGATCTGCAGAAGCCTTGGTAGTGTTGCAGAACACGCTCCGACATGGTTTTACCTCCAAACGTCTGCATCATCGATGTTTCTGTCAAAACAATGACGAAAGGTGGTAGTATTGTAAATCTAAAGAGAAAAGTGAATGTATGCAGGACAGATGCGGAATGCGGACTTGGATGAGGATAACGTCAGTTGATCATTGAATCAACATACCATCGTCAGGCCATCCAAAGCAAGAGTCGGCGCAGGCGTGTCGTGGATGGCTGTTGAGTTTGCAGCACAGCGTCATGGAGGTGGAGGTGGAGTTGAGGCGACTCACGTGTTCTCCGCTTCATCTACCATCTTGGACCAGACGCCCGCCATCTTGAATTGGCCGTCTGCCCAGCAAACTTACAGTGGTAGTGACAGACTAGGGCTGTTGATTACTTTGGCTATACGAACGTGAAGATATGAGACCCTGCTTGTCCTACGGCTTCCTGCAGATGGGAGTCTGTACAGTCGGTTCTCTAAGCCGGATGGACAGTCGACAGTGAACAGGCAGATCCTGGGCTGCACAATATCGCTCGCATGCATACTACTTTAAAAAGACGGCGATGACATGTTCCTCCACAAGACGCGGTTGGCTGAAGTTTGGCGGTACTGGCGACAGTCCAAAGTCTGGACGTGTGGCGTTGGGTGGGGAGGGGCCGTCTCACACCCTCACCAGACGCGGCTGCAACGAAGGCTGGGAAAGTGACGTCGGGGCTTGTCATTGGAGGGCGTGAACAATCTGGATCAGGACCTGGACTGGACCTCGACGACCGTTGGATTAGAGCGCTGCAACGCCAATCCAGCGAGTTCCGGGGCCCTTCTTTCTGTGCAGGCCCCTCACAGCTACGAAACCCCTTAACCCTCCATCGCTTGTTCCTTTTTCTCTTCTCCTGTGGTGTCTGTTCCTGCTCTGTAGCTCTCTCCTTCCTGTTTTACTCGGCTGCATTGACCATTTGGATAACCGTGGATAACCCCAGCGCTCGCTATCACCACGTTCCCCGCCAGACCTGGCCTCTCCACCGCTTTACCCGCAACCATGAACATCAACAAGAAATTCGATCGCCTGAAGCAATGGACCAACGAAAAAATGGGCGCAGATGCCCGTACTGGGCTGTCAGCCGAGTTCAAGGCGCTCGAGGTGGAAATGAACCTGCGCCATGAGGGTATGCATGCACACCGCAACAATGGCCATTGAGGTGCTAACCATTGCATCCAGGCATGGACAAGATGCAGCGCGCCATGAGCGTCTACGTCAAGTCAATGTCGAAGCGCGCAGAGGGTGATGACAAGGAGAAGCAGCTCCCCGGCGGCCACCTGGGCTCGTCCATGGTCACCCACGGCGAGGACTTTGAGCCCGACTCCGAGTTTGGCAACTGCCTGTCTTGTGCGTGTCCTGCCAGTGTTCGTGATAGAGTCCTGACTGACGATGACCAGCTCTCGGCCGCGCCAACGAGCGCCTGGCCCGCGTGCAGGAGACATACGTTGCAAGTGCCACGACGTCATGGTTGGAGGGTTTGGAACGCTCCCTCGCCCAGATGAAGGAGTACCAGGTGAGAATAACGTCGCCTACAACGCCCATACAATACTAACGTCGCCCAGGCAGCACGCAAGAAGCTCGAAGCTCGCCGCCTCGCCTACGACACGTCCCTCGCCAAGATGCAGAAGTCGAAGAAAGAGGACTTCCGTATGGAGGAGGAGCTGCGCGCTCAAAAGGCGAAATACGAAGAGACCAGCGAGGACGTCTTCAGGCGCATGCAGGATATCAAGGAGTCCGAGGTGGAAATGGTCCAAGACCTGACATCTTTCCTCGAGGCCGAGTTGAGCTACTACGACCGCTGCCGGGAGCTCTTGGTCAACGTCAAGCGCGATTGGCCCGTCAGGTGAGCGATGCCGACGACAAAACTTGGAGAAAGCATACTGACGTCCGACACAGAGATTCTGCCCCTATCCGTCCCGTACGATCTCGATCCAACACTGCCCACGGGTACGCCGACCGCTTCAACCCCGTCGAAGAAGAGCCCGAGCCTGAGCCCGAGCGCATCACCATCCCCAAGCTATCTTCCCGCAGCCGTTCGCCTGCCCCAGAATCGTCACCTGGAGGCTATGCTCTGCGTCCCACAATCAGTCGCACCTCCACCTACGACAGCGGCGCAAACAGCCAGCGTGACGATACCCCCACGCGGCGCATCACGCGCGTTCCAACCGATTCTTCCATCGTCATGGCCAGTCGTGGCAACCTTCGCTCTACCCGACAGGCCAACGCCTTTGCAGACGACTACGAGGATGAGTACTCGGGCTCAAGCAATAACAGGCGCGACCGCTCACCGCCGAGCCCAGACCGATCTTCACAAGCCAGCAGCGTCTTGTCACGAGCGGCGAGCTGGTCACAGGTCGACACTGGCGCCAATGGAAAGAAGGCTCCTCCGCCACCTCCGCCTTCGAGGGCCAAGAAGCCGCCGCCACCCCCACCGCCGATGAAGAGAAGTGCGTTGAGTGCCAATGAAATCGCACGATATTGATATGGCATCTTCCTCTTGTGCTGACGTGGTGGTGAGTACAGAACCCGAATCCGAGTCCAACAGGATCCCCACCTGGTAATCGCCTCGATGGACCTGTACAGTTTGGCGAAGACGACAAGGATCGGGATAAGAGTGTGATTTTGGGCATACGGTGATGATAGCATTTCTTACATCATGTACTACACGGCGTTCTGGGAGGCTTATCAGCAGGCGACAATTTGTCTTGATAAAACGCGGTTTTTTGCATATTTTCTGAATGCAGATGAAAATAGACTTCTTTCCTACTACCTTGTATAACACCAAAAAAACTCTATCGGAAACATTCATGACCCTCTTGACCTGTCTTTCCAATCCAATCCCCAAAATGATGCCCCGGCTACTCGTACATTCCCACACCCAGAAGGAAACATGAAACATTCCCGTAGCACATTGGCACAAAGGCCAGGCCAGACCAGGCCACACTAAACCATGAGAAATAGCTCACTCAATTCTCGTACTTTTGTGGCGCTTGAAAGTTCCAGTTTTCCTGATTATCGTGTTAGCCAGCCAGCCACTCACACCCTCAATACTACAGAAACTGGACAAGAAGTTGAAACTCACCCATTGCTGCAACCCGCCATTCGGGCTCGTAGTGCCGAAATCTTGCACCCCAGTATCAACGGGCACAAATATCGCGCCCGAGTCGTGCGTTTGGGCGTGCACAACGCCTACTCCCGCAGCCTGTGCCTGAGCCTGAACCTGTTTAGTCTGCTGCTCCCAAGCCGAGACTGCAGCAGAAGCAGACGGTTTCGTATCCCAGCCAGTCTGCTTAGCATCCCACGCACCGCCAGCACCACCGCCAACAGAAGACTTGCCTTCCCACCCGCCGCCCCCCATGCCGGAAAATATGTCAAAGTCCTCCGTTGTGCTCCCGCCACCGCCGTTCAAACCGCCCAACAAGCTGTCAAACTCCTGGTTCAGACTATCTAGCCCCACGCCTGTACTCGCGCGGCTGAGCTGGCTGTGTGGCCGCTGTCCGTATCCAGGCGACGAGAAGCTTGGTAAGGGCTGCAGCGTGGGGTGTTGCTGGGGCGCGAGATGGAGTCGCTTTCGATTGAAACCTTTCATGACGTAGAACGCTTCGAGGTTCTCCTTGACCGTGAAGAGTAGATCGGAGCAGCGCTGCGTAATATCGACGCCGTAACAGTGCCCGAAGATGTGGTCGATGATGGTGGTGATGCGCTCGCGGCGGGGGAGGTCGGGTGTGCGGTATAGCTCCGTGAGGAGGAGCAGCACGGCGTGGTATTGCTGGTAAGTTGTTGAATACCAGGACCAGGGGCTGAGCGAGGGGAGGGTGTCGAGTGTTGCGCCGATTTCTAGCGTTGTGAGGGCCGCGGTGAGGAGGACGTCACGAAGGCGGTTTTCGGATTCTGAGCGTGGGTTTAGCGAGGTTTGGGGCAGGTGCCGGTAGAGCAGCATTGAGTCGCAGCGGGCCATGAGCAGAGTGGCGACGAGGCCGGCGTAGCGCTGCAGCGGGGATGAGGCGTCGAGGTGGTGCAGGTATTTTATTTGGATTTGGCGTTTTCGCGCCTCGACGCGGGCGCGCAGGTCGTGGAGTGTGATGTGTTTACGGTCCATTTCTATTCTGCCTCGGAAGATGAGGCGGTGGATTTCGTTGCATTCGTAGCGGATGAGAGAGAGTGTCACATCGGTCCAGGTGTGCGAGGATGTTGGGTTTTGCTGCCACTTCGGACTGCCGAATTCGAAGGCATCGTCGTCAACGTTGAGGGGGAGCGCGATGTCGAAGTCGTCGGATCGGATAGAGGGGTGGGGGCCTTGTGCTTCTGCTGTTTTGAAGTCGAGGAAGCAGATTTGGTACCAAAGGAGAGAGCGGACATGGCGTTGGAGAGGGGTCAGGCTGTTTGCGGAACTATAACTAAGACGGTGGATGCCGATGCATTGTGCTAGACGGACAAGAGCGCCGACCACAACGGACGTTGCTCGGGAAATTTGGGCTCTGCAAAGCGGTATCTGCTAATGTCAGTCAATGCACTGGAGAAAGTCGAAATTTGAAACTACCAGGTAGATGGTCAAGGCCTGAAGAGTTCTGATGTTCGAAGTCTTTGCCCAGTTGGCACGGAGCAGCGCTCGTTCGGTGGCTTTTTGCAGTCTCAAAAACAAATCTTCCTTGGTGATGCCGAACTGCGATTTTGCCTGCAAAGGTGATACCGATGCAGCAGCCGCCATACACACTGCTAAGATCAACGCAGTGCAGGAGTTCTGGTTAGTGTTCCCGATGTCAATGTTCATCCAGAACCGATCAAACAGCCGTTTGAAAGACGGGATATGCAACACGTGTGCAAGAGGGCTGACAGCTTCAAGATATCGATGAAAGAGCGCCTCTACTTCCATTTTCGTCGGAAGCTGAGGCGGCTCAATGTCGCAGTTCTGATGAACAGAAATCGAGCCACCTAGAAGCAGGTTGAGTGAAGGCGCCAATGAAGGCATCTGCTCTGCCGACAGAAGCGCAGAAGACTGCGGTGCCCTCTGACCTGCTACTACTGACGACGAAGCATGACTCTCCGACAGGAGCTTGCCCAACTACACACTGCAATTCAGCTTTCGTCCAAGACAAAGTGCTGTCGGCGCGGAACGTAGACAAGTGGATAGGGCAGAAAGTACCTCTTCGGCATACTGAGGGCGAAAGAATCCAGTCACGTTTTCGCATATAATCATCCTCCCAATGCGAATGGTAAGATCGGTCGCAATCTGATCCTCGTCGTCATTCTCATCTTCATACACATCGTCTTGCGTCTCTTCAGGCTCAGCAGGCAATCTTTCCCATGCGTCTCCATCATCAACCTCGACATCCTGCTGGTAGGCCTCCCACTCGTAATCCCTGGGCGGAGTTCCCGGCGTGTGCGTGTTGGCAGAAGTCGAGTTCGAGTTCTCGTACTTGTCCGGCAGACTGGATGTACTCTGCGTCCGAACTGGAATATTCCGCGTCCAGTCCGGTGCAGTAATTCCAGAACCACTCTTTGAAGCTGCGCGTTCCCTTTGCTCTCGGTCTTTCTTCCGCGCGGCGCTCTCAGGAACAGTGATGAAGATGCATTCCCGGCCGAAGGCGGTGCAATTCTGGCAAGGGTGCGTCTTCGAGCAGCGTGATTTACGTGTGCGACATTCGACGCAGGAATTGATAGGTCGTGGATTCCTCCTTCGCACCACTCGAGACTGCAAGACCTGTCCTGATTCTGGCATATTCCCCTCTCTTCATCTTCACGCCGTTTGTTGAGGTTTCAAGGTGTCGATGTGGCTGAGTAGTGGAGGGAGATCGGGAGTCGGACCGCATGGACCCTTCCAAGGTTGGCCTTTTAACGTTAGCCAGTCGGAACATCTCACGTGCGATGAGGGCTGAGCTAGCGCGACTTGCTGGTGAGAGATCAACAGATCGAAAGATATCTCGATGGCTGATACTGCGAAAATGGGGCGGTCCAGTTTTATCAAATCAACTCGGTTTCATTGGTGACCGTATACTGGCATCAAGGTATGCAACTGCTTCACGCCATGCGAAAGGACCCCAGGACAACAAAAAATATGGTTGAATTGAGAGATTAAGCCAAACCCTGGGCAGCGCGATATTGCGGGTATGCCGAACGTCGCCCATACGACCACGCCGTGTTAAACACGTCACTGGCGTGACCCAGCTGAAGTGCATCATCGCTATCTCCCCACCTCTCGCCTCAATCGAACGGCAGCTGAAGTGGAGGCGGGCTCGGGCCAAGAATCAACGGCTTCTTCCATCTCCTCCAGAAAAGAGGTACTATTATGCACTGTTGTCCCACCTAGTACGACGCGAATACCCGGCGAGCTTGCATTGACTTGCGCGACCATCTTGGCCTCTTCATAAGTCGTCCCCCCGACCATAAACACGATGATATCCTGAGGCTTGTCCTTTGTCGAACCGCCGCCATCCACAAATGGATATAGTTGCTGGCTCAATCTCCCCTTGATCATGTCCTGCAACGTGGTCTCCAAACGAGGCGAGTGCTGGGTGTATACATTCTCAACACCTTTGAGCCCTTTGAATCGATCTCGCGCGCCGCCGAAAAACGAGCCTGGTTGGAAAAGATCTGGTACACCGCCTGAAGCAGTTGTAGCTTGCAGAGACTCGTGGTAGGTCAGAAGCTTTGTGATGAGGTTGATACGGTGTCGCGACAGACCGCCCGCGACAGCGAGTAAGTCCAGTAGCACAGCAGTCGAGTTCGAAGAGCTCTTCGCGTATCGCAACGCATAGATGGCAACGAGTCGAAGCTTATTGTTGGCGGGTATGCGTGGATCTTGTATTATCTTCTGCAGCGATTTCACGTCGTTGGAGTGGTTGTCCGTACATGCCATACTCTGCTCCAACTCGCTAATGTCCAGGAGGCTTTCCTCTCCCACCCTCCGACTGAGCTCACCGACAAGAGTTACGTGCTTTGTGACGTTGCCAGAGAGCTTGCGGAACTCAGGGAAATCCTCAATAAAGCGCTTCATGTCTGCTATCGAGTCGAGTTTCTGTGATCCCTGCTGTTTGGATGCAAATTGCTCGACGTACTCTTTGGCATTTTGTCCCAGATCGCCAAAGTTCAAGTACATATTCTTTTTGAAAAAAGGATCCTGATCCTGTGACAGAACAATTTCCTTAAGCTCAGGGCGAATCTCGGGAACATCGCGCAAGTCCACTCTTCCATTGTTGATCCCTAGTAGCTCGTGAACCATGGCCTGGTAGGTCCATTGTGTCAGCAGCGGCGTAACTGGGTCGTCTCTACGGTCCACGATGAGGAGAATAGGCGGAGTATCTGTCTTGCGAAAATCAAAGAGTTGATCCTCTTGGGTCATGTGATAGCGCACTTCTGTTGCCAACTTCTTCACCAGGAGACTGTTCTTCTGATACCGAATCAAAGGTTTCTTCTTGAGCGCGAGCAGCAATGCCATGACCGCCTCGGTTGATCTCTGCAGCGCGTCTTGATTCCATGCGTCTGGACTGGTGCTCCATATCCTGTGATTTGGGAAACCAAGATTGAGAGACATGAGATCGGGATTAATAACAAAGAAGTCGGCAAAGTACTCCTGCACAGCGCGAACCACCTCATGGTCGTCGGCTTCTGCGAGTCGCTCCAGCGAGGATTTCTTGATGATGTTACTGAAGTCTGCCTCAAGTCAGCACCCATGCTGTTACCCGGTGCCTAGCATGTTCCGCACAAATGTTGTATTCGCCGTACTTGGGCTCGCGCAGCTCCTCGATCAAACTCTGGATAGACTCGGGCGAAGGCCGCACAAAGCATAGACAACGGAGATGGCGCATCTTCTCTCGCTTCTGGTTATCCAGGCGACTGGCTTGGGTCAGCCATTTGTCTTCGACGCGGCGGGGAGAGTTGGGTACTCGGTGAGGTAGACTTCATGGGTGAGGAGGGCGGATTGCGTCGTCGCAGAGGACACGATCGAAACCTGCGAGGTATGAGGATGGGATCTATCACACTTTCGACGGAGAAGACAAACCCACAGTCTCATTATCGAGCAAGAGTATCTTCATCTTGGCCGCGGAGGTGCCTGTGGCCGCGCTGTCTCCAGCAGTCACCATCTTGGTGATGTAGCCAGAGACCGCCTGTACGATGTCCATGGTGACGTGGTTTAGTGCGATTGAACGTGGTGTGTTTGTTTTTCTGGTGACTCTTATGTTGCCTGCGACCACATGTCGGTGTTGACGATGCACCTCGAGCTGGGATGTGGCTATCGTTCGGAGGTGACAACTAGCGCCCGCATTGACTTGGCAACACTCATCTCTGAACCTCTGCGTCCTTTATCTCAGAAAACCCGCTGTTGTGAAGGATGTCGAGACTCGAGGTCTGCACCTTCGAATAAAACAAAGAAGTCATACTCTTCAGGCTGTGTTAACGATATGAGGACACAAACTACCAATATGACAATAGACCTGAGAGGTGATGGATCTAGTCGATTTCTGCTGCCTATAACAGCCGTACATTCGCTTTACTAAATACTTTGAACCATGTCAAATCATTTCCCAACATTCTCCAGGTCTCCAAATATGGTCTTCTGCCTTGCAATGACTGCAGCATATGTCATCGTTGTGACGTAGGTCAGGTATCTGCTAGCTTAGGCAGCTCAGGTGAGTACAGCTATATGACACTCCTAACACTCCATATCGTGCTCCAAGAACTCTACACTCAAGTTTTCAAACGACACAGTGAAAGACCATCTCTCTTACTGATACCATCCATCTTTGGTCAACAAGAAGCTCACGATGACGAAGCTCTTCATGTAGGGTGCCTCTTTACCTCCAAAGATATGCCTAACACATCACAGAACTGGTGCAACTGGTTACATTGGAGGCGACGCCCTCTACGTTGTAGCAAACGCCTATCCAGACCTTGAAATCACTGCGCTTGTCCGCAACAGCGACAAGGGTGGCAAAGTTGCTGCTCAGTTCGCCAAGATCCGTCTTGCATATGGCGACCTGGATAGCTCTGAACTGCTCACCAAAGAAGCTGCCCAGGCAGACATCGTACTCCACTGCGCAGACGCCGATCATGTAGGCGCTGCCAAGGCTCTGGTCGCTGGTCTCGCTCAGAGACAGACTCCGAGCTACCTCATTCACACCTCTGGTACTGGCATACTGTCCTTTGCCGACTTTGAGCGCAAAACGTACGGCGTCAAGAACGAGAAGGTGTTCGATGACTGGGACGGTATTGATGAAGTGGTGTCTCTGCCTGACACAGCAGTACATCGCGATGTCGACAAGATCATCCTAGGAGCCAGTGGAAGCTCAAGCAATGTCTTCTCGGCCATTGTTTGCCCCCCGTGCATATATGGGTCCGGACGCGGATGTGATAATAAGAAGAGTGTTCAGGTCTATCGCATGGCTCGCGCGACCATACATCGTGGCAAAGGTGTAAGTACTCTCTGGCCCCTTAGACTGAAATCTCAGGCGATACCAGACATACTGACTGAATCGCCGTATCTAGTTTGCTGTCGAGGAGGGCAACAACACATGGACACAAGTTCATGTCCAAGATCTCAGCAATATCTACCTCGCCCTCGTCACAGCCGCTTTATCGCCCTCGGGCGGCAAAGCGACCTGGAACTCCAAGGGCTACTACTTTGCGGAAGGCGGAGATCTCGTTTGGGGTGATGTAGCACGCGCCATCTCAAAGATTGCTCACGAGAAGAAGCTCATCGTCACGGCTGAAATTGACCAAGTGAGCCCCTCGGAAGCAGACAAGCTGACTTTGTCGGGAAGCTACCTCTGGGGTATGAACTCTCGTTGCAAGGCTATTCGAGCGAACAAGTTGTTTGGGTGGACACCGAAGCAGAAGAACGTGTTTGACTTGTTGCCTGAAATTGTGGAGGGTGAAGCGAAGGAGTTGGGTGCTATCAAGGGGCATGCTGCGAAGGCTGCTGGTGATTGCTGAACGGAAAGATGCTGACAAAACACGATGGCTTGCTGGAAGTATGATATGAATATGAATATACATCCTGACACGCGGGATAATGCAGTCCTCGAATATACTCGCATGCTCCAAAATCAGCAACTGTGTGACTACCACTGATGATATAGTGAACAACTACATGCCATGTTCAAAACGCTCAAGTAAATACGTACTACTCATCATATTCTTCGATCCACCCATACAATTAATAAGTAGATATGCTATAGATCACATAAGAATTTTAACCACTGATACCCCTTCCAAACCAGTGCTCACATTAAATCACATTCAGCCCTCTTAGAGCTTCCCACAGCAGTCTTTCTCTTTCTCTTTCTCCACCAGCACCGACGCATTATTTTTGGAACTGGGCATATCAATTGCCGGGTTCCGATTAAAGAAATCACTTGGCTTGAAGTGCACTTGATAGATCTCACAAGGCATGACGGGCCAGTCCTCGACTCTGTTCACCATTAGCATCGACTCTTCACCTCAACCAGCTAACCATCTCTGATAGGATATTACGGGGAGAACTCACCTCGGGTTATGCGTCAAGCCAAAGACATTCCACACAACGAGATCTTCGTCGATAACATCATCTTTCCGCGCAACCATATCATGCACACCGCCCTTCTCCACCTTACTCTGCAACGTATACCGCCCAGCAGCATACAGCTCGTCATCCTGGTACTTTGTCACCCAAACGTGGTGGTTAGTGAACAGCGCGCGTTGCGCCTGGAGGGAGCCGGGCGCAGCGAGCATTTTCTGCGTCGGCAGGGGTGAGAATTTGTAGCCGACGGGGTTTCCGCTATGGGGATTCTTCTTGGCCGGGTTGATGATCTTGAAGACACGGTGATCGGTGGGGTTGGCGTCCAGGCCGGCGGATTGCTCAACAACGGTTTTGCGGATCTCGTAGAAGTTGCCGTTGGGGTTTGTTTTGGGATTTATGGGTACGCCGTGGGACTCTTCGTAGACGACAGTGTTATTGTGGCCGTCGATCGCGGGGTCGATGCCTGTTATATGGGGTTACGAAGTGGCGGAGGTATGGGGGAGATGTGTAACTTACGCGCTGCGAAGATGTGTTGGTGGTTTTGTGCCAGGACGCCGCCCGAGACGACGTTTCCGTAGTCTGATGTCTTGCCGGGGTCGATGTTCACAACAGAAACGATGCCCGTTGCTCTTACCTCAAGTGTAATGCCGCCTGCAGTGTCCAGCTTGTAGGCGAAGACGTATTCGTAATTCGCGAGTGTGATGATGAACTGGACGACCAACTCTCGCATGCGGGTGACAACTGCACGTCCTGTCCTCCAATTGGTGTGTTTCCATCTTTTTGAAGAAGTCAGTGTGCATATACATGCTATTGTCTGCCGGGTACTTACCCAATACCGTTATCCTGCTCATGTAAGCAGATAACATTGGGATGCACTTTTGGAAGGCCGTCGGAGCCGACAATGACAGCGTCAAAGTACTTGATCACACCAAGGCAATCACAGCCGAGGGATAGGTTGTTGGCGCAGTTCCCTGCACCTCCGTCGCCGAAGTCGAAAGCTTGCTTGCGGTGGAAAGGCGCCCGGGCGTCAGCATATGGCACCGTCATCTCACTGATGCTCATGCGGTAGAGAATACTCCTCCCATCGTAGTGGATGTCGTGCAGAACAGCACCCTCACGTGGGTTGAATGAAACGCGGAAGCTCCACTTCTGCCACTCGACCAGCGATTCATCAGTGACAGTGAACGAGGGGCCTTCTGGCTGTGTGATGTTGATAGGCTTCACGTCCTTTCGGACACCGCCCTCGAGCAATTCAGGAACATACTCGGCACTTAGGCAGTGGTCGAGAATCTTCTCAGAATGCGTCTTTCCTGTGAGACTATCCCCTTTCCCACCTGTTGCTAGGCGGTCGACACGAACGATCTCTCGTGTGTGGGAGTCCATAACAGGAATCAGGGGAATCGGATAACCATAAAAGTTAGAGTCAGGGTTCTTGTTCCTGGTATCTTGAGCCATGCATAATCCCTGGAAGTATCTTTGATTGTCCGCGTCGGCATCCATCCCACCGTATGGCCTAACATGGTCAACACAAGGTGACCTTTGAGAAGTCTGAAGATACTGACCATGGCTCAATGACCAGTTCAAATCCTTCTGGTAGGTTGAGCTCTTTGACCGCATCCTGAAATTCCTCACTCCTTTCACACGCTCCAACCAGGTGCTCGAATTCCCACAACGTCAAACTAGCATGTCCGAGGTCCGTGCCCACAACCTCATGCTTGACTCTCTTCTTTTGTTCGATATCAATGATGGACTCATTGTACACTGGTACTTTGTCTGTGCCAATGACATCGTACTGGACTCTGGCTAACCGGGGTGGTCTCTTTGAGGCTGCTGACTGCCCTGGCAGTGCGGCATGTTCGAGCTCGAGATACTGCTTCATGAGCTCTTTCGCCGGTTCCTGGAGAAATATCTCTCGAAAGTCGATGACAACATCTGAATGGAGAGAGAGGATGACATCGCGGGCAACGCGTGTCTCCTCGACATTGAGGATCTTGTACGGATGGGGGGCCATGATAGAGAAAGTGAAGAAACGAAGAAGATGGGAATCGCTCCCATTTTATATGGGGGTTTCAGCGTTAGTATACAGATAGTTGATACTTGGCCACGAAAACCCCAATACAATGTGGGGTGTAGAAACAGCCTGGACCTGCCAAACACGAACTCCTTGGTAACTGCTTGATGCAGGCCTTGCAAATGCCCTTCTCCTTTCAGCAAATTAATCTTGATCAAATGCCGCAAGGTTCCAAGTTCTAGGAATAGAGGTTTGTCTGCGATCGGGTGCGGGGAGATGCACGATGTAACGGTCGCATGGACATTCCGCATTCGGTAAGCGTGCCTCGGCGACGCGATTGTTGTTGCTGAGTACTTCTTATCTTGTAGATATCTTCTTGGTCATTTGGATTACCAGAAACCACGCGGCAAGAGGATCTTGCAGCAGCTTGACAACTGTATACAGAGTTTGTGTAAAACAGATGCGCTGTATGAACTATTAGTATACAGCTAAGATGCTTTACTTGTAGCGAGTACTTTCAAGTCCAGGTTCGATATGGGACTTGCATGAGTTAGCTTGATTGTGGGTATTTCGACTTATCGCGGGATATTATCATGTTAGCTGAGTTTCTTTGCTATCTCGTTGCAGTTCATGTTGATTGTGGACGGGGTGCATATCAACCAGGGCTACCAAATCTTTTTACTCAAGCGGCTTGTTTCTAGACCGAAGACGTAACAAACTCCAAAAACGGATGCTACAGACAGAACAGTTTAGCAAATACCTACAGTAACTGAAATCGACAAGTCTTACTCCAACTTCAATTATAGTTGCCGAGGTGTTGCAAGATCTCACTGTGATTTGCTACCGATATACACTTAACCAAAGACGGGCTCTCAGTGGAGTGCGTGAAAAAGCTTGCGCGTAATAATGAGTTTCCTGTGTTATCGCGGCAATTGGAAGGCCTCGAACATGCCCAAAAATGCGAGTCACATATTAGCTCTACGCGACCAGACGCTCGAGTACTGCTGAAGCCCCGGAACATAGTCATTAGCAATGTGTTTTGGCAAATACGAGTTGGTACTTAGTATGATTGAGGGCCATATATTGCATCATGACATCAGCCTCAACCACATATTCCGATATTCTATGCTGACTTGGTCACTTCAGCGCGCTAAAAATTTCGAATTTTTTATGTATATAGGCGGTAAATCAATGCTTTCTTCCATCAAGTTACAACACTATCGCATCGGTGGTTTAGTGGTAAAATTAGCCGTTGCCATCGGCTAGCCCCGGGTTCGATTCCCGGCCGATGCATTTTATCTTTTTGTGGTTGTAGACTTGAGCTCGCCGCTGTCAACCACTTTTTCGCTGTGGTGTTGTGTGGATCGCGGGTCTTGGCGGCGGGAACATCCATGTGGCTCAGCGCCCTGCCTGCCACGCACCCGCCACGCGACTCCGCCACGTTTTTGGCTCCATCCATTGTATCCTGGTAGCTGGCATTGTGTATTTGTACGCCACTCCTGTCATTCATTCTGAACAAGGTGAAGTCTTGTATTTTGTCATCACAAACCGCTTCACCAGGGGAGTCTGTAAACGCGTTTCCTATCATAGCTCTTTTGTGTTTTGCCATCCAGTCCATTCATTTCCCACTGTCATTTCCAGCCAACTGCGTTCACAATGTCTTTCCAAGGCCGAACCCCAGAATCTCTCATGCCCCGCTCAGACTCGCGGAATCCAGCCACGACGTGCAAAGGCATCACCAAGTCCGGCCGGCCTTGTAGACGTCCCATTGACGCGAAGCCGTCCCAGGACAATGGTGTGATCGCAGTAGCTTCTGTAGCAAATGACAGCGATGAGGAGGACATCGGTGCCGCTGCGTACTTTTGCTGGCAGCACAAAGATCAAGCGGAGAAATTGGCTGCACAGGGTCCGGATACGCAGCTGTATCCCCTAAAGGAAAGGAGCAGTATTGATACGCTGATCCAAAGACTTGGTGTGTTAGATGTTCATGATGAAGAGGAGGTAAACGAGCAGAAGCAGGGCAAGGGCCGGAGAAAAGAGCACGGGAGAATCCATCGACCGCCGACTTGGGACCAGGTTCAAGGCCCGTTGATGTCTGTGCCTAGCGACTTGATGGCGGAGAAGAAGCGAAGAGATCGACCGGCTAAGCCTGCACCACGGAGAAAGAAGCAGAGTTTCTGGGCGTCGTTGTGTTGTGGTGCCGCGGATGAGGATGAGGATGAGCCTGTGCAAGCCGCTCATCATAAGAAAAGGACGAGCGAGATCCCCATGCAGCAAACCCCTCCTCGAAGACGAAACTCGCGTCCCTCGACTTCTTCGCCCGCGAGGAATGACGCGCAAGAAACATCTGTCCAACCATCTGTCAACGAGCCTACCGGTATGGCGAGGTACATACCATCCACGCTTCCACCGCAGCTGGCGTCTACATTGCTCGCCCAGGCCTCGAAACCAATCTCCCCACATGACGAAGAAGGCTACATCTACATTTTCTGGCTCACGCCCGACGCCGTCGGTCCCGCGCCGTCATCCACCGCGTCCACTCTCCTCACTCCGCCCTCACGACCCGACGCAGGCCGGCGAACAAGCGACGTACTACGCCAGTACTCTGTGAAGAACCCACAGCGTGCGCGCCCTGATGCGACGCGCCAAAGATCCGCAGCAGATGCAGACGGGGCGACCAGCAAAGAGACGATCCTTTTGAAGATTGGCCGCGCGAACAACGTTCACCGGAGAATGAACGAGTGGACTCAGCAGTGCGGATATAGTCTGTCGTTGGTGCGCTTCTACCCGTATGTTTCTTCAACATCAGCACCCTCGCCGCAAGCTTCGCCAAACTCACGGCAGACGTCGGATGTCTCTGGGGTGCGCAAAGTTCCGCACGCGCACCGTGTGGAGCGGATGGTGCATCTCGAGCTCGCGGCGCAGCGGGTAGTGAAGAAGTGTGATGCGTGTGGGAAGGAGCACAGGGAGTGGTTCGAGGTGGAGGCTACGAAGGAGGGCGTGAAGAAGGTGGATGAGGTGGTCAGGCGGTGGGTCGAGTGGGACGAGAAGAGCGTTGAATGACGACGGGGAAAGTTGCAGTTTGTGTTTGATAGTATTTAATTCTATAGACAATGTCACTGAACAAGGCATGTATGCTCGATGTAAACAGAACAGCATTGGGGAAGGGGGTATCTTAATGTAGCTCTCGCAGCTCATCAATAAAAAAAAGGCAGACGAATGAACATGCCTCATTGCTGCTTCACGTTCATGATGTCGTCTGGAAATGCTTTTTGCCCGACAAGGCGGGCACTGTACAATGGTGTGTGGTGGGAAAGGGGACTCGAGGCAAGCAAGTGAGAAAGTGTTTCCTGACGCCATAGTGCCAGCGATCCAGTCCAACTCCGGAACTTTTCCAGCTCTTCTGAGTCATTAAATCCAGGCGGTGTTGAACCTCCTCTTATGTACCACGGGTTGGCGGGTGTATATACAATGTCGTCTGCCCACCCTTGCTATGTGGCTCAGAAGAGACCCATGCGCGGCCGCCATATATCGTTCTCGTGTACGGCTTTCGGATTGACGACAATCTGGTAGGGAAACGGGTTCGAGTCGGTGGTGGTGATGGGCGGGATGTGGTCTTTCTCGCGGTTAACAATCGAAATGATCTTGTGTGCCGCCTTCTCGAGAGACTTGGTCATGGCGCGACGGATTTTCGGGACGTCTGGTTGCTCAGTCAGCTGCATGTCACAACACAGTACTCCATGTACGCACCAGTCTCGGTCCGTGGCGTCGCAATGGTGACGTCCAGTGTCCACTGCTCCCAGCAAACATCCTCGTCTGCCTTGCCAAAAGAAAAGTACGTCTTCCTCCGTCGCTTCTCGAAGAACTGGATGGACAGCTGGCCGCGCTTCTGCTGGTGGCCGCTGTCTATTGCGCGTACCAGGGCCAGTGTCCGCTGGTCGATGAGCGTCTCCAAGTCTACATCGTCGATGGCGGGGAGGGTGAGGTCGAGCAGGTCACGGGTGAGGGGGGAGATGGAGGTGAAGTAGCGGTGGAAGAATATCGTGTGCAGTATCGCTATATACAGCATCAGCCATGCTTCGTCGAGAGGCTCGCGGAGAGGTCCGGGCAGGGGAACAGCGGATAGTGGGGGGACGGCGGTGCAGCTGCGTGAGTGCAGTCCGGGAGTAAGGACAACTGACCCTTGACGACGTCCTTGACACAGGCCGGGTCCGCAAAGATCTCGAGGTTGTACTCTGGCCGGCGGCGTTGCTCCATGGTGGCAGTCGCAGGCGCAGTCGCGGTCCGGGTGTCGCAGGATAAGTGTCGGGAACCCCCGCAATGCGCCGCGCGGCGTCTTGGTGTGGCCGTGTCGCAGCAAGCTGGTGGGATTCAGGCGGGAGTAGGCGGTCCTCTGATTGCGGTGTCGAGGCCAAGCGTGCGAGAGAGGCGGTGGTGCAGAGTGTTGAAGATTGCGGGATTTGCGGACGCTGGCTGTGGCGGGGCTGGCTTGAAAGACAAAGGCCCGACGCCGCGAGAAATTGACCAGGGCCGGGCATGCACCTGCAGTGAGATCATAATGCACCACTCTGGCCAACCACAGCGGTCGTGATTCAACCCTGCGTCTATTTGCGACCATCAGCCGCTCCGTGGCACGCCCGCTCTGAGACAGTCTTGCTTGTGACGCTGACCACACCATCATCCGCGTGTCGAGTCCATCACCTTCTGACAAACAGCCGTGGAAAAGCTGCACGTGCGACCGTCATCCGCTTACAGACGGCCCGTGCACAGCCTTGATCATGCGCGGAGACCTTTCAATTCACGCATTCACGCATTCTAGCAAGATTCACACATTCTGGCAAGTCTAGTCGGAGAAATGGTTACCTTGCATGCTAGAAACTCCTCTGCCATGTCTAGGAGTGGCAGCACTGCTGGCGTGTTCTCGCAGAGCTGTTGTCTGCAGAAGTGATTGAATATTGTCTCGTCACCATCCAGGCGTAGAGATAGCTGCCAAGATGTGCTCGACATGTATCAACAGGGTCATGCCTATTGTTTTGCGCGTAACCTGGTTGTACATTGCAAATGATGTGCTGCAAGGATGAAGCCCAAATTAGTATGCTCGGACAAGCCTTTGAGCCGCGCCAAGTCCCCTGAACGCGACGAGACGCGTCTCACCCACACCAACCCACCTCTGCACAACATGGTCGGCACAAAGCGCAGACGGGACGACGACGATGCAGGGGAAACACCGCGAAAACTACGCGCCCAAACTGCAGACCATGTCGACGAGGAGCAGGACACCATCGAGGTGCAGACGCCCTCAAAGCGAGCCAGGGCCCAGCTTGCAGACATTGGCACGCCCAAGTCCATCCTGAAAAAGACAGGCTTTGCAATTGCTGTCAATGGCGGAACTCCCAAATCGACGCGTAAACTCGTCTTCGAGACGCCGACCAAACCTGACAGGGACGACACATCCTACGGCACCCCGACCATCGTTCGCAATGCAGACCGCAGCGCGCGACGAAAGAGCAACAGACAGATGCTGGAGCGAACCCTCAATGGTGTCGACAGTGACGAGGAGGCTTTGGACGAAGAAGAGACCCTGGCGGAGCACATTCTGGCTCTGGAGGACGAGGAGGAGGACGGGGGTGCAGAGCAAGTAATACAAGACGAGGTGCCGGTGCCAGAGACGCCCTCAAAGCGAGGGAGAGGCCGTCCCAAAGGCTCAGGAAATGTGGGACGGCCACGAAAGCAACGCTCCCCTACTCCACCACAAGAGCTGCCTCCGCATGAAGAGTACTTCTGGCAGAATCGCCCTGGTGGCGCCAAAACATCGAACAATACCCTCTCCGCGCAAAGTCTGCTCAACCACGATGAGTACTTTCAGGTCATGCAATCGTACCAGGATCGTCACGAGGTGGAGACGGATCTTTTGTTGGAGCTGCACAGTCGTGCGTACGACCAGTGGATGTTTGAGCTCGACGAGGGCTTCAACATCTGTCTGTACGGATATGGCTCGAAGCGCACCATCACAGAACGATTCACAGCACATCTATATCGTCAAATGTCAGAACGCACCCCGTACAAAGGAACGAAGAAAACACCAAGGATTGTCGTCGTCAATGGATACACCGCTGGAATCACAATAAAGGATGTTCTGACTACAATAGCGTCAACCGTTGTGCCTGCGAACACCAAGATGCCCAATCAGCCGTCCTCACTACTCGAATTTCTTCTCGAGCACCTCACGAGCAACCCACCCGCGCATCCAGTTCCTGTCATTCTGAACTCCATCGACTCGCCGCATCTCCGCAAGTCCACCACACCATCTATGCTCGCTCGCCTTGCAGCGCATCCATCCATCAACCTCACCTGCACAGCAGACACCCCCAATTTCTCTTTGCTGTGGGACGTCGGTCTGAAAACGCAGTACAAGTTTCTATTCCACGACGCAACGACCTTCGCCCCCTACGACGCCGAAATAGACATCGTGGAGAGTGTGAACGAGCTACTTGGACGAAGCGGCCGACGCGTGGGCGGCAGAGATGGTGTAGGCTTTGTCCTGCGCTCTCTGCCTGAGAACGCGCGGTCACTCTTCCGCATTCTGGTTGTCGAGCAGCTGGCTCTACTCCTCATGGAGGGCGGGCTCGAGGATGAAGATGAGGTTACCGCCACTCCCAAAAACAAGAAAGTCGCACATACCAAAAACAATGTCTCAGAGTCTAACCAAGGAGTCGAGTACAGGGTGTTGTATCACAAGGCTGTGGAAGAGTTTGTCTGCTCTAGCGAGGTTGGCTTCAGGACGTTGCTCAAAGAGTTCCACGACCATCAGATGGTGGAGAGTCGGAAGGATGCTATGGGTACCGAGAGGCTTTGGGTGCCCTTCAGACTGGAAGAACTGGAAGGGTTGGCAGAAGATCTGGCCAGCGATGCATTCTGAGCTGGCATATACCGGTATATCAATGCGGTTCTTCTATTGATAATCTTCTCTTGACCTCTCTTGACATGGTCCCCCGGCAACATATCGGCAACATTGGACGGATCGAAAAATTTCGAGTATCCACAACATGATGAGTCACAACTTCGACAACAGTCTGGGGTATTGTCCATCGTCTGCACTTGGAAAATATAAGCCCACCGCTCAGTCCCACGGCAAATACGCATGGCTGCGGAATATATACTTTGCCGTCGCCATTTTCTCCATCAATCAACCATAAGATAACACGGTCGCTTAGCTCAGTTGGTTAGAGCGTGGTGCTAATAACGCCAAGGTCGCGAGTTCGACCCTCGTAGTGACCATCTTTTTGTTGCCGTCGTTGCCGATCTGCTTTGGTGTGTCAAGGGTTGGTAGAAGTTGATCATTGATGTTGTGGCGGATCACGTTCGAGCACAGCTTACGATGGTATACTCTGTCGATGGTGTCATTTTTTGGACATGGATGGGAATGTGTGCTTCTCCTCAAGGAGACGGGTGGGATGATGTCAAGTGATCGAGTTCGATAGTCCCTTAGAGCTTCCATTGTCCTATGCACGTAATACGATTCTTCTTATTGTCACCGGGCTTACTGGTGATGGTCGTGGTAGACTGGTAGGTGTTGCAAACTCAAAGTCGCTACAATGTGTGCGGTTTCGCCGAGCTGGTGTCATCGCCGGCGATGAAGTGATATGAGGCTCTTGTGGTCTTACACATCGTAGTCAAGAACGAGGATACCCACATCGTGTTATGAGCAAGAGACTTCACCAATGCAGAAGAAACACGGTACATTGTTGGCTGGATCGCGTTAAGGCGTGAGATGAGAAGAGAGACTACATAGCCATGAAACCCTCACGCTCTCTTAGTTGATAAACAGTGAGTGCGTTAACTACTAATATGAAGTGATAGAACAGGGTATAGTATATACAATCGATGTGACAGCTTGCAACTAGAGGCTCGTCCAAGCATATTAGCCTTACACCGGCACCCTCTAGGATTTTGTGACTTCAGCTAAAACTGAAGTATTTGCAACACAGTTCAATAAACGTGAGCACACGGCATGTCGATTTGACGTAACGACGAAGTTCACTGGAAGCGAGGAGACTAAATTTATGGACCAATCAAACACCATCTGAAAATCCCCCACTCGTGACTCCACTCCAACCTTCAGATTCGCCATCTCTGAATATCAAATCCACAAAATCACCAGTTCATCAGCAACCATGGCTACTATGACCCTAACAGAGACCCCGTACAAGAGACGACTGCCCAAAAATGTCAAGCTTCCTCCCGAGAACGAGCGCAACATGCGCGCTTGCGCAGATATTGCCTCTGCACTCATCCAGGACTATGAAGCGCAGGTTGACGGCTCCAAGCCGAAAAAGGACTTGAACTTGAATCACTTGAGAAGTCAGATAGCAAAGAAGCATTACTTGAGGAGTCAACCGCCTCTTACAGCGATCATTGCGGCAGTGCCAGAGCATTACAAAAAATACATCTTGCCAAAGCTGATTGCGAAGCCAATCCGTATGTTACTCAAACCTAAACAGTAGAGTACTTGCTAATCTAGTATCCAGGTACATCATCAGGCATTGCAGTAGTAGCTGTTATGTGCAAGCCACATCGCTGCCCACATATCTCTTACACAGGCAACATTTGCGTCTACTGCCCAGGAGGACCAGACTCGGATTTTGAGTACTCAACTCAGTCTTACACAGGTTATGAACCAACATCTATGCGCGCCATCCGAGCGCGATATGATCCGTATGAGCAAGCCCGAGGACGAGTCGATCAGATCAAGTCACTTGGCCACAGTGTCGACAAGGTTGAGTACATCATCATGGGCGGCACATTTATGTCATTGCCAGAATCATATCGGGATGAGTTCATTTCGCAGCTACACAACGCGCTCTCTGGGTATCAAACGAAAGATGTCGACGAAGCTGTTGCCGCGGGTGAGATGAGTAATATCAAGTGCGTTGGCATCACCATTGAGACACGACCGGACTACTGCCTGGACCAGCATCTATCGTCTATGCTGCGATACGGCTGTACACGTCTCGAGATTGGAGTCCAGTCCCTCTACGAAGACGTAGCACGCGACACTAACCGCGGACACACTGTTGCCGCTGTAGCAAAAACATTTTGTCTTTCCAAAGATGCCGGCTTCAAAGTAGTCTCGCATATGATGCCCGATCTCCCCAACGTAGGCATGGAGCGCGACCTTGACCAGTTCGTCGAGTACTTCTCGAACCCCGACTTCCGCACTGATGGACTGAAAATCTACCCTACACTCGTCATCCGCGGCACAGGACTTTACGAACTCTGGCGGACAGGCCGCTACAAGAACTACACACCAAACGCACTTATTGACATCGTGGCACGCATTCTCGCCCTGGTACCGCCATGGACACGAATCTACCGTGTGCAGCGCGATATCCCCATGCCGCTGGTCACATCGGGTGTTGAGAACGGCAACCTACGAGAACTGGCTCTTGCGCGAATGAAAGACTTCGGCACGACATGTCGCGATGTGCGAACTCGAGAAGTCGGCATCAACGAAGTGAAGCACAAGATCCGACCAGACCAGGTTGAACTTGTGCGCCGCGACTACACGGCCAACGGAGGATGGGAAACATTCCTTGCGTATGAGGATCCAAAGCAGGATATCTTGATCGCGCTTCTACGTCTGCGCCAGTGTTCGAAGGAACACACGTTCAGGCCGGAGCTTACGGGACAACCTACTTCGCTGGTGCGCGAGCTGCATGTCTATGGCTCGGCGGTGCCAGTGCATGCCAGAGACCCAAAGAAGTTCCAGCACCAGGGTTTTGGTACGTTGTTGATGGAGGAGGCGGAGCGGATCGCAAGGGAAGAGCACGGAAGTAGCAAGATCAGCGTCATTTCTGGCGTTGGCGTGAGGAGTTACTATGCGAAGCTGGGCTACTGGCTTGACGGGCCGTATATGAGCAAGACGCTTGAGCCTGTTTGGGAGAGGGAGTGGTAGACATGCTTCGAATGATCAAGCCTCGATGGCGTTCAGACACGGAAACGGGCATCATTGCACACTCGAACAGGCATGATAATTCGATAAAATACAATCAATACTAACATATATTTGCAAACCTCAGAAAGTATTCAGTCGTACCCATTAAACGCCATATGCTATGTGTCGAGCTCTAGAGCCCCTCTCCCACGACGAATGACCAACCAACAAGCCGGAACATGCGCCCCGCCACTCTGTACACCCCGTCCGATAAATTTTACAGTGTCGTAGTATGCTACAAATGTGCCTTCTATGATGTCTGTAACTATGACAGGCTTATCGCGCCACGGCGGCTCTCGCGGATATGAAGGAAGGCCTGGAATCCGCAAAAGACAAAGAAGCCCTGAAATGCCGTTAGAAAGTGCCCACGGACCATCTGCGCAGATTTCTACGTACCAAGTATATGGCAACAGCTCCAAAGACTGCTCCTGCAACACCGGCTCCATCCTCAGGGTCTTGATCCGTGCCCATCATCGTGTTGCTGCTTGTCTGTTGTCGCGTTAGTATTTGTGCGCGTTGATGCGTCCGCTGCTCTCCTCGGAAGAAATGCGCGTGGGCGCGTAATCGTGAAGACAGTCGCGGAAGCGCTGGATAGACGTACTTTGAACAGCGATCCGATGACGGAGAGGATAACGATGGCGAACACGGATAGGACGATGCTATATCTCCGTCAGCTGAAGCCGTCCTCGCGACTCCTCTCAGTGTCCTCATACCATGTCCATGCATTCATGGCGGAAACAAGTGGCTTCACCATGATGGCGACTCGGTCGTAGCTTCGAGGGGGGCGGGCAGCTCTGTGGCGACGCTTTGAGCGCGAGCTTTGCGATGATCGGAAAACGGTCGACGAAGATTGCGTGTCGCGGGTGTGTCGTAGATCGATAGACGGGTTCGCGATAGGTTTGCAGGTCGTGTAGCTGTGAGGTGCTTGAATGCGATGCCTGCCGTCTTCGTCATCTCTTGGCGAGATCATGGCTCGTGCATCTACCTAGATCGACACAAGCGTCAAGTACAACATGCGCACATCAATCAACAATGTCGATTTTTATTGCTTACCATACCTGATACCATTAGCCGGAGTAGGCTGTTCGCCGAAACAGTTTTTGCTTTCGATGCCCACAAGGCGGTAATTCCGTCCTTGTATACGACGACTTCTTACCAATACAAGCGCCGATAACTAAACTTTGATTGAATCTTCGTTCATCAGACACACAAATATCTACTACAGTCAATAATCATAGTCCTATGATCTTCACACTCAGAAGCAGTGAATTCCTCGACTCGACGTATATTTTCATTGCAAGTAAGCCTCGAAGCTAGAAACACTCGTTCAAAACACCTGCGCTACATCAGACGCTCTGTCGCCTGCTTCATTTGTCTGACGATATCATGCCGATGTATCTACGGGTACACTTCGAAACGATTCGCTGTTTTGTGATCTAGACAGATATCTAGTCTACGACGTTGACCTTCCTATCGAGAAATACCTCCTATGAGTGTCACGACAGTTTGCACTGAAGCTAAAATCTTGATGGGCATGCAGCGTGATCTAAAGGTTGAAGGCCGGTATTTGCGCCTGGCGTTAGTAAAGACATAAGAGATCAAACCCTTGTTGGGATTGATATCGAGGACGCTGGCCAAGTACAACACGATGTGTATGCAAAGGAGCATGTGAGGCGAGAACCTATTTCTTGAGCTCGGCAGATGGATAATCGAGATGACTTTCCAAATCCTCAAACTCTTTACTAACCAGAGCGTACGAGGACAATGCTAAAGGCAGCTGTCTACCATTTAGAACCGTATCAAGGCAATGATTTTGTTTCGACCTTACAGTTGTGGCTTGGACAAGAAATTGATAATCGAGTCGTGCATCAACAGTCTGCACTGTATCAAGTGACATTATTGATAACCTATAATATGTCTCTCTTTATCACCCAATCTTGTCTCAGGTTAAGGGAGTGATCTATATGTTGAGGATCCAAACAACATGTTGTATGTTATGTTCAAGTTGATACCAATTATTATAGTTTTGAATTTCGAAGTCGGAAGCAATATCGACTCGACCCCTTCACACATGGACAGCGAGACCTTATTTCGAAGATGGCTACAGAGTAAAAGCTCATCATTATGGCGCGATTCCCGACGCTTGTATCTCTGCTGCTAGCTAATGTGGCGGAAACTATCTCGTGATTGTACGTGTGGAGTCACGGTGATGTCCGAACTACAATATGTTCGAGAGAAGATGCAGACATCTTGGTATCCCCAAGACCTTGAATGGACAGCACACGAGCATGTCAATTTCCAGATGAACGAGCCTAGGGCACGCCTGCGACTTCGAGATCCGTAATTTGAATGTCACGTGAACACGCGTCCATCAACCTCTCCCCCTGCCTTGTACTTTAGCGATGGCGATGGCGCTACGATCACCTTTTGACCTGCGCGTCGCTCTCATCGTCATAATCCGCTTGAGAGACTGTTTCACACATCTTGTGTAGTTTCGCGATTCGCCACTTTAAGTGTTCGCGCGTTCAGCCTGGACGCGGGTGGCGACAACGTTTAGCCAGGGGTTGACTTGCCTTCATTCACCACAGCGAGCTAGTCTATTTCATATTCCACTGCCAGCTCCTTTCTTCTGCAACTCTTCTCGCCCCTTCCGCCTTCGGCTTATTCTACGCGCAACTTGATTACAACAGTTGCAACCTAGAAGGCTCAACCTCACAATGGCGCCCCGACGTTCAACCCGCAAATCAACCTTGCACACTGCAGGCGAGGCGACTTTCGCATTACCAGTGCCAACTTCAGGTATGCTTGTCAATCTGGGTTGATCTCACATTCACCGTTCAACACTCACGATGCTATGATCTTGTTTGCTGACTTGGGGCCGCAGTTGCCTTGAACGATTCGTCAATGGCTGAACAGGTAGACCTTCGCCACAGCAAGAAGCGTACGCGCAGTTCTCGCGCCTTCATTGCTAACTCGTCCGACAACGACGACGAGCTGGTAGAAGTCGAAACATCTCAACGTTCCACACAAGGTCGGCGAATTCTGAAAGAAGTTGCAATTCCCGCCATGAGCTCTGCAAAGGCACCCGCTACTCGTGGCAGATCTGCTGCGAGGCAAACACAAGGAGCGGAGCAGGCAAGCTCCAACGAGTCGCCATCACTCGAGGAATCTGATTACGATACACCAGGCACGAGCCTATCAAATACACCCGCGGCCTCAATTCGACGTGGTCGAGCTTCTGCTCGCAAGAGTGCCCTGAGTGCGGCCCTCACTGCTTCTATGAGCACCTCTGCCAACAAGCAGCTGCACAACGCTATCCCGGACAGCGATGAGGATGAGGACGAAATCGACATGGATGCTGAGATTGCCCTACAAATCCAAATGGAGGACGAAGCTGAGGAGCGCCTAACCAAGCGTCAAAAGCTCGAACATGACAGCGAAGAGGACTTGTATCTTCTAGATGAGCCTGTGGCGTCTGGTTCCAGAGCGAAAGGCCCCTCTTACAAATCCAAAGGCAAAGGTAAAGCCAAGGCTGAGCCGGTTGTCATGGATGACGATCTGGATCATGACATGTCGCTCGCGGCGCCAACTTTCACGGGCAAGGGCAAAGGTAAAGCCAAAGTTGTTGATAAGTCCAGTGGTCGGCGTCGACCCGGCCGGCGGGCCAGTGCTAAACAAACGACCATCATCGACGACGATAGGTCTCTGGACCTAGAAGAATCTGAGGAAGACGAGTTTATGCCAGATGACGCGGACTCTCTGGTCGACGACCTTGACAGCCCTATTGCGAGCGGAAGTGACGAAGAGGAATCGACTATGGCGGCAATTGCTCGCTTGAAGGGCAATGCAGCCAAGGAACCAAAGCAGAAGAAAGACAAGAAACGACTCACTTGGGCCGAGAAACTCGAGCAGAAGAAGCGCCTCAGGCGACATGCACACATTGAGGACAGGTGGGAGCGGAAACGTGCCATGAATCGCGAGCGGGCTGAGCAACAACATCCCAAGCTGCGCAGCATGTGGGACGACCTGCAGAAGATTCCCACTCTCGAAGTCCAGAGGGCTGAGCAACCGGAATCCATCTCTCGACGACTAAAGCCTTTCCAGCTTGAAGGTCTTAGCTGGATGATCCGTCAGGAACAGACTCACTACAAGGGTGGCCTGCTTGGAGATGAGATGGGTATGGGCAAGACAATCCAAGCAGTCTCGCTGATCATGTCGGATTACCCAGCAAAATCACCCACGCTTGTCTGTGTTCCGCCAGTCGCCCTTATGCAATGGTCGAATGAGATTCGGGAGTACACAGACAACAAACTCAAGGTTCTGGTATACCACGGCACGAACGCCAAGTGCAAGAAGATGTCCATCAAAGAGCTGAAGTCGTACGATGTTATCATGGTCTCCTACAACAGCCTGGAGTCTCTGTACCGCAAAGAGACGAAGGGTTGGTCCCGCGGGGAGGACATTATCAAAGAGTCATCGCCGCTCCATGCCATCACTTACCACCGGCTCATACTCGACGAAGCACACAGCATCAAATCACGCAACACAGGTGTAGCCAAGGCCTGCTTTGCGCTGAAGGGCTCTTACAAATGGTGTCTGTCTGGTACCCCAGTTCAGAACCGCATTGGAGAGTTCTTCTCACTTCTTCGCTTCCTGGAGGTTCGACCTTTTGCGGACTATTTCTGCCGTTCCTGCGACTGTGAGAAGCTTCACTGGGCTACTGACGACGATCACATGTGCGTTGCTTGTAATCACGGTGCTTCTGAGCACATCTCTGTCTTCAATCAGGAGCTGCTGAATCCAATCACTGGGGACGATGTTGAACTCCGAGAGCAGGCACTGACAAAGCTGCACATGATCACTGCACGCGTCATGCTTCGTCGTATGAAGCGCGACCACACAAACTCTATGGTAAGTCGACCCGACATGAAATTATGCATCTCTTCTAATGCTTGACAGGAACTTCCCATGAAAGATATCATCATTCATCACGAGTTCTTCAGTAACGTGGAACGTGACTTTTCCTCCTCCATCATGACAAACTCAAACCGCAAGTTCGATACGTACGTTGCGGCAGGTGTGATGCTGAACAATTATGCGAACATCTTCGGTCTGATCATGCAAATGCGTCAAGTCGCGAATCACCCGGATTTGCTTCTCAGGAAGAACGCCGCTGAGGGCAGTCAGAACGTCTATGTGTGCAACATTTGTGATGAGCCGGCCGAAGACGCAATTCGCTCTCGCTGCCACCACGAGTTCTGCCGAGCCTGTGTCAAGGATTTCATTGACACGTGTGAAGCATCCGGAACTGACCCGGATTGTCCTCGCTGTCACATCGGCCTCACTATCGATTTCGAGCAGCCCGAGCTCGAGCAGGATGAAGAATCAGTCAAGAAGACGTCCATCATCAACCGCATCAAGATGGAGAACTGGACTTCCTCCACGAAGATTGAGATGTTGGTCTACGACCTCTACAAGCTGCGCAGCAAGAAGCAAACTCTCAAGTCCATTGTGTTCAGTCAGTTTACTTCCATGTTGCAGCTCATTGAGTGGCGTCTGCGTCGCGCTGGTTTCAACACGGTTATGCTTGATGGCAGCATGACGCCGGCACAGCGACAGAAGAGTATCGACCACTTCATGACGAATCCGGATGTGGAAGTCTTCCTCGTTTCTCTGAAGGCTGGCGGTGTAGCTCTCAACTTGACAGAAGCATCAAGGGTTTTCATCGTTGACCCGTAAGTTATCCGCACCTTTCTACATGTATTCGTCGGAGCTAATCATTACTAGATGGTGGAATCCAGCCGCTGAATGGCAGTCTGCGGACCGCGTTCACCGTATCGGACAGAAGCGACCTTGTGTGATCACTCGTCTCTGTATTGAGGATAGCGTTGAGTCCCGTATGGTTGCGCTACAGGAGAAGAAGGCAGCCATGATTGCTGGAACTGTCAACAACGACAAGGTCGCGATGGATCGCTTGACCCCAGAAGACTTGCAGTTCTTGTTCCGGGGTACTTAGAGAAGGGGTTCGTTTTCTTAGAAGGGGGTTCGTTTTCTTAGAAGGGGGTTCGTTTTCTTTATGCGCGGGTATGGGCGTTCAGTCAGATCACAGGTGGTCTACTAGGCATAGTATCGGTCGGCGTACGGTTTCATCTTCGAACGTGGCTCGTATAGGGTATTATGAAGTGACGGTTAAGAACGCAGTAGGGCAAGACGGACTTTCCTGGCGCATAACATGGTTTAGTCATCGAGCAGCATTGCACGTAACAATCGAAGTCGTGGAAGACTTTCGCATAGTTTCAACATCCCAAGACTATTCTTGATACCATGAAAGAGCCTGTTCCTATTATCGCATCGGTCTAAGCCCACTGAACACTAAGCCTGATATGACAAAAGTAACGAGAGCTTTCGTAATTCGATAGTGGAGATGGGAGCTATGTCGCTTTGAGCGTGACGTCGATGGTCATCCCGTTACCCCGGATTTTCATGGACCTCGCTCCCGGTCGCACGTTAGGAGCGCTTGTTGCAGTTCGGCAAAATCTTAAAAGTGCAAACTTTTAGCACAGTGTGATGACGTCCCCAGCATATCAGAAGCGCTTTGTTATGTGCCGAAGTTTCACAGCTCACGGCTGCAACCATGCTGTGAGACCCGCGGCAATCATCGTGTTTGGTCGTGTCCAAGGATGTCCAATTGTTGGCGAAAACACTGGGATTGTACAGTAGAATTGCTTCTGTGTATATAAATTCATTCCCGAAGACCCGAGGAAAAGTCAATTCTCGAGCGTTCAAAGTACGTAATTTTACGTAAAGCGCTGTCTTTTGCTCTGGATCGTCAGGGCTTGGTGCATGTACCCTTTGCGCTCGACACTCATGTGCCCTGGTACGTCAGAAGTCTACGGACGGATGTGATGCCATTGAGTAGTAAATGGTGTCCCATGGTCGGTGTTGTGGAGGAGTATGTATAGCGTAGGGTGCGCCTGCCGTGACTGTATCACTTTCTGCGCAAGCTAAACTGGAAGACTTTCTCTGTCGTATACACATTGAGCGCCTTTGAGTTCTTTCTCGGTGAACCGGTTATAATCGTACGGTCCATCTTATACAATGAGTTTTCTTTCAGGAGCCGGGACATGGCACCTCGATATCGATCGATACATCAATCGCGTCGTCCCTCAGTCGCCGCTTCACAAGCTTCCTACACCAGTATCGAGGTTCTTAGGGTATAGGAAGGAGCAGCGACAGGATGTTGGGAATATATGCGGAGTGCTTTGGTCGTTGTTGGGCGCAATCTGCGGACTTTCGCTTGTGGCGGCGGTGTTCAACAACACCGAGAGTATACAGATGCACCATCCTCCAGCACTTATTGCATCGTTTGTGAGTACTTAAGTGTTAATAGTTGATCAGCAAGAGCTCATGGACATGCAGGGTGCCTCAGCAATACTTGAGTACAATACTATCCGTTCACCTCTTGGACAGCCTCGCAATGCGCTGCTCGGCCACACACTTTCCGCTCTCGTAGGCATCGGCATATCCAAGCTTTTTCAATTCCATAGCGACTACGAGAGTATCAAATGGATGGCTGGTGCGGTTGCTTGCGGCTGCGCCTCAGCCACGATGCTGCTGACTGGAACGGTACATCCACCTGGCGGGGCCTCTGCTGTGCTCGCTGTTACAGAGCCTGCCTTTACAGCTATGGGGTGGTACTTTGCGGGGTTGATATTGTGGGGTACGACGCTCATGTTGGTGGTTGCGCTAATTATCAACAACATACAGCGACAATTTCCTTTGTACTGGTGGACGTCCATGGACCTGAAAAAGGCGAAGGAGCATGACCCAGAGACGTTACCAGACGCAAGGGGTGGACTGGAGAAGAAGAAGACGGTCGAGCAGCAGAGGTATGGTGTGAATGGGGAGAGTATTGAAATTTCTGGAGCAGAAATTGTGATTCCAGATGATCTGAGTCTGAATAAAGAAGAAGTTGAGATACTGGAGAAGCTACGAGAGAGACTGAGGAAGAGAACAGATGGTAGAGCGTTGAATGAAGAAGAACGAGAATCGGACAAGATGGACTCGAACAGCATAAGAAGCAGCGCAGAATTCACGATAGTTGCTAGTCGGAGCCAAGAGGTGCAGAGAAACGGGAGTGGGAGTACTTTGTAGTGGGCGAGTATCATTCTTAAGCTTATCGGCGTGCATACAAATTGATAGATAAGAGCAAACACGTCGTGTGTCACAACTCCGAGGACTGTCGTGTGGTGATGGTCCCTTTTTTCTAAATATGTTATCCAGCAAGGAGGAAATATTTCAGAGGCAGGTTCGATGACTGCTCGGTACTTTGTTCCGTCAACCCAGGTCGCTGGGGTGGATGTGGTAAATTTTGTACAGAAAATGGAGTGTGCGACGTAGTGTTCAACAGACAGGAGCGACAGAAATCAAAGTACCAACAAAACAGGCACAAGCAACCCTCTCTCTTTCAAGCCTCTGATTTTTACAGACGTTGTCGGCTTCTTGCGGCCAAATATGTTGCATTGTGTGCGCCCAAGGCCGTCAGCGCTTTACCTGCCCTGACATGTTCGGGCTCCCATTGGCTGCCCATTCACTTGCCACCAACGAAAAAATCGGGAGTTGAAAGGGCTGTCACTCACGGTTTGGCCTGCTCGACTCTGACATCCTCCTCTCTCTCCTCGCCCTCTTTCCTACCGCCTTCTCCGCACCATACATCACCTACTCCACTCGCTTTCTGTATCGAGTGCAGTGCCTTTTTTTTGTACGCCCGCACCCTTATCGATAAAGTGGATTGTTAGCGGGGTTCCTGACGTTGCTGGACACTTTTAAAATTCTCCCCTCGCCTTCCTCTCCACCACACCCCGTCCACCAAACAGCCAGACGACAACATGGTTTCCGCCAGCAAAGCCGCCCGTGATGCCAAGAAGCTCGCTGCGGGCAAGGAGCCCAAGAAGACGGCCGCCTCCAGGCTCAACTCGAAGAACGCGTCCAAGGCATCGTCGGTCAACGGCGACGAGGACCTCGAGCTGAACGAGGAGGTGCGCAAGCTGACCATGCAGGAGGACAAGCACGGCCTGTCGGACCGTGTGACGACGGGCGTGCTCTCGTCGCTGCAGACGTCGCGCGACGTCAAGATCAACTCGGCCTCGCTCGTCTTCCACGGCCGCGTCCTGTTCAACGACGCGACCATCGAGGTCAACTACGGCCGTCGCTACGGCCTGTTGGGCGAGAACGGCTGCGGAAAGACAACGCTGCTCAAGGCTATTGACAAGCGCGAGTTCCCCTTCCCCGAGACCATCGACATCTACCTGCTGAACCAGGGCGCCCCCAAGACGGAGCTGGGTGCCCTCGAGTGGGTTGTTCGTGAGGCTGAGAACGAGCTGGCTCGTCTGGAGAAGTTGGCTGAGGACATCCTCGAGCGTGACGGCCCAGAGAACCCCATCCTCGACGACATCTACGAGGTTCGTACCCCTGCCCCTCACCTGCACCGTCACCGCTAACTCCCCCGCAGCGTCAAGAGAGCATGGACCCCTCGACCTTCCACACCCGCGCCTCGCTCATTCTCACCGGTCTGGGCTTCGACAAGAAGACCATCAACAAGAAGACAAAGGACATGTCCGGTGGCTGGCGCATGCGTGTCGCCCTCAGCAAGGCCCTTTTCGTCAAGCCCGCCCTGCTCCTGCTCGATGACCCCACTGCCCATTTGGACTTGGAGGCCTGTGTGTGGCTCGAAGAGTACATGAAGAAGTGGGACCGCACCCTCATCATCGTCTCCCACTCCATGGACTTCTTGAACGGTGTGTGCACAAACATGATCGATATGCGCATGAAGAAGCTCCTCTACTACGGAGGTAACTACGACACCTACATCAAGACCCGCACTGAGCAGGAAGTCAACCAGACCAAGGCCTACGAGAAGCAGCAAGACGAGATCAAGCACATCAAGAAGTTCATCGCCTCGGCTGGTACCTACGCCAACTTGGTCAGGCAGGCAAAGTCCCGCCAGAAGATCCTTGACAAGATGGAGGCAGATGGTCTGATTGAGCCTGTTCACCAAGACAGAGTCTTCAGTTTCCGCTTCGCCGATGTGGAGAAGCTCCCCCCACCTGTGCTTGCGCTTGACGATGTCACCTTCTCATACTCTGGCAACGCCGCCGACAACCTGTACGAGAACCTCGACTTTGGTGTCGACATGGACTCCCGAACAGCCCTTGTCGGGCCCAACGGTGTCGGCAAGTCGACTCTGCTCAACATCTTCACTGGAAAGCTCAGCCCCACAAGTGGTGTTGTCTCGCGCCACACTCACTTGAAGCTCGGTGTGTACAGCCAACATTCTGCTGAGCAGCTCGACCTCACCAAGTCTGCTCTCGACTTCGTGCGCGACAGGTTTTCCCACGTCAGCCAAGATTACCAGTACTGGCGCCAACAGCTTGGTCGTTTCGGTATGACGGGTGAGGGACAGACTGCGAAGATGGCTACACTTTCCGACGGCCAGAAGAGTCGTATCGTTTTCGCTCTGTTGGCCATCGAGGGGCCCAACATGTTGCTTCTTGACGAACCTACCAACGGTTTGGATATCCCCACCATTGACAGTTTGGCGGACGCCATCAACCAGTTCAGTGGTGGTGTCGTTGTCGTTTCTCACGACTTCCGGTATGTTTGCCGTGCTCATTGACCACACGAACCAGTTGCTGACAATGAACAGATTGCTCGACAAGATTGCCAAGGACATTATGGTCTGCGAACACAAGACTGTCCGACGCTGGGACGGCACTATCGGCGAGTACAAGGGTCACCTGCGCAAGAAGATGACATCGACTGGTATCCTATAAACGGGATGTCGAGAGTCTGTTTGCAAAAGATATGCGTCTTCTGAGCTGCGGGACGTGGGTACGAAGCAACAGCGACCGCCTTGGAGCAGGGCTTTTGATAGCTCTGCGGTAGGCTGGCAGCTCCGCGGGTCCTGCTTCAGTGTCTGTCTGCGTCGGTGGAGACATCTGGATTTCTGCGTTATGATGCATTGGGTCTTAGAGGAGTTTTTAGAGTTGGCTTACGACCAAAATGATATCACATAGAACATGAATTGAATGACGTGTGTGTATTGGACGATTTGTCTCCGATGTTGTTCCTGATCCTGAAGGTTGAGCACATGGCAAAGGACGAACCGTGAGCAACGTTAGTGACGATCGACACCCCGCAACCTCCGATCATGAGCTTCGACTGCAAACCTCCGTGAAGCTGCCCTGCGAGTCAACAATCATTACTGCTTCTGTCGTTGTCGGTCACATATCACCATACTACAGCACATTCTATAACCTGCCATCACAAGTCACTCGTCTTGCCCGCCATGGCGGAGCTCACAATCACGAAGCTCAACGCGGAGTCGCATCTGCTGCTCGTATGCCTCTTTGCTCTCTCACTTTCACTACAGATATTAACGCATATCTTAGGAGCAACCTCTCCTCCGCATGCCATACGAACTCTCGCGACGAAACTTCAAAAACGCCCAGCGATTGATCGAGCACTCGAGCACCAACATGTCCACCTCGCTGGACGGTGCTAAGAAAGCCGCCGCAAAGTCCTCCTCAACAACGCAGACCCTCGACTCACTCGACTCGATGATCGCCAAAATGCAAGGTCTGAAGCGGAAGCTAGAGGGTCTCCACGAGGAGGAAACGCGTATACATAAATCCGCCAAAGCACGTCTGCAACACCTACAGGACCTCTACGAAGTCAAGTCTCTCGCAGATGTCAAATATGAGGAGTGGAGTCGCACACGGCTTTCGCGCCTGCTGGTGGATTATCTGCTGAGGGAGGGGTACTCGGATTCTGCTGCGCATTTGGCGCAGAGTAAAGGCATCACGGAGTTGGTGGATGTTGATGCTTTTGTGGCGTGTCAGAAGATCGAGAGGAGTTTGAGGGAGGGCAGGACGGGAGAGGCGCTCGACTGGTGTAAAGAGCATGGGAAGGAGCTGAAGAAGGTGGGTGGGGTGTTGGAGTTTGAGTTGAGGTTGCAACAGTATGTCGAGTTGGTGAGGCAGGGACACGAGGCGGGGATGAGTAGCATGGATAGTGACGATATGGATGGGGTCAGTATTGGGGGTGGGGGAGGGGAGACAAAGCTGGTTGAGGCCAGGGCGCATGCGAAGAAATACCTAAGTGGGAGTGGGGATTATGCGTTACTAGGGAGGGCGGCGGGGTTGCTGGCGTACAAGCCGTGGGATGAGGTGGAGCCTTATGCGGTAAGTCTTCTCACTGTTCAGTATATTGATGGTATGCCTGCTAACTAGACCATTCAGTCCCTCTACTCGCCCTCGCGCTGGACCCATCTAGCCTCGCTCTTCGTTAGCACCCACCATGGCCTGTACTCGCTCCCACCGCGACCACTACTCCACATCGCCCTCAGCGCTGGTCTGTCTGCTCTCAAAACACCCGCGTGCCATTCCGCCTTCACGCCTTCGTCTACCAACGCCTCCCCTTCAACCACAACCGTCTGCCCAATCTGCAGTACCGAGCTCAACGAATTGGCACGCAATGTGCCCTATGCATTGCACACTACCAGCCTTGTTGAAAATGACCCCGTGGTTTTGCCAAACGGGCGAATATACGGGAGCGAGCGTCTGAGGCTGTTCAATGAGAAGGCCGGGACCGAGAAGGGGTGGATTTACGATCCAGTTGAAGGGACTGCGGGGGAGAAGTGGAAAGAGAGCGAAGTGCGGAAGGTGTATATCATGTAATGTTTGCCCTCGTTGGATTTTGTACGGCATAGCGAGGCGTTGTAGGGTGGAGTTTCCAAGAGTGGTGCTCTTCTGGTTTAGCATGCACATGACTTGCTTAGTCCGAGTATCTTCAAAGTAACATGTCTTCCCACTTTTCGTATGGAATCGACAGGTCGGCATATTGGGCAACCATGGCTAACGCTCGTCTCCATCGCTGTCTGCATCTCTTACCCTCTTGTTGCTCTTGAATGGCTGCTTCTTGCCGCCCTCCTTCTTACGCTTCTGTATCTCCCTCTCCTCGTCCGTGTCCGGCTGCAATGGTATCTTCTCAAACACGTACATCCTCGCATCCCGGTCCTCGCCCTTCCATGCCCCACCCCCCTCAATCGTTCCCAAGGTCCTCACATGCTTATACCCAGGATACATATCCCAGTCGAACCTTGAACTCTCGACGACCTTGAGTCCGGCGTGCCGTGCTAGATCGCGCACATTCCACAGCGTATACGGCTCTCCCTCAAACAGCGTGACGACGATCCTACCGCCCATCTTCAAATAGCACGGTATCCGTTTTTGCACCAAATTCTTATTCCGCTGCGCTTGCCGGATCTGCAGTCTCTTCTTCGGGTCCGTAATCTCGAGACAAGATTTGAAGAAGTCAACCAGTAAGGCCTGGTTGGCGCGCACTTGCCGATTGACATCCGTGGACAGGCCGCCAGTATGTGGGAACTGGAAACATATTGTGTCCCAGCCCTGTTCTCCGTCCTCGTCGTCTCGTTCACAGCGTAGGGGCTTGTAGGTGGAGAGTTTTGTCGCGTCGATGCCGTGGTGCAATGGCACGGGAGGCGCAAGGGCGCTGAGTTCAGCGTGAATTACCTTGAAATTTGGGTACTTTTGCTGCACTTCTTCCTCGCTGTCGAGGCTGGTGGCTGTCACGTTTGCGCAGCCGTGTTCGTGCACGAGGGAGCGCGCGAAGCTGAAATCGCCTTCGCCGACCAGCAGGATGTGGTCGTATTCACTAAAGGGGGGTTCGTGTTTTTGCGATGCTTGAACGGGCGGCTTGGGCGCGGGCTGGGGTTTCGCGTCTGGTGTGTTCATCTTCTGCTTCTTTGCGCCTGGTTTGAGCGTCGAGGCGGGGACGGGGGCATCCTTTGCGGCTTTGCGGTGGAAGGCGGCGATTTTTCGATTCCCGTCGCGTTTGAGTTCGCGACGCGCGCGCTTTGTTTTGGTTTTACTCATGGTGGATGCGTGGGAGTGGTGTTGCGACGGTTTTGCGGGGAAGGAACATTTTGGAAAATCTGGGCGCTTTGACCCTATGATATCGATAGTCTCCACAGAAATTTGAAGGGCTGGAGAGATTGATGAAGATGTGATATGAACGACTAAATGTACAATAGACACAACTTGGTATGAATCATCCCTTGGTGCAGAGGCATCCGTCTGTGAAAGCGGGCACTCGCTTCAGATACAGACTAAACCAACAACCCTCCCTGTCTTGGAAAACCTATATCAGGTCGCGCTTCACAAACTGGTCGTACAAAGTCTTGCCAAGCGCAGCGGGCGAGCGCTCGACAACGACGCCAGCAGCCTCGAGAGCCTTGATCTTGGAGTTGGCGTCACCCTTTCCACCGCTGACAATAGCACCAGCGTGACCCATTCTCCTGCCCGGCGGCGCCGAGATACCGGCGATGAAGCTGACAACGGGCTTGTTGGCTGTGTTGTACTGCTTGAGGAAGTCTGCGGCGTCCTCCTCGGCGGAGCCACCAATCTCTCCAATCATGATGATGCCGTCCGTCTCCTCGTCCTCGAGGAAGACCTTGAGGCAGTCGATGAAGTTGGTACCAGAGAAGGGGTCACCGCCAATGCCGACGACGAGCGACTGGCCAAGGCCGGCTTGGGTGGTCTGGTTCACGGCTTCGTAGGTGAGGGTGCCAGAGCGCGAGACAATACCAACGCGGCCACGCTTGTGGATGAAGCCGGGCATGATGCCGATCTTGCACAGGCCCTGCAGGTACGGTCAGTCATGTGGGAGCGTGGGGGTGGCCTTGGAGGAGAGCGTACAGGTGCGATGATACCGGGGCAGTTGGGGCCGACCATGCGCGACTTGTTCTGCGACTTGAGCATGTCGGTGATGCGGACCATGTCTGGCGTTGTTAGTGGGTGCGTCCCTTGATACTGCAGTCGGGCGGCGCATACCATGTTGCGGGATGCCTTCTGTGATGCTGCGCCATGTTAGCTTCTGCATGTGGCAGCATGAACGGGCAGCACGTACGTCACAATCAGCGGCACCTCTGCCTTGATGGCCTCCTCGATACTGGCGGCGGCGACCGGGGGACTGCGTGAGGGTCAGCGTGCATGTCGCTGTACGACGGCGCAGGCGGTGCGTACGGGACGAAGATGGCCGAGGCCGTGGCGCCCGTCTGCTTGATGGCCTCCTCGACGTTGGCGAAGACGGGCCTGCCGAGATGCTCAGAGCCGGCCTTCTTGGGGTTGGTGCCGCCGACGACCTTTGTGCCTGCAGTCCGCGTCAATTCCCCTCTTCACCACGTCGACTCTGGTGCTCGCCCGCGTCGCATACCGTACTCGATGGCCTGCTGGGCGTGGAAGCTGCACCTGCGTTAGCCTCGCCGTCGAGCCGCAGCTGGGCGGCGCCCACTCACCTTCCCTGCTTGCCCGTGAAGCCCTGGAAGAGCACTTTGGTGTCGCCGTTGATGCGCAGGTTCTTGATCGTCTCGGCGTACTGCGACGAGCCCGTCGCATAGTGCCGGGTCGCGGACTGGGAGAGCGCAGAGCGCAGCGGTTGTCGGAGGGCCTGCATGGTGACTGTTGCGGCGGTCGAGGCGGTCGGGGAGGGAGGAGGGTTCCAAGGTAGCGGATATGGGGTGCAAGCAGGAAGCTGCACCACACTGGGACTTGGCTGGACTAAAATCTCGAGCCAGGGTCCGTCTTGTCCGCGCCCGAAACCCCATTTTCGTCGCATCCTCGTGCGTATCCGAGTGTTAGTCCTCACACATGCAGCCATCCTGTGTGTCACATCTTCTCGTCTCTAGACATCAGACCAGCAGTCGCAACCTCTCCCTTTTCTGTGTGATTTGCCCTCGTCTTTGACTTGCATGGTTTTGGTAGTCACACATACACGATTCACGCAAACACGATATTCGACTCAAGACCCCTACTGATATATTCCCCACAGCTTGAATGGCAAGACGCATGTTGAGATAAACGCATGTGCGCGGGAAGATGACATGAATATATCGCTTTGTTGCAACAAACATCACACAGGCAAGACATAGATGCAGGTCGTGAGAGTGGTTACAAGTTTTGTACATGGTGGAAACGAGGATCCACTTTAATCGTTGAGCTTGCCGTAGAATGGAATGCCAATGGCCTGGAGAAGCAGACGAGCATCCTTGTTGCTCGTGGCATCTGTGCAGATGGTGATGTGGCAGCCAGGAATCATCTTTGGGGGGTAGCTGCCACAAGTCAGCGTCACAGAATCTTTGCTGGGACAGGATCACTACTCACGCATCGTAGTTGACTTCAATCTCCGGGAAGAGAGCAAGTTGGTCGGGAGTAAGACCAAAGGTCATGTTGCCGTGTCCATCTCCCGACGAGCCGGGCACACCCTTCCACTCCTTGATCTTGGGCAGCACGACGTCAATGAGCTTGGCCAGGAAGTGGTCGGCGTCTTCACGCTCCAGGGTCGAGGTGACGGAGACATATCTGCCCTCGCGCAGGTTCCATCCGACAACATTGTGCCTGGCCTTGTGCGGGACCACACGCACGTTGCTGATGGCCTGGAGCGTCATGCCGGCGACGTGCAGGACAGCGCTGCTCTCCTGGGCTTCGGGGACCATGGAGTGGACCACGACCTTTGTGATCTTCGGGATGTTGCGGAATGTGCGCGGCGCGTTGAGCAAGCGCAGCACCTCACCCTTACCCCGCGGCCCTCGCAGCGGACGGCCCTTGTAGTATGGCGAGTCGCCCGTCCATTCGCGCAGTCGCTGCTCCGTCTTGGGGGCGCGGTAGCCGGGCGGATAGTGCTGGTAGGTGAGGGCGAGGATGTCCGAGGCGATGGTGCTCTGGTACGTCTGCTCGAGGCGGGGCAGGGTAAAGGGCCCCGGCTGGAAGAGTCGCGACGAGGGGTCCGAGGCTGGCGGGGGCTGGTGGGGGTGGAGGGGCCCGCGGTAGTACTTGGGCGAGCGGTACTGGTATCTGCAGCGTGTGAGCGCCCGGGCTGATGGCTGGCATTGCCCACGGCCTACCTGCTTGGCGGCAGTTCCTTCTTGCCCCGTCGCCTCAGCCGGCTGCGCGCCATTGGGTCATAGTCCTTGACCAGCTCCTCGGCGAGCGGTGGTGCCTCAAACGACGACGCGGATTCCACCTCTTGGGCTGCATCAGACGAGGCGTTGCGACGGCACAGCGGCTGGGTCGCGCGCACAGCGGGGCGGGCGTCTCTGCACAGGGCCGTCAGCGTGCGGGAGGGCAGCTCGCGCAGGGCCATGGTGGAGGAAGGATAAGAGGCAGTCGTCGTGCTCGCCCGCGGTCAAGCTGTGCCGGTGCTGCGGGAGTCGTGTTTTCTGAGCGCGGGCGTCCGAGCGCCGGTCGAGGTACCCCAACGCTCGAAAAATCCCACCCATGTGCCAGAGGGATCCAAGCAGGGATCAGGGATTAGGCGCATTTCCGCCCTCGCTCCCCCAGAAGGCAGCACTGCTCCCCAGCTTTTTCGCGGCTGGAGCAACCACTTCCCCCTGGTTGGTGTGCCCCTCGACACGCCCACCGTCATCCGTCGTCCCTTCCCTTTGCGCACGCCGGCTGCCTCCCTCTCCCTCTCTCCTTCTAGACCCCACCTAGCGCGCGCCGCATCGTCCACGCCGTCCCTCACCACCAGACCTGTGGTACCCCGCCGTCCACGGGGCCGTCTACTGCACTCTCGCGGCCGCAATTTCTTCCTGGATGGGTCGCAGCACCGCCCACTCTCACAATGAACGGCGTCTCGCGATTTCTCAGCCGTCGCGACAAGTACAATGAGAAGCGCTCCTCCAAGAATGCCCGCAACAAGGTATGCCTGCGCCTGGCCATATCCCCTGCTCCTTCGACTGCCCGCTTCTCTTCATGGTGCCATGCACTGTTCGGCGAGTTGCAGACCTCTGCCATGCCCACGCAGCATCACTCCATGTCGCGCATTGCTTACGCCTGCCATCATTCAAGCCTCCACAGCCGTCCTGTCTGACCACCTGATTGTACAGTCTCAGCCTTCGCAACAGGCATCGTCCGACCTCTACACCATCTTCACACACGATGAGTCAAAGGCCGCAGCGGATAACGACGTTGATAAGAAGGTGCGAGGCCCGCCGACCAAGTCATTCGTAGGGCAAGATTGACAATACACAGGTCAAGATGCTCTTGGCGCGACTTCAAGGTGCTGGAATATCGCGCTTGCAAGACGAACAAGCCCGGTACGCCTTGTCGTGGTACCCCGAGGATCTGGACAAAGCCTATGACATTCTCGTGCTAGCAAACGAGTCCATCGAGGGAGAGCTAAAGGACTACAACCCAGACGTACCCATGTTGGGAGCCATCAACCGAAACATGGTGACCTGCTACCTGGATGCCCTGCTCTTCGCCATGTTTGCCAGGCTAGACAGTTTCGAAGCCATGCTGTATGATAATTTTCAGGATGAGCCGCGGAAGAAGCTTGCAGCCGTTCTGCGACTTTGGGTGAACCTACTGAGGACGGGCCAGCTCATCAAAGTTGAGCTTGTAAGTATTCCGTGTTGCCGTGCGCGCGCTTGGCTAATACCCACCTAGACAAAGCACCTGCAAGACTCTCTCGCAAAGTGCGGATGGGAGGAAGCCGCCCTAGTGTGCCAGCAAGATGCCTCCGAAGCCTTCACCTTTATCACAGGCGCTCTCGAGCTGCCCTTGCTCACGTTGAAAATGGACATTTATCACACTGGCCGAGAAGACAAGGAAGACGACCACAAATTTGTCAATGAACGGCTGCTAGAAGTTGCCATTCCCGAACAGCAAGGAGACGACATCATCACGCTCGAAGACTGTCTGGAAACGTACTTCAACAACCGAATAGAGGTAAAGCGCTACCTGCAACGACAGAATACCATAGGTTCCGTCAGGCCGCCGCATTTGGAAGCCGTCGAAAATGCGCCCGAGAAGAATGAAACTCTTCATGTGGAGACGGTCGAAATCTTGGATGCAGACTCTCCCATGGTCTCGACTCCAACTTCACTAGACCCGACGACGCCTGTGAGTCCAACAACGCCTCTGGTATACGGTCGTCCTCTCGAAGGTCGCCGGCGTGCCGACAGCATCTTCAGTCAGCGACTCGCGCGAAAGGCGCCGGAAGCATGGAAATTCGACGAGAAGAAGCATCTGGACGATATGCTGAGTAACGGTTCAGGCGGACGGCCTCGCTCAGCATCATTTTTAAGAAAAGAGGTCTTGATGCCGGCTTGGCAGTTCTTCAGTTTGATTCGTAGGTACTTGTTCCAATCCGTAGCGCGAGCGTGTCTGACATGGCTACAGCCTGGTACACTGACAACGTTCCCAAGTCGGACGCCCAGGTAGCGGCACATTTCTCTGCAAAGCGTCCAGTACTCGGTATTTGCTTGAAACGATATACAATGCTTCCCAACGGTGCCCCAAAGCGTCTAGACACTTACATCGACATACCGTTGGAAATAGGCTTGCCGCACTTCATCTCGGACGACAGAATGCGGGAGGAAGGCCCACTGTTTGGCAACTTCAAACTTGTCCTACAATCCGTCGTTTGTCATCGTGGAGTATCCGTTGATTCAGGCCACTATGTCTCACTCGTCCGTGGTGACTGCCACGAGCGACCCGGTACCTCTGATTCCGAAGATAGCTCTGATCAGGCTCCCTGGCTGCGATTTGACGATCTGTCTAACCCGCGCGTCATGGAAGTTGATGTGAAGAAGGCCTTGCGCGAAGAATCGCCCTACCTACTCTTTTATCAAGTTCAGCCAATCGACGAAGTGTTGGCAACGCGAGGTGATCCTCCGTCGTACGCCGAGACGCAATCTAGGCTTCCTTCTCTCGATCCGTCAAGGGAAACACTGGTATCTACAGCAACTACAGACTTCGAAACAGGCGGAGAGTGGGGGCAGACCACCTCGGCTGACCCACAACCCGAGTCAATTCACCTTGATGAAACCATTGGTCGCAGCAGCATGTCCAGTAATCGACGTAGCAGTGTGGTATTTGACGACATCGAAGGGACACTTCAAAGCGCATCGCGCGGCCGTACAGAGCCCCCTACCCCGGAAGAGCAGAAAACGGGGTTTCTGTCGGCCTCGCGTCGCAATTCTCGGACGTGGATGCCTGGAATGCCAGGGAGCAAGAGTCGGGCTAACAGTCAGACTGGCGAGAATCGACTATCCTTTTCCATCTCAAGATTGACTGGCCGCGCCAGTAAGGACAAGTTGCACATCACAGAGGCTGCTTTCGCGGAAGACCCAGTGATCGTGATCAACGAGGTCCAGAACGCGGAGAACGCCCAGCTCAAGCAGAGTCCTGTCAAAGAGAAAAAAGACTCTTCAATCTCGCGCAGCAAAAGCAAGGGCAAGAAGGACAAGAAGGATCGGTTCAGGAGCAAGAGCCAGGATGTCAACGAAAGCATGGACAAGGCCAAACACAAAGACAAGAGTCGACCAGATCGGGAGTGTATTGTTATGTGACGAGCATGCGGGTTATTCGCTTGTTTGCCTGGATATTGGCGTTCGGAAAACTGGCTGGTCATGAATTGAATTATTAGCGAGGCGTTTTGAGTATTAGCTGGGAGGCTTCTTGGTGCAGTGGGTTGCTGTCGAGAGATGATGGGTTCGACTTGCATGGCAGCTTTCGGATAGATGAGATACCCCCAAACTCTAACGAGGTAGAATACAGAATGGGTGTTTCCAAGCCTGTAACATATCATTTCGATCTGGTTCCTACCATGATGAAGTTCAATCTCATTGAAGTGCGCTACAACCAATGTGCTTGCTCACAGAAGGCGTTGGATGCCCGTAGAACAGTGAAGGTCGTTTTGGGGCTAGGCCTTCCCCCGGAACCGAAGGTGGCCTTTCGGTGTTTGCCAAGGCACTCCCACCACAAAAGTTGGGCCCCCTCGCCTTCCACCTTGCGCCCGCATATCAGCATCTCTCAATACCGACTGACAGTCGCCCTCGCGCAACCTTCGCATCAACCACGTAGCCGTCGCAACCGATATTCACAATGGCCATCAGTCCGCAGATGTCCGTTACCGCGTCGCGTATGTTCAGGAAAGCTTGCTAACGGCTGCCTCACAGTACCAACCTGGTCATCATTCTGGGGTTCATGCAGATCTCCAAGAAGATACCATTCGATGATCCAAACGTCTTGATGGGCGTGCGTGCACTTTACATCATCTCCAACCTCATCATCGCCGGTATCTCCCTCTACGTCCAGCAACAGATCAACAAGAAGAATGGTGCGTCATACTCCGTGGCACTGTGCGGCTGGGAAGCCCAGTGCCTTTTCGTGGCGCCGCAATGCTGACAGCCACCAGACATGACCATTGTCAAATACGTCGAGCCCGCGCCCATGGGATCTGGCGAGGAGCCCAAGTTTGTCGCGACCACGGTCAAGGCCTACGATGTGTCCAAGCTACGCGAGCTCTTCAAGGCCCAGATGATGGGTGTTGGAATGATGTGCGTCATGCACATCTACTTCAAGTACACCAACCCACTGCTCATTCAGTCCATCATCCCGCTCAAGGGTGCCTTTGAGGGCAACCTGGTCAAGGTCCACCTTCTCGGCCAACCTGCCACTGGCGATCTCCAGCGTCCGTGGAAGGCGGCTGGCGGCATGATGGGCGCCATGCAGGGTGGTGAGATCAAGACGGACAAGAAGAGCATTGAGGCTGCTGAGCGTGCCGGCCGCGGTGGTGTCAAGGACGAATAGAAGGGGGGACTGGACGATTTGTTATTAGTGTTGCGGCCGAGTCATATCTGTAGAGGGGAAAAATTCACTGCGTGCCTTCAAAGGGCAAAGTGAGCATGCATGTTGAAAGCTTGCTGATTGTATAGTAATGGCACGTCACGCATTATCACACCAACACTAAGGTGCAGTAGTAAACGCTCACGATGTACACCACATTGCAACACAAGTCTGAGTTATGACAGGAGCTGTCTACCTTGGCTCGTTACTACCTATAAGAGTGCTCGTCTTGTTACCCATAGTATCGCGAAGACCCATGCGCCTAGTGATCTGCGGATGCTTTCGACACAGCAAGACAGAGCACGACCACGCAATATACAGTGCGGTTTCCCATTGAAGATTTCCTAATTTGGCTCCCTACTAACTTGTTCGAACCTGTTTTGGTACCACTCTCCTCAAGCCATTCGTCCCCGTCCACCGCGCTAAAGATTAAGCTGTAACCTTTACCTACAACAAATTCCATCCCGCTTTACCTCAATCCTGTTCACCTGGTCAGGAATGAGTCCGCCGTTATAACCTTGATCTTCGGCAACGCTGCTCCGTGCACCACCCAACACGCCAATGCCGCCATTTTCGGATATAGCGGTTTCCTGCAATTGGTGTGCGCAGCACCAGGCTGGAGGAAACTTGTCACAGAATTGGCAAGATTCGACGTAGCCGATCCAAAATTCCGTCATAACTTCAGTCAAGAATCTGCGTATTGAAGGAACAAACAAGTGACACTTAGCGTAACAGAAAGAGCCCAGGAATACATCAGGATTTAGCAGACATATATCTAGGCTTCAACTCTGTCAACCGACCTTTGTGAGGATTATGTCTACCACGCAACGACACGGGTTGCGAACAAGGCTGCCATCGCGAGGGTTAGGATAGCAATGACTGAAGGCCAAAACCAATTAACTTCTGAAAGCGGCAAAACAATTACCGTCAGAGGTAGAAAGCCTAATCTCTGGTTATGGCACAGCGATAGGTGCATCACGAAAACAGAGATTCCGTTATGTAGACGCCCAAATGTAGACAAAGCTCTACAAGCAAATTAAGTCCAGCACATCGCATCAGGCACCCCAAGTCCCGCATAGCAAATCTTCATTTAATGCCACTAAACTACTACTCATATATATGCACGACAAGAGACTTCGTGCTGAGTATCAATACCTTGGACACGACCCGAAGGAGAGCGAGGGCGAAACCCCAACACCCAACGAGCAGGTGTCGTCGAATATCCCTAACGTCTTCTCCGACTCCGATAAGGCTGGCTCCAACATCGAGGACACGATGAATACAGGACTAGATGGGGCTCCAGACCCATCGTCTCAGCCATCCAAGCCCATCAAATCGCTAACCCTCGTTTACTTAGCTATGGCTTCGGAAGAGAACTAGGCAGCCAAGCTGGAGACTACAACGATACAGAACAAACTTTTAGCGCCTTTGATTCCATCTCTAGGTCAACATGGAAGATGATATCGAAGCTGGGATACGGCACTATCAAGAGCTGTATAGTCACTCGCAGTCAATCTCAATACAACAAACCACCAGTTAATGGGCATTTGCGAAGGTGAGCTGGATAGAAATGATGGATATGGCGATAGTAACAGTGACAGGAGGTGTATATAACATTAGGAGTCAGGGCAACATCGTCATCTCTACTTATGATACTAGCCTCTCCGCTTCATATATCTATATATCATCGGTGCATTGCTTTGTCCGCGTGTTGATTCGTCATGTCAGCTTGATTGGTGAAGGATATCATCTTAGCTGGGAGGAGTCTGAACATGTGTTGACGTGAATATCGAATAGGCTCTAAGTCATTTGACGATGCTTCTCCAAGTCGAAGTATATCTGGTTAGAGCGACACAGATGTTCAGTATGGATTTACTCTCTTGGTTAGATGTCAGAGTATTACTTATAAAAGTGCTATGATGTTGGTTGACCCTTCTGTAACACAGCCACATCGTCATGTCTCGAACATCAACTGCCAGCATTGTTGATCGTGTCTTGAACTGTGCTCGGCTTCACTTCGGTATGGTGAGTCCTGAGTTGCAATCCTGTACTAAACTCTACATATTCATTCACTCGTTTTTTATACAGTTCAATATGACTATATGTGCAAGCAATACGCGTCAAACTTTGAAATACTACTGAATTTCGATTTGATCCTTCCCCAACAAACGTGAACGCTATTTGTATATAGTAATGCCACGACCGACAGCAGCTCTCGATAGCATCTAACAGGTGGAGAAGGATGTAATCATGTAATCCCTCTTATCAAGATATTTTGACCGAACAATAAGATCAACGCACTAAAAGAGTTAAAATGACAAATGGTTTGCGAACTATCAAGAAAGAGCTTCGGAGAACGCCGGGAATAACAAGACTAACTGGGCACCGCCGTACCAATTGGCTGGCGAGTTCAATCCTGGGCGCATGCACGAAAGTAGTGGAATGCTGCAAGCACACCAACCTAATCGTATCCCACCAAGGTGTAAGCGCACAAATTCAAACCAATCTTTGCATGTAGCTATCGCGCTGGCAAGATCTCTCTCTATCTTGGATCCCGGTACTTCGGCTAACCGAGAGGCTGGCTGCGACCACGTCCCGGACCAATCCTATGACCAAGATGAAGCTCAGACACACTATACCCACGCGTTTGTATCAATGCTAGCAAGGACGGTGTGAGACTGAAGAGAGATCAAGTCAACGCAACTAGCCAAGTTGACAATAGTTTGCGGGAAAAGAAAATCAAAATCGTGACGTCAAGTTGTGCGAAGTCACGTACTCGTGTTGAGCCTCAACTTTCTTCTGCTAGCGTTGCTCCAAAAAGCTTAGTCAATTGCACGATAATTGTGGATAGGCATTTCACTACTCATGGAAAAGCTGTTATCAAAGAACTCGCCTATCTCACTGAGCCACGTCCGTCCGCGAATCTATCGATTGGTTTGACGCTGATCGGGTCGTTATCTCATTTGACGCGATGTCTTTGACATTGGCTTTGCTAACCTAGTCGCATGTTCACCGTGGGTTACATGACGTGGAGTTCTGCCCAATGAATCGCGTGAAAGTCTTAGCGGAAGGCTTCTACTGTTCAAGCTTACGGCGAAATTGCATAGGTTATAAAGCTTTAGGTCTTGTCTCCCGCCTCTCTGCTATTGAGGACGTTGCTAATTCCTTTCTTCACTCAACATCTCAAGTCCGCAATTGAGTCAGAAGAAATGCATTTCATATCTGCAGTACAGCTCATTGGAGCTTTGCTTCTGCCAACTGTATCATCGCTGCCACTCTTGGCAAGTTCCGGATCAGTAACGTTGAGAGCAAGAAATTACAATCTCACGACACCTTCCTGTCCACTGAAACCAAAGGTGCTCATAATCAGTTTAGTGAGTAGTCCTTGCCTTGGGAAGAACCAAAGGGCATCTACAAGCCAAGATCGAAGTTAATATCATTTCAGTTTCAACCCGAAGCTGAAGTCTGGTGGAATATACCTGAATTTGACATCCTGGCGCAAAATATCAGTATTCCTGGACTTTCTCCAAGATTCCCAGAAGCCCATTGTACCGCAGATGGCGAGATTTGCCAGGTAGTAACGGGCGAAGGCGGTAAGATGACTCCATTTCTTGAGCAAACAACAAGTTTGTAGTGTATACTGACTTGTGACTAGAAATCAATGCTGCTACGACCATCCAATCCCTCACGTTATATGCTGGCTTTGATCTTACTGAGACGTACTTTTTGTCCGCTGGCATCGCAGGTGTCAACCCTAACATTGCTACTCTCGGTTCAGTGACGTACGCGAGATTCGCTATCCAAGTAGCTCAACAGTACGAGTTCGATATCCGAGACATCGGCGACAACTTCACAACTGGTTATATTCCTTACGGAACAACGGCACCGGCACCTGCTATGTATCCGCAAAATGTCTATGGCACTGAGGTTTTTGAGCTTAACGTTGCTCTGAGAGATAGGGTCAGTACAGCGTCTTCTGATAAATGGTACAAAAATCGTTGCTAACGTTCATAGGCCGTCATGCTCTCTTCCAAAGCCAAACTCAATGACTCAGACACCGCGATAGCGTACCGCGCCACCTACGAACAGAAAGCCGCCAGGGAACCGCCTGTGGTTATTGGCTGCGACGTAGCTACCAGCGATAACTATTTCTCTGGCCCAATTCTCACCGAGGCTGCCAACAACTTCACGCTACTGATGACGAACGGCACGGGTGTGTACTGCACTACTGCACAGGAAGACAACGCCACCCTCGAAGCGTTGATGAGAGCAGCGCAAGCTAAGAAGGTCGACTACAACCGAATCATGATCATGCGTACGGCCTCGAACTTCGAAAGACCTCACCCGGGCGAGTCGGCTTATCAGCATTTGATCTTCTCCGTTTCTGGAGGATTTCTTCCTAGCGTTGCTAATATTTACATCGCTGGAATTGAGGTTGTGACTGATATCACTACCAACTGGGACACTATATATGCGAAAGGTATCGAGCCGACCAACTATGTCGGTGATATCTTTGGTACGTTGGGAGGAACACCTGACTTTGGACCGTACCCATTCTTTGGAGTGGCGTAATCTATTTGCAAAATCAATCTCTTGGCAGTTTATAGATGACTTTCGATAAGGTATCAAGGAATGCCTATATGTTAATAAAGTAAACTTTATCTACACAATTGTATAATAATGCCAACTAATGTTTATTAGAAGGCTTTTATTATTAAGATAATTAGCGCAACCCCACGAAGCTCCTAGACGCACGCCAGGGGAACTCTTGAGCTTAGAGTAACTGTTATTCTGCTCTATACGTACTCGCTCTATACACCTCCTCGCTAGCGCTTATAGGTGCTCCTAAGCTTAACGCAAAAACTAAGCTAAATATTAGTTTAACTAAGCGTTTTTTATAAATAGTATAGACAGCATCGCCTTTATATAAGAAAAAATATTAGATATATATACGCTAGTAAATAGGTTTAGAGTACCTAATAACAGGTTAGAGTTAGGTTAGAGTTGTATAGACTCTAGGTTAGAGTTAAGTTAGAGTAGTCTAAGCTTAGAGTTATTGTTAGGTAGAGGTAGTTAAAGCTTTAGGTTAAAGTTAGGTAGGGGTAGTTAAAGCTTAAGGTTAGGGTTAGGTAGAAGTAGTTAAAGCTTAGGTTAGGGTTAGGTAAAAGGTACCTACGTAGGTTACCTATAAAAATATATATATATATTATATAAAGATATATATATATTATAATAATAATATAGGTTAGTATTATATAGAAAATATAAAAATATTATTTAAACTATTTAATTATAACTATTAATTATAGTAATAGGTAGAGTAGATACGCTTACGCGCTAGACATATTAATAGGCCCTCTATATTCTTCTCTTATTTAATATCCTTCTTTTTAATAATAACTTTATATAGGTTACCTATCTACTCTACTAGAGCTAGAAGATTTAATAGATTATTAGCCTTATTATAAGGAGCCTTATATACGCCTATATTCTTATTTAAAAGGTTTATTAGCTAGTCTACCTTTTAAGAAATTAAATCCTTAAGAATTATAATTTACTAAATTATTTAACTAAATAAGTAATACTTTTAATTACTAATTATATCCTTAGTAATATTAAAAATATACTTAATACTAACTTAGGTAATTAGTATTACTAATATATTCTTTATAACTTAAGCTAGTTAAGGATATATACCTTTATTAGCCTTCTACTACTCTAAAATGTTAAAGGAGCTATTACCTATTATATATATAGTACTAAGGTAGGCTTCTTCTTCTTAAATAGTTTAGCTATTAAGATTATTAGCTTCTTAAGTTTAGAAACTCTAACTTAAGGTAGAAAAACTACTTAGTTATAATAAAGAGGTAGAAGGCTTCTAAAACTATTTACTACCTTATTATTTTTATAAATAAAGAGTTAAGTTTAGTATAGATTTACTTTACTCTTCTTAGTTATAGCAGCTAAGGTAATTAAGAAATTATATATAATATATATATTTATTTTAAGAATCTTATAATTTATCCTACGTACTTAGTTAGTATATAGCTATAATAAGTAACTGTAATAAATAAACCTTATATATTATAAGTTTCTAAGTTAGGTTAAGAATTATTATATAGTTAAATAAGAACCTATACTTTATATTAGTTTTTAAGTAGTACTTACTTAATTTTACCTAACCTCTTCTAGCTATAGCTTATACTACAGCTAGCTAATTAGTATTCTCTTAATTTATAATATCCTTATTAAGGTCTTCTATTATCTAGTTTAAAAAGTTAAATAGTTAATTATATATAAGCTATATATACTAGATCTATAGCTTCTAGTTCTTACTTAGGAAGCTAGTTACGTTCTTAAATTACTTAAGTATCTCTATTATTAGCTTAAAGTAATACTACTAAATAAAAGATAGTTAAAGGTATTTTAAATTATAAAAGTCTACTTTACTAGTATTATTTTTAGCTAAAATACTACTAGTATAAGTACCTACACTAGCCTTAAGGATAATCTCTTACCTTAGCTATTTATTAATATATCTCTGTAGCTTAATTATACGCTTATATATATTATAGGTAAAATTCTATCTTATCTTTATATTATAAATAATAGATAGCTAATCTTTTACTAGAAAGTATAGCTGTATTAATATAAAGTACTTATAATACTGTAGTAAGATATTAATTATAATATAAATAGCTCTAAGCTAGTAGTTAATTAGTATATAATTAATATATATAATAAAAAGATATATTCCTTATAAAGTAAGTTTAGAACTAATATCTACGCTTTAATATCCTAGATATAGCGCCTTTATAGAGTATTAATAACCTTAGTAAAAGTAGCTAGTTTTAAATACTAGATAATATCCTAGATAATAAGGTTAATAATATAGGTAAGGTATAAAATAGTATTTTCTTATAAGCTTTAGGTAATTTTATTATTTTATAAGTTTACTTTAACTGCCTAAGTAAGTATAGTATTATTACTAGTATTATTATAGGTAATAGTAAGAAGCCTATACTTAGTACTAGTTTTAGAAAGCACTTTGCCTACCTCTTCTACTATAGAAATACTAGTATGCCTACTACGTATTAGAATAAAATCTAGTAGCTTCTTTTAAAGTTTCTAATTAGTATTAATATAGTACTCTTTAATAGCTAGGAAACTAAGGTAATTACTTATAAACTACCTATCTAATATAATTAAGATTTTAGTTATTATACTAAGATTATAAAGAATAGATATCTTTACTTTACAGTATTAATTATAGAAGTTATACTAGAATTTATAACAGCTAATTATTACAGCCTCTAGTTATAGGAATTAAATAAAGTAATTAAATAATAGCTATTTAATTATTTAGAAGGATAAATTACTATTAATAACTAGCTATATAAGCTCTTTCTTAAAGTCTAAAGTAGAATATAAAAGAAAAAAATTATAAGTTCTTTTTTTACTAAGTAAAGTAGACTAATTAAGAAGTATTAATAGGTATAAGTATATAAAAATAATAGTAGACTTATAGCTTCTTAAGTTTAGATAGTTAAGTAGGTATTTTATTCTAATAGTCTTTTTAGCTAATAAGTATTAAAGTATAAGGTTGTAGTTAAGGTAGTATATATATAGATAACTATTTATAGAGTCTATAGCCTTACTAAAATATAGCTATACTTAACTATAGTATATAGTAGAGTTCTAATATAAATAACTAGTTATAAAGTTAATAGCCTATTTAGTCTTACTCTACTACTTATTCTAAGTTAAAAGTATATTTTTATTATTATTATTCTACTCTATTACTATAGGTAGGTATTTAATAAGTTCTAAGTTTAATTTTTCTCTACCTTTAATAATCTAGAAAGTAGTTAACTTTAATATATAAAGGCTAAGTAGTAGCTTATAGGATTATTAGACTTCTTAAATAGGCTTAGGTAATAAGTTAATTATATATCTAGTAGTATTAATTAATATAGTATAAAAGAACTATAATAGAAAGCTATAATAAAAACTAAGATAAACTTATAGTAATCTTACTATTAAATATAATCCTTACTTTAACTATAAAACTCTAAGTTTTTACTTTAATAATAACGTACGCTAAAGAAGTTAAACTAATTATTAGAGGTTAGTAAAATACTAAGTTAAATACTTTATAGCTAGTGCTTTATATCTACTTTACTATTAGGTTATTTTATCTAAGTTACTATTTAAAGAATATTATAGGTTTTAAGTTATATTATTATACGTAACTATTAGCTAATATTACTGCTATCTAACCTAAGCTTTTAACCTTAGTATTATTATCTAAAAAGCCTTTAAAATCTGTAAAGCCTTTAAAATTAGTCTTATTATTATACTTATTAACGCTTTTATACTTATTTTTACTCTAGTTATAGTATTTATTAATTTCTAAATTAATATTAACCTTCTCTTTATACTTATTACTATTATTTCCTTAAATATATAGAAGATTACTATATAAAGTAGAGATATTTACGCCTAGAAGTTTATAAATAGGTATAGGTTTAAGTTACCTATTACAATTAGTATATAAATATAATAAAGGTATATATTAAACTTATAACTAATTTTTACTAGTTACTATTACTAATTTTTCTACTATAAATCTAGTAATAAAGGCTTACTACTCTTCTTTTATACTTTTACTCTTAAAAGATTAGCTATTTAACTTTACTAATTCTTCTTTATAAGTATTATATAAAATCTATTTAAAGGCACTACTAGTACTAAATAGGTATAGTTAGGTATAAGATTAAGGTTTAGTACTTATACTGCTTTAGCCTACTTAAGTAACCTTTTATAGAACTTATTAATATTAGTATATATTAACTTTCTAGTATAGATCTTCTTATTTTTTATAAACTCTATTAAGCTTAGCCTCTAACTACTTAGCTAGAGTTTATTAGTAAGATTATATAATAAATAACTATATTAACTTACTACTCTTCTAATTATTAAAGTAATCTTATACTAGTTTCTTAAGTTTTTTCTTAAGATACTTTACTTACTTATTTTTACTTATAGCTATATATTAATTTATCTTTTTAAGTTACTAGTTAAGCTAATACTTTATAATATAATCTATAGCTTTAGTAGTAAGAAGTGCTTTCTTTTCTTTACTAAGTAAAGTAGTTTAGTCTCTCTAAGTAATAGCGTAATTACTATTACTAAGATTACCTATAAATAGTTTTTTAAAATTTATTAGGTAACCTTTTTAAGTATTAGCTTAACTGTATTACGTAAGGATAATTTAGACTTTATACTCCTTATAATTAAACTCCTATATAAGTAAGTATTTACTATAATAAATAAATATATTTAATACCTTAGTTAGATTAAACTACTTCTAATGCTTAAAACCTATTAGAGAGTTATTTTCTAGGGCTAGCAGTAGGCTCTCTAGGATATTATTAGGCTCTTTCTTAATAGTATCTATTGCGTATTATATAATTAATATCTGTAATAACATAGTATAGGTATAGTTATTAAGTTAGAGTAGGTAGTAGGCTTTAGATAGAAAACTTAAGGTAAGAAAGCGTAGGTAGCCTATATATATACGTTGCCTACTTAGCGTAAATAGTAAATTTTTACTTACCTTTACTACTTATTATTCTTAAAACTTTAATAAGCTTATCTTACTATTATTATACTTCTAATAATACTTAATTATTATATACTTTAATTATATTATC